TGTCGTTCAGAAGGACAATGAAAGCTCCATAGCCAAACCATACAGTTCAGAGAACAACATTCCATCAAAAACATCATAGTTTATTGAGAAACCATATATCTTTATTTTTCATTGTGTAATTTAAATTCTTCATTCTTAACTTCATCTTTATTTCTGTAAATAAAAGTTGCTTTTCTTGAAATACAGGTAATAGTAAAATCTATAAATTCTACCATGTAAATATCACCACTGTCAGTAACGAATACAAATATTAATTGGTGATATTAATTGATGACACTAATTTTTCAAGCAAATTAACAGAATCCTATCGAGTAGTGTAGTACTGGTCAAATATTTTGAAATGCTTGCCACTTGAATCTGACAAGACTTATGAATTTCCCCACAACTAACAAGAAATCTCCTGTTTTCACAGCTTAATTTGGAGTATTCAACCATTTCCTACAAAAAAATAATAACTGCGTCTTCCTTCATCCGTAGACAACCACCATAGAGTGTCTAACTGTCACTACCAAACCAAGGCTGAACCTGTATGAAGCGGGTCATACTATCCCGATCAGTTTCTCTCTTTCTAGTTGCTACAAACACAACAGCTACATACCTCATTACTTTGAAACCCCAAACTCGTGGTAAAGTGACTGGTATCACGCATAGTGGTTTCTTGGACGGCCAGAGGTAAGGTTCAAATTTCAATAACTTTTATACTTCATTCTTCCGTAGTGCGTACACACACTGTGCACTTATTCATTTGCTTCAGATTGTTTTACATCTGTCCCTTTCATTTATTGAGTGGTACTGTGGTGTGATCTACTTATATCCATATAAGTAGTATATGGTGTTGGTCAGACATAGAATGTATTTTAGCAGACGTTCGATGAGGGAAGAACTGAAATGAAGCGCAATCGGTAGGAAAATGCACGAACAATGTAATTAGAGAAGAAACAGTGAAGATTGAGACTGTTGGTTGTTAATTTGCAAATTAACTGTCCATTGTATGGTTTTCAGAATTTACTGAGATAGTCTGTAATTTTTGTTTAAATACATTCGATTGCCCCCAACTAGTGTTCTGTTCACTACAGTACGTACAGTGATAGCATTCCCACCACAACTGAAAGAATGACTTTTTCGATATTCTAACACGGAATGGTTTCAAGTCAGAAATACCTACATATAAGCATGGGCTCGCAAACACCCCAATATAAAACCAAGGAGACGTCTCAAAATAACGTAAACAGAAGTGGTCACACAACTCAAACATCAAAAGTCAGTATTTTATAAGAACAACAATCCGGCACGGATTCACACTTCTCGTAACTAGTAAAAATGGAAAAACAGGAGGAAAGGACGGTCACAAACCAGGGAACCAGATACTCAGCATTGGAATTCAGTTTCCGTGGTTGTTTAAATCACTGCCGCTGCAACACTGTAGTATACAGGCGTCACTTTGGGCTCTCGCTGAATCACCTATAGCCGTTGTCCCGTTATGTGTGGTCATAGTTCAGGAGAACACATCAGTCAAATCTATGATCGCAAGATATAGGTCTTCTAGTGGGTAGAAAACAACTGTACTAATCTCTTGTAGAACAGCCAGCATTGAAGAAGTCGTAAAAGTGACTACGGAATCCGTAACCCATATATACGACAATATAAATAAAACGAACCCTCAAAGGAAATCACAAACCGACCTACACATTTCAGTTACTTATAGTAATATGTAGTAGAGGGATAGTGGCGAAGTAGATCCTGCTGCTCCAAAAATCGTGAAAAAAGACTCCAAGTATATCTCGACTTCCAAACGCAGTTCATTGAAAAGTCTAGCCGCCTTTAATAGTCAGCAGTGGAAGAAATACTGCACCCTGTTTATCATGGGAGCTATCTAATAAACTGTGCCGTTCGTACAAAGTCCAAACCATTGGTAATATTAAATTCCCGCAACTACGTTTGGGAGGCATCCGAAATACACACAACCATCCACCTAAGATGTACACAAATCAATTCAACCACCCCATAAATATTTCCAACCTTTTCAAAACTCGCTCAAGGCCTTGCCCCGAAGTCCACACTGTTTAGGTTTTTCCACCCCTCGAAAGAGAAGCAAATTTCTTATACCAAATACAAGGATAAATCCGCCTGCAGCCCCTCCGTAAGCTACTGCCAGTCCCAAGCTCGGATAAAGGAAGAGAGTTTGACATAGGATTAGCGACTCCATCCCGTAGAAAACTAACTCGCTAATAAACGCTGACCAGATAAAATTATTCACACCACCTAAACTCTGCCCTTCGAGTTGAAGTAAGAATTATGACACCTTATGTTGAAAGCCGAGATCCTTCGGAAGTTATGAGGCCGATAAACTTTCTAACAACCAAAGCAACAATTTTTATAGGTACATGGAACGTCCGGACAATGTGGGAGACCGGGCGATTCTTCCAAATTGCTGCAGAAATGTGAAAATATTACATGGAGGTGCTTAGAATCAGTGGAACACATTGTACTCTGGTTGAACAACAACGACTATCTTCAGGGGAGCTTCTGTTATACTCCAGTCATGAAGAAGAAAATGCCCCACATACACAAGGAGCGGCATTGATGTTGCCCAAACAAGCATAAAATGCACTTATTGGATGTGAATCTCATGGACCACGGACCATCAAAGCCTCCTTCAAAACAAAGAAAGAGAGCATTAAAATGAACGTCATCTAATTCTATGCGCCTACCAACGACTACAGTGAAGACATTAAAAATCAATTCTACGATAGGCTGCAGTTGATCCTCGAGAAGTGCCCAGCAAAGGAACTTACCATTCTGATGCGAGACCTAAATGCCAAGGTTGGAATGGACAACAACGGATATGAAGACATCGTGGGACGACATGGATTGGGAGAAAGGAACAAAAATGGTGAGAGATTTGCAAACCTTTGTGCCTTAAATAAACCGGTCGTAGGCGGCACTATATTCCCACACAAACACATTCACAAAACCATATAGACTTCACCGGACCACACTACACAGAATCAACTCGACCATATCTGCATCAACAAAAAGTTCAGGAAGACGATGGAGGATGTGAGAATTAAGAGAGGAGCTGATATGGCATCAGATCATCACTTGCTGGTCGCCAAGATGAAACTAAAACTTACGAAACAATGGACAACGGCGCGGACAACATCACAAAAGTTTAATACGGCCCTTCTTCGGGATACTGACAAACCCAACAAATTCAAGATAAACCTCAACAACAAGTTCCAGGCCTTTCATGAACTACTCAGTGGAGAGGGAACTACTATGGAGAGCAACTTCAACATGTCAGGAGGTTTTGGGCCACAAAATTCACCGCCACAATGAATGGATCACTGTTGGTACACTGGATAAGATTCAGGAAAGGAGGAACAAGACGGCAGCAATCAATACCTACCAAACATGAGCAGTAAAAGCCAAGGCACAAGTCGAATACACAAAGAATACCAAAGAACACATTACGCCGAGAAATGGAGACAGACATGAGAAGAATGAACTAAAGTTGGAGAGAATTAGAAATGAAGGCCTAGGACAGAGTGGGTTAGACAAGGCTGGTCGGCGGCCTATGTTCCATTGGGAGTATAAGGCGTAAGTAGGTAAGTAAATACAGAGATAGGCAGCAAAGTGGGTGGTAGGTCAAAAGACAAAACATTATTATTATTATTCACAAAGATCTTATGGGTACATAAGTGCTGTGGTGACAACTTCCGACAGGAGATTAATCTTGATTATGTCTAGAAGAATAAGAGGTACTCTGATTGCGGCGCATAGCATACTAAATACTCCAAGTCACCACAGTCCATAAATCTTAACAGAACATTTCCTCCACACTCTTCAAAACAACCTTTGAAAAACTGCACATTCAAGAGCAAACATTCAGTAACGTCCACACTTTTTCTTACTCGGAATGGTAATTAAGATTACTGCCTCGAACGAGGATACCACATGTCTTTCAGTGGATAGCTTGCAGAGAAGTATTAACGAACACAATTCACCTATGTATTACCATCTGACACCTAAACTAGCTCTGCTTAACACATGTCTTGTAAAGACGCCACAAGTATTGTAGTTTGACAACACCTTACCAGCAACAACTTCTATAATTGAATCGCACCCACCCAGAGAAATCAAAAGTCAGAGGTAAGAAAGTTCGAAGATATATTTCATAGATAATCAGTATATCGAAAAGTGACTGATCTAAACTGGCTAGTGATCCCAGGAGAAGTTGAGTAAGGCGTTCCTATTTGTGATCTTGTACGGAAGCACGATCGAGCGCCTTCAGCTAGGTGAGTCCATTAAAAATAATATGGTCAGCATCCAATGTCGAACACATACAGAGCTATTGCTTTGGGGGATTTATTTACCGCAACACTCGTGACTTATTTTCTGTCATGCCCACCACAAACCAGTAACTTCGTCCCACTTCATTTCAAATGATCTCCATCTACCCCTTGGTCTTCTCATACAGTCTGCATTGCTAATTAATTTATATATTTATATACCTCTTGTGAAAATCGTCTTCTCATTGGACCTGAATTTCCTCATTACATTTTCATATTAAACTCTTGCTGTTTTCAGAAAGTGTGCCACCCAGAGACAAACTCATTCGTCCAGATTACATGATGTACAAACTGTAAAATTAGTAAAATGATATGATAGAAACGTTCAATGATTGGAAAAATTATTGATCGATTGTTGGTTGAAAAAGCACTCTAAATTAAGCAGTTGCAGTTAGTCTGAAGCTAATCGAGAAAAGAATTTACGTGTATCTCTTTAAGGGATTTACTACAACGGTGATTCCAGCCAAATGATCCATTTTGTATACTTAAAAACTCGCGAATAACTACCAAACTGGCTAAAACTACTACAGTCAAATGAACAGACTAAAACTCATCGAACGATACGTTGGAAATTGGGTCGTGTCGAAAAAGCGAGTGAAAATAAACCACTAAGTTTGCACTAACTTGTCCCAAAAGTATTGGACTTTGTTTTTAGCCTTGCCGGTTTTTCAAAATAGACGGTGTGTCACACTCGTTACTAGTAATTCCTGTTTATTTGTGCCTTGAAGTGAAACAGATACTCTGTGGCTACTGTCAATGCCTTAAATATAAAATTTTGAATTCATCATACTCCCATCATTTCCGTCTTCCTGCCCAGGTTCTCATTATTTCCGTCCTAAGTAATCGTGCTTTATGTTTCGCGTAACATGTATAGAATTCTAGCGAAAACATCCAGTTTTTTCGGTCTTCGACCCCTGCCCTGAGGAGCGATCAACGCTACTTCCGGAACCCTATGCACATCCCAAAAATACTTATATTTCCCTAGACGTCCTCACAGTTCGCGTACTTTCCTAAAGCGCCTTTTGTCAACTTCATCACTTTTCTCGATACAAAAAATTCAAGATGGGAGAGTGTTGTCGACCTCTAACCATATGTGGTTATCAACATTATGAAAATAGAGTTCATCACTGACTAAATATAGTCATATAGGCCCGTTGTTTTCGGGAATCAATTATACACCCCATTAACGACATACTAGACTGGAAAGGTTTACATATAGGGGTCGAGATAAAGTGTTTTATAATATTATATGCTGTAAATAATGCAACAAATAACCTACAATTTAGGATGTAGCTCCCCTGAAGCTGTCTCTTGAAAACACGATACAGGAAATAGTAAACGGGATTGTTATGAAAGTGAAGGGCGGTGTTGTTGCCATCCTAAATTGTGACCTTTTTAAAATAAAACCATTGTTGTTTACATTCGTTAACAATACATAGCTTAGCATAGTTTCTACTTCAGTGTCGTATTTCAACTCACTTTTCTCTTCCAGATTTCCACACTCACTTCTCATCCCCATCTCATAAGAAAGTTACAGGCCACAAATAAGCCCATCAGGGGCTTGGTTTTCGAAAAAAGCATATACAATGGTCAAACCAAAATTTGATTCTAGTTTAGCTATTAAAACAGGCGGTATCCGGTTTCAGAAGACAAAGGGTCAGCATATACTGAAAAATCCCCTCGTTATTACCACAATGGTGGAAAAGTCTGGTATCAAGTCCACAGACTCTTTGCTTGAAATTGGTTCTGGAACTGGTAATCTCACTGTCAAGTTGTTAGAAAAGGGAAGGAAAGTGTACGCTTTCGAAATAGATCCAAGAATGGTTTCGGAATTGCAAAAGCGTGTGCAAACCTCGTAAGTTTCTGCACGTGATTCCTATAATCATGTGACAGCCAATAAGCTGTTTAATAGTTTCTATCGTACATAACTAGGCATTGGATGTTATTAGTATTATTAATTCGTCAACCAATTACACTCGTATAATTGGCTTTGAACTTTACAATAAGTGTGTGGGCTGTGGATACCATCCGGTTGCCGGAACGGACGTTGGTGAGACGGGCTTCGAGCCTGTGGCTTCCGCAATCTAGTGGTATTGATAGCCCTCACACTTGGGGTATGGCTCAAGGTCAAGTAATTAGTGAGACTGCGGGTCTCCATTTGGACTTTATTTATTTATTTAAACACAGATATTGGAACAAAGGAGCACCGAATACATATGCGCCACACAAGTCACTCGATATATGTATGGGCTATGATACTGCTTGGGTGCCCAAGCCAAAGCAGGTGTTTTTCTTGAGGGCCACACTCGGAGCCTTTGACCTAAAAGTCTGATCCACAAGGCAGCGGAGCAACGTCAGGAGATGCAGTCCCGTGGTGGCTGGTGGCCAACAATCGGTTCATATATCATTTGTTCCTTCAAGATCATGGAGCCCATGTGCACCATTGGTTTGAGATCAGGGTTTTCCAACTCCCCTAGGTAGACCCTCCGTGTCCACCAACCCGGTTAAAGCTCCGGACATTCGCTTTTTGTCCTCTCAACTTCGTGAACAACAGCCTCACCACGAGAAGGCAGTGAGTAGGACTTCCGTGGTAGTGGCTGTATACACGTGGCCATGTGAGAGCATTTTGAAAGGGAGATCTGACTCTTCCCACCCTCAATCTTACCATGGCATTTGGGGGCCCCCTAACTTTATAGTAGTAACAAATGATCATCTCAACTCCTTTTAAGTGTCGGTGTAATATTTACTCGTTCAATGTCGTACTTACCATCTCTTACTAATACCCCCACCCTTGTGTTCGTGTTTCAGTTATCGGTTCTGTGGCTGTTGTACAGTAATATATCGAAGTTTTAGACAGTCAACTCTACATAGCAAGACAGGTCTCATGACAACACTATTATCTTTAATATGTCACTACTTTCTTGAGAATGATGATTCACATTTGATGTGTTTTGAATACGTATGAATACATGTAGTATAGTCCCTCAGTTAACTCAACGTGTATATAAATCTGATGATCTAAGTTTGAAAACTGACGAAGGTAACGGTGTATCAAATGTTAGTCAAATTAACGCACCATTATGGTGTGTTTGTTACTGGAGCTGTAGCTAATAAACATTTACATTTCCCATGAGTCATTTATCTGAATTATCATCACTATGAGCGAATACACATTTCTAGACCACACAATTATTCACACAACATTGTTACTGGATATGAGCAACCCTTCAGAGATATTGACGATTAAAACGAACGTTCCCAAACAGAGGTTGTAAACACCTAAAAGGAGGCGAGTCTAAGTATCTCACTTTGTTTCTAAATAGTTGTACCAGGCGTCAGATCCAATAACAGCTTCCGAAAGTAACCATTCAGTGATAGTATCATTTGGACACAACAGAGTAATCATCTGAGATCTACAACTGCGCGGGTCGAAGATTTGGATGTAAAAAAAAATTAAAAGGCACATGGGAATAGAACAATGTAGGATTTTACAGTGATATAAAATACATTTGTTTACAGTACAATAAAGTTTAATTGATTAATATGCAAAGTAGGTCACTATCCCCATTAGTTTCTGTCGCTAAAGTCCCTAGAATTTTTCTTCCACTTAAGGATTCTCTATATTGTTATTGATATACCGATCTCATTGTTTGACAGTTTTGTGGGAACCACACATGAAAGCTGCCAGTTTAATATTTTGCACTCGAAATTACATTTTTATAAATAGATTTAATCATAACCGATACACAGTAATTTAGAAAGAAGTAGTTCCAATCAAAACTTCTTGCGTGATCAGGTTGCTTTTCTGTTTTATTATAACTGATCAAAGTTGACGAGTAGTGACAATGCAATACTCATATTGCACAGTTTTTCATTTGTTCAAAATCAGATACCTAAATTATTTGGCTCTGTTGTTCACTTCGTTTTTCCCTAGTTCTGTTTTTTTTTACCTTATGCCTAAAATTAACACGTTCACGAAGTCGCTTGAGGCGTTATCTGTCCAAATTATCTATTATTTGCGTCAAAAATGATATAAGTAATTACTCCTAAAACGGTAAGCAGTCTGACTTATCCGTCTATTTAAAACAATCATTCGTAATCTTAGTAACTATCAGTGTTAGGTAAATGCATTGCTACGTTTCATCATTTTTTAACTCCTACACTGAAAGTACGCATTGCAGAAACGTTTTAAGCCAGTGTTTTTCATAAAATGTTTGTCAGACCACATCGAACCAAACTAGAAATTCTCGTTGGTGATGCAATCAAGGCAAAATCATGGCCCAAGTTCGATCTCTGCATAGCGAACCTGCCATATAAGATCTCTTCGCCATTCATCCAAAGACTGATTAGTGCAGGTCATGGTTTTAGAGCAGCGGTTGTTATGCTTCAGAAAGAATTCGCTGACCGTCTTACGGCTAAATCTGGAGATAAATTATACTGTCGTCTGTCAGCATCTGCTCAGTTTCACTTCAAAATTGAACAGTTGATGAAAGTAGGTTTTTAAATCTTATAATCGCTATTTATAATGATTTTTGATGACTATTACTCAGTTGTTATTATGGCGTTAACGTTTTTCACTACATGTTAAGTGGAAAATTATCCTTTATACTACAGGCCCGTAAATAATTCTCATCCCACCACTCTTCTTTAGCCTCGCGGTCATTACGCAACCTGTTAGTACTTGAAGTCTCGGATCACTTTTTGGTGTAATATATGTTCTCTTATAGGCTCATATATCTGCCAAACAACTATAAATACGAATGTACAGCTTAAGTAAATCATTTTATCGAACAGAAAATTTTCTTTAACGACAATTACATACTTTAGTCATCAGAACGATAAGATTTCGAGGGATGGATCTCTGGACTACTTCTGACTCCAAAATGAAAATCTAGAATTAGTTCATACTGCTTAAAGATCCGGATATTCCTGAGCAACCTGTCGCCAGACGCATCCGGTTTTTAATAAGCGTAGGTGCTTTTAAAAACATAGGAGTATCAAAATGAGTTTTAAAAATGTTATTTATAGGCAATTTAGCGAGTACATCCCAGCACCAAGTAACATTACTGATTCTTTTCATTCCACTTAAATTGACTTATCTAAAAAACGAAGAATTTTTCGCTACTGAAGGCTATTCAAAATTTACTAATGCTGAAAATTTTTGGAAACACTTAAAAATTATAATGGGTGTGAATATTGCCTAAAATCAGATAAGTATAACTGGTAAATTAGGAGGCGAGTTGATTGCGTTTGTATTAACTATATAAATAGAACGAAATATCCTGTATACTAGGAGTTTCAAAAGCTTAATATTTTAAATACCTCCTTAAAGGATGCTTCTAATTAATTTTCACATATTTAGGCATAAGTTTTTCGTTAGTGAAACAGTAGTTATGTATTGACACTTGTCTGTAGTTATAAATATTTGGATTACTGTAAATGTTGTCCAAAGACCACTAAACCCTTTCAAGAATTGCATGGAGGGTTATCTAATGTCATTATTTACTGTCAACAGACATGACGTCCTACCATACATTCGTGCTTCTGATCTTCTCAGATTTTATCATCTCATGATGGTGATTTAGACGTGAAGAGTAAATGATGATAGTTTGGGTCGAGTGCTCGAAGGGAGTTCTTTTCCTACTTACATTAGTATCATTAACTACATTTCGGCTAAATTTCCCATTTATATTTTTGAAATATCGCTCTGGTAATAATTAGCAAAATCAAATCACTTAATGTGTAAGGAAAAAGGTAAGCGAGAAATTCATTATGTGAAAAAATTATTATATTTGAAATAGTCTCAGCGATTGAAATATAAATAATTCCAACGTTTCGTCCAGCTAACTTGTCTGGACTTCTTCAGGGAAATAATCAAAATAATCAAAGAAATATATAGTGTTTTTTAACAATCAAATCAAAATCTCTACTACTTTTAATCCAATCATATTTGGATGTCGAAGTTTTGTAAACAGGATAATATGAGTCAGTTGAATGAGAATCAAGTGAAAAGTTCAACGATGTGAATTAAAGGAGACTGCATAAATTGTGTGTATGTATGTATGTATAAGATGAGTTATTAATGAATGATATTCAGTGTTTATATGTTTCTATGTGAAGTAAAAATAAGAATAAAAGTGCAAAATGAAGGTTGAAAAGTTCTTTTTTCTTTCTGAATCATCGAAATTGCAAATAAAATGAGAATCTATTATAGTTGAAAGCGTGAGTCAATTGAAGCTAGACCAAAATGAGAATCATCAAGTACATAATTGTAATGTTAAACATAACTCATTAAGCAGAGATGGATAGTGGCTAGCAGTGGAATCCAGGACGCGCGTTTCGTCCTATTTGGGACTCGTCAGCTGGATGTACCTGCATCTCAGAGTTGATGTTCACTCTGGGACCCGAACCCAGTACCATCGCTTCAAACGCCATCGCGTTATCAGGACTCAGTGGCCGAGTGGATAATGCGATGGCGTTTGAAGCGAGGGTACTGGGTTCGAGTCCCAGAGTGAACATCAACTCTGAGATGCAGGTACATCCAGCTGACGAGTCCCAAATAGGACGAAACGCGCGTCCTGGATTCCACTGCTAACCACTATCCATCTCTGCTTACCATGCTTGTGAATTAAGGCTATATTGAGGCAATACGCACAGTATGCACATATGCCAATTAGAGACTGACCAGTTGCAGTCCTAACAAATCGATGGGAAGATTCAAACAAACAATACTGAATGAATTTATAACTAATTGATTTCTGTCATAGTAACGATTCATGTGAAGTAAACAGGTTGAATAAAAGAAAAGGTCAAATTACTTGTAGATGAATATTTGCCAAGTGGTAGCTAGCTGAATACCTTCCTTTCTGTTTAGGCTGTTCTTATTCGCCCATATATACAGCGCTTCTGCTGTCAATCTTTCTTTATGAGTGTTGAAACCTTTCTGAAGTATTTTGGCCCCTTCAAAATTAATCATGTGTCCCGTTTCCAACGCATGTAACGCTATTGCAGACTTATTCTCAAGTTTCCTTAGGTCAACCGAAGTTTTGGGAACGTTTTTTAAACATTGTTTGTGTTCCTTCAACCTTACCTTCAATTGTCTGGATGTTTCTCCAACATAAGCCGCATTACAATCTTGACAATTGATCTCATAGACAATATTTTGTTGTTCTTCCTTTGGTAACCTATCCTTAACCTTCACCAATGACGATCTTATAGTGTCACATGTTCTAAAATACACTCTTATATCATGCTTGTTTAAGATCCGTTTGATTTCTTCCGATGTTTCACTACGGTATGGTATGACTACAGTGGACTTCCAATCTTTCTGTACACATTGTAGTTTAGCTTTTCTTTCCTTTCTAACAATCTTCTCTTTTGGGTAGTTGTTATCCCTAAGTGTAGATAAAATCCTATTCAATTCATATTGTTGGTCTTCCTTATCTGTAACAAGCTTAAGACTTCTGTTAATTAAATTTTTAACAACTGTGACTTTCGTACATAAAGCATGAGCCGAATAAAAATCTAAGTATCTTTCTGAATGTGTTGATTTTCTGAAAACATTTATTTTCAACTTCCTATTATTAAGTCTTCGCTCAACCATACAGTCGAGAAATGCCAGTTTGTGGTCAACAGACTCTATTTCCTTCGTTAGATTAATTTGTTCCGAAATGTTGTTCACATTTGCAAACAATTCTTCCAAATAGTCCTGTTTAATGATAACAAAAATTTCATCTACATACCGTAGCCAGACCTTTGGTGGACAAACACTTCTTGCGATTGCACTAGTTTCGAGTGAATGCATGAATGAATTCGCAACAATCGGAGAAACTGGTGAACCCATAGCTATACCTTCTTTTTGTCTGTATAGATCTCCTCGAAATATGAATAGGGTGGACCTTAAACATAGTTCCAAACATTTGATAAACTCAGACGGATCTAACGGGCAACGTAAATTTAAATCCAAATCAGATTCTAAACAAGCATAAATAATATCCAACGCTCTGTTGATAGGTACGTTAGTAAATAAGGAAGAAACATCAAAACTTGCCATTACTTTATCCTCTTCTATGTCGATGGTATCAATAACGTTTTTAAATTCCATAGAGTTTTTAATTCCATGATTAGTCAATTTTTCATACGGTTTTAGTATCCTAGCTAAGTATTTCGCTAGGTTGTAAGTCGGTGAATTTGTGAAATCGATCACTGGTCTTAGTGGAGTACTATCCTTGTGAATCTTCGGGAGTCCATAGAATCTACAAGGGTTACAACTTTTTGGATTTAGCATAAACCATAATGGCGTTCCGAGCTTGACCTTTAACGAATGTAAGATTTTACTTGTTTCCGCGTTAAGTTTATTGAGCGTAGTTCTGCTTTTTGCATCTTTGATTAGTTCATACGGTCCCTCTTGTAGATGTTCCTTGGCTTTTCTCTCGTAGTCCAATTTGTTCATGATAACTGTAGTGTTACCTTTATCTGCTTTTGTAATGATAATTGTCTTATCATTTCTTAGTTGCTTTAAAGCATGTAACTCATTTTTAGTCATATTAGATTTTTGTGATTTTTGACATAATAACGCGGGCATTATTTTATTCCTCAATTCATTCGCTGTTTCATTAGGAAGTATATTCAATTGCTGGTATAGTATTGAAAGACGATAATTGTGGTCTATTTATATTGAAATTGAGACCCTTTTTAAGTAAAAAAAATTCATGGGAGTTGAGAATTCTATCAGATAAATTAACTAACACCTTGTTAATATCTACTGTGTTCGATTTATCTCTAGTTTGTTTAACTTTGCTGTTTGACGTATGTTTCAACATTTTTTCGAACTTTCTAATCTATCGTAGCTTTGATGATTGATGATAAAACTGTTCTCTGAGTTTGAAAAATTCATTTATATTAGATCTTATTTCTTTCGGTGTGATAACAGACAGAATTTCATCGATATTCTTTACCCTTGAACGTAGTGACTCCAAATTCATAGTGGCTATGTGTATACGTTCCCTGATAAAAGTTCTAGTGGCTGTGATCGCCGCTTTGATTGAACGAATAGATTTGTCAGGAGATTTGACCAACAAAGATTTAGGAAAAACATTTTGTTTTAAACATCGTAGATTTAAAATTCTATGATTGTACCAATTATGTATTTTCTTTGATAACTATCAAATGTGTATATCTATATTCTTTCCCCCACCGGAGTAGAGTATAATCCATTATTTTAATGCATACTGTCAAGTCAGTATTAGTTGTGACTAAGTTTATCAGCAATTAAGTTTAAAATTAAAAACATTAATTAAATATATATATATATATGAAAATGTTTTGTTAAAGTACTAATACCAGTTTGGTTCTACAATGGTGAAAAGAAAGCAGTTAGAAGTTCTATACTTGGACACTTAATCGACTGTAATCATTCGACGAATCCACAGTCTGATTTTAAGGTTGTTTATATGATTCGTTCAAATCTACCAAGATTTCTTTGTATCGAACTTTTAAAAATAGCCGAAGCTCTTACCATCCACGAGCTCAAACCAGAACTATGCCTACAAAAGAAGTACGTTTTATCATTATCGTTACCATGGCCTTAATATTATTATCATTCTATTATTATTATTATTACTCCATTCCCCCTTTACTTATGTTTTATATTCGCATTATTTTATTCATGAATACTTATCATATCATCTTGGTTATTTCACACCTCTATGACCTTTAATTATTGTAAACAAAACATTTTATTCGTCTTATTCTATTCACTAAATCTATTATTATTCGTATTACGTAATCTAGTATTATAATCTTGGTTATTAGTGTTCACATTTCCTCACGGAATTAGTACTTTAACAAAACATTTTCATATATATATACGATTGTACAGCTTGATAATAAATTCGTTGAAAAGAGATCTCTTCGCTGAACTTCGTGTTTTTAATTTTAATGTTTAAATGGGAATTATATGCCAATTAAGTTTAAACTAGAAAGCTAAACTGTGCACCTGTAATAATTTATCATTCCAATACTCGTAGGCTTTAGAAAACAGCAACATGACATACGGAAATGTTAGGGATTAACACCGCATATGCAGACCTTTACCATCATTTCAGTTTTATATGTTAGAGCGTACACCATTTTAAATTGTTTAACCCTAACATATATTATTCGTTCATTGTAAGTATCGTCAAATATCACAAACAAGCCACTAACTATACTTCTTACAATTTATTTTAAATATTAGATCAATAGAAACAGTTTTCGTCCCCCACCACGTGTTGATTCAGCTGTTGTTCGGATTGAGCCCAGGCATCCATTACCGCCTGTAATGCATTCAGAATGGGATGGACTACTGCGTCTTGTGTTTGCTCGCAAAAACAAAACGATCGGAGCTAACTTTAGCGGCAAGTCAATAGCTTCTCATTTACGTAAAATTTACATGGAGACTTGTTGCACAAAAGGATTGTCACCAACTCCAGAGGCTATTGCCTGTGAGTCTACTGGTGTTTCAGCAATGGAGGAGAAAATAACAAACATACTTCGAGACTCAGGTTTTGAAAAAAAGCGTGCCCGTGCTTTAGACGAGGATGACTTTCTTAGATTATTATTGGCCTTTAAAAAAGAAAATATAAATTTTGGTTGATCTTTCCGTAATCTTCTTATTATGTAAACAATTGAGAGGCATGGTACATTGTACATAGTCGAGTATACCTGGGCCATAAATAAATTGTACTAAAGTATGATAAAAACGATTTTTCTGTGATTCACGAAGATTATTTCCATTTCGGTCCCCATGACTAAACGATGGAGAATTCATCAGAATGGAAAACAAATTTATCTTGGTAGCCCCTTTTAAACAACCTTTACAAGTCAGAACTCGTAAAAGTACCATACAGATACCTTTTTGATTGACTCACATTCTCTACTCGCACATTAAATCCAGTTTCAGCAGCTACATATGTTTGGCGTTTTAAAGGCTGATATAAGAGCTGTGAAGAAATATTATCTTCGAAGTCGCTCAAACGGAAATTAATTGGTGGAAAGTAACGAATACACATCACCGTCCAGCAGTTCCCACAGCATTATACAACCAACTACCACCTAGAATTTAATCGATAACAGTTTTGCTGTTAGACTTGATGTTACCCCAGCACTCGGAAGTTAAAGTCAAGTAATTATGTTGTTCTTTGTTATCGTCCTTAAATTAAAACATCGATTTATGATTAAAAGCGTGTTTTTAATGAGTAAGGTCGGATTCAAAACGGTTTTGAAGTTAAAAGCTTTCAAATACAGTTAGTAGGGTTATTCTAGGTATAGAAATTTTGGGGACTCAGCCATTAATAATGATCTCAGAGCGAGGTTAGGGGAATTCGTCGACGATATTTTCGGAGGATAATATAGAAGTGAAATACTAAAGGTTGTGTTTGCATGTAGGAATTCCAGGCTATCCGACTTGTAATTGATACTTTGGAGTATGTGAAATACTGAGTGTGCTAGGGAACTGCCAGAAACATAACTTCGCAAGACGATGTAGTTATGGAACAATAAGACAGTGAATGAAGTGTTTAAACTCCAAACATAGTTGTGGCATGTTTCTCTAAGAATATCAACGTACATGTTTCTTTAGACTCAAAGATTTAAGCTCCTGAACCGGTATATCGGTTACCACATTTCCTTGCGCTTATTAAGCATACGGCAACTAAAAGGAGTGGCTAATCGCATAGCAGAAATATCATATGTCACTCAAGCAACATAGAACAGTCATTTTAGACTAAATATATCGGCAGGGTCAAACTAATGCTATGTGTTTACCCTTACAAAAAGCCTTTAAGCAACAAAAGAAAACCAGTTTTATGTGAACTATTTACAATATACTTACAAAGTTAGTACGATCAGTAGAGTATGTACATTTAAGCTATACAAAGCGTTGTCTTGAGGACAGGAGGGGATCAACTAATCGTTCGTGATTTATTGTACGACGCTCTTTAACAAGCTTTAATCGAAGGTTATCTGCTTGACGTTTTACTTGTCGTAAAATGGATCGCTTGTAATGACTGTAAGTGGTCCGGGAACCAGAATGTGATGTAGATAAAGAGCAAGTTTCATTGGTTACAACAGTATTAGAGAATTTCGAAGTCATATTTTGTGTTTTAGGGGCCATATTTTCGAAGGCGTGCAAGCTCATAACAGTATCTGTCGTGATTGTAACTTCCCCACTTGACTTGGTACTGGACAATGTTTCCGATCTTCTTAATGGAGCATGAAACGCTTCAGTTGTCCATTTCAACTCGTCTTTAACTTCGTGGCGGTCAGTATGAAGAGATACTAGGAAACCAAAAGTGATGTATTATGTATTTGATTGTATTCAATTAAGACATTCATTATTAAAGAGATTAATTAAGCAAATATTAAAAACTGGAAATGTTCACCAGTGTGACTACTTTAGGGCTTAAACTATTCATACTGTCAAATAATGATTGAGTTTTGACTAAAGTCCTGTTGTTTGAAATGAATTTGCAGCTGAAAATGATGAACACAATATGGAATTAATCGGCATTTAAAGAATGAGAATACAGATAGGACGCAACAAAGATTTGTGCACGGTTCCTAATCCGACTTAGTGATATTTTACAATTCTTAATTAACTATGGACATCAGTATGCATAAGTCTTGGACAGAAATCATAAGCCTCAATAGTTTGTAACTTCCTAGATAGTGGACTGTGATTAAAGACTGTATAAAAAGTATCACCAAAAATGTGTATCTAACTACCTATCTTAACCCTTGGCTTCAACATCAACTACCTAGAAACGTCTCACACAATCACCAAAGTGAAGATAAGCATGATTAAAGCAAACTTGGTGTATACAGAATATTAGTATATCAGAAAAAATGACTGCGGAAAACAAGTAATCATTAGAAAGAGTATCTGATGATCAACCAAGTGTGATGTTCCAATAATTCGTTAATTAGCCAAGAGCTGTTGAAAATAACACAATAGATTGTAATACAAGAGACGTGTGTAGTAATTTAATGTATGATTGTCCAAAATCCATAAGCTAAAATAAAAGGATTGGATATAAATTCAAAGGCCTTGGAATGTGGAACGATAATAAATGGTGTGCTTGTTATAGTCCATGCATTTTACTTATTAGTTGTAATAAGAAAAATACTATATAATAAATACACCAGCTGAAATGCATAGTTGTTTGCATACATCTAGAAGCTCCAGTCTTAGTATTTACATTAAAGCCAGTGATAATACATAGAATGATGTCATGCAGAAGATTATAAAAGCAGAATGCTTAGTCATTACACGCAAATTTTATCGTTTCACAATAATCAATTCACTACAAAAATAAAACTTGAATTGGTTAAGTTTAAGTATAGTGCTAAATTTGTGAGGTTCGTGAAAGCGACCTCAAGAATATGAAGCATTTGTCAATCTAGGATAATATTTATCGAACCATATCAAACCAGGATGTTACTTATGAACCGAACAATGACCAATTTTCTTGGGGAAAACATCGCTAGGTTGTACTATAATTCATCGATATTTGATGACTGACCAAAATGAACCAAGATCGTAAGGTCATCCGACAGTATTTCTTTTCACGTTTGATTTTTAAAGCAGCAATTTACAACAGAATCTGACAAGCATGCAACGTAACTAATTCAGATATTCCTTATATTACTTCTGTTAGGCTATGATCGGCTGACTATGAAAACCTGAATTTCAGCCAACATATGGATAACTTTCCAAGAATAACCAATGAGTAACCTAATTTTGCTTAATTCAGGTAACTAGCCTCATTATAAATTGATATGATTTCTAAGAATTGGGCCTGACAGTCAAGTCGTAATTAATTGAATAGGGAGTAACCTACAAACTGATTTCCTTAAATCGCCTAAGAAATTTTATTGTGCCTATTTTGGCAATATTCTGTATGTAAGCACGTTATCTTAATAAACAGAAAACATCTTCCTTGGGCTGGTAGTCTTGTTTTTAAAGTGAAGTCAATCGACTGCTTACGTCAATAATTTGGTTACAACTGTCATATTGCATCATTGCATATAATCCATTAATCAGCATCATTTTCTTTCATTTTAGAAATCGGATATCCGTTCATTAAACCATTAAAATACTAATCCTCAACATAAATAAACATACATACTAGGTTATTTATTTTGAAAAGGCTTGAAGAATTTATTATTTTAGGAATGACCAAGACTAAGTCAAACAACAAGTATAAATCTGGAAAAAAGGACAAGGACTAGTGGATAAACAAAAAGTAGACTTACTTTCTGAAACTTTGAGAAACTTTATATTCTCTGACACAATACTTGTTCGAGCATTTAATCATGATAATAAACCTTGGAAAAGAAAAAAGGCAGTGTTCTATCAGGACAGTATATGTCATGAGAACACGCCGACCAAGGACGAAGCTTACACAACAATTACAATATGAAAATCAAAACAAAAACAAATTAATTGAAACAATAACTGTTTACAGGCAGGATATTCACACTCACCGGTTGAGTCATGTCTAAAAGATAGGATATTCAATGGTAGGAAATAGTGTATGCACTAATAAGTACTATAATAATATAATTCCACCTTTACCTCTTTATTTTGACAAAAAATTAACTCGTTTCCCACCATACATTTGACACTTGTAACAGGTAAACATATTCCATTTCTCATGCATGAAGCACAAGTGAGGAAATCCATTTAGAGGTTACCATGTGTTCCAGAGTAACAATTTGCCAAATGGCTAAATTTTTGGCTTGAAGTGGAAGCACAGTATAAACAAAATCTGGAAAAGAAATTTTAAAAATTACAAGGTACTGTTCGGTAAAGCGATCAAATGTCTGTTACTCAAAGTTAAGAATGGTCATGCGGTTATCGAATATCACGCATCAATGTACGAGAATAAGTTAAATCATTCACCGGATACTTGGATATGAGCTACATTCTAAGTATGTGGGCTAATAATACTACTCAGTTTCCCAGACTGAAGTAGGTGATCTGGGGCTCAAAATTGGCTGGAAGTTGAGTCTTAACTTCTAAACCACTCCCCCACATTAATGTACAGAACCTACGCATGAAACTTTACAGGCCAGACGAAACAAAACGAAAATGTGAACAGCAGTTGTTATCAGTTTCATCCTACGTGACTCAACAATAGCAAGATGTTTGGTGTTAGTGAGACGGTATGTTTGATATCAGCACGTTCCTTAACTACTTACTAAGAAGCCCTGAGAGTGGTTTTCTAGAAAGCATTGCAATAGCAACTTTACGTTACGAGTTGTATAGTCGATGGACATTAACAAAAATGACAAACCTTAAGGATGGACGCATAGCCCTGGTTAGGGCTGTACTGTTTGAACAAGTAAGCCAAACCGAAAGTTCCCGTTCACTAGATCAGAATGAGGATGGTGCCCTAGTTTTAGCACTTAGATTGACTGGAATCCTAGCTAAAAATCTGGTGTCTAGGCGTAGTCCCATCTGACTGGTCTCGATCTCTGGTCGTTTCAGTTTATAAGGAAGGACGAAAGCCCCCTTGTACCAATCACAGAGGAATCGGTATGACTAATTTAGTATCTGAAATACCAGCTTCAATAATTTTCCAACTCCTACCTAGGGATCGTGAAAGGCGAACCCGAGACAATCAGGCTGACCTCAGACCTGGACGTAGTCGTATTCACTAAATATTTGCTCTTCATCGGTTTTTAGAACCTGCCGATGTCCAACCACAATTATTTTCTTTATCTTGAGACAGCGTTTGACTCAGTTGAACGAGAAGTTCTGTAGCCGTGATTGTCAATGAAAGGAGTGTCAAAAGAGTAAATTAGCCTCGTGCAGGCTAGCTTCGAAAAAAACTACTGGTCGCGTCAGACCTTATGGCTAATTTTCAGCCTCAGGGAAGTTTAATTTCACCATTTTTTTATTTAACTTTATTAAAGACATTTGTTCAGAGACAATGCTCTCACTATCTGGATTTCCATGGGTTCATCTCCTACCAGGAGATTTACTTGCTAACTTAGAATACGCAGATTATATAGTCCTGTTTGAAGACGCTGATAAAATGCAGTTTTTTTACAGCCTTACATGATGCTAGCATATTTAGGATGTAACCTTCGCCCTTCAAATACAAAATGTTTCTTCGGGACTAGCCTGGGTCAACGCATGGATTGACGGTAAAAATTGAGGTTGAGTGCATCAACCATTTCAGTTGCCTAAGGAGCCTCATCAGTCCAAATGGGCTAGTGTCTTATGAACTCAGTACAGATTCAGAAAGTTCAACTGGCTTTTGCTAGCTTGCGTCACTTGTGGCGTAGACAAGATATCCGTTTACCAATCAACGGACGGGTTAACTGAGCAGCAATTCTCTCCGTTCTAATTAATGGCTGTGAAATGTGGGTTTTAAACAGAGAATATTTGTAGGTTAATAATATTCAGTTAAAGGTGTCTTTGGATTATTGCTTGCGTATTTGGAACCATAGAGTTAGGAATTCCAAGGTTAGGCCCTGGTACGGCCGAGAGTGGGGAGAGTCTACTCTCCCTCTCGAAATGCTCTCATATGGCCAGCGAATATATAGCCTCTGCCAAGGAAGTCCTACTCACTGCCTTCTCGTGGCGGGGGTGTTGTTTACGAAAGTGAGAGGACGAAAAGCGAATGTCCGGCGCTATAACCGGATTGGTGGACACGGAGGATCCACCTAGGGGAGTTGGAAAACCCTGATTCCAAACCAATGGTGCACATGGGCTCCAGTTTCCTGATGGAACGAATGGCGGAAGAACCTGTCATTGGTCAACGACTACCATGGGACTGCATCTCCTCACGATGCTCCACTGCCTTGTGGATCAGACCTTTAGGTCAAAGGCTCCGGGTGTGGCCCCCTAAGAAAACCACCTGCTTCGGTTTGGGCACCCGGGCAGTATCACAGCCCACACATAAATGAATGAAATGACGAACTCTATTGACGATTCTATTCCTGCTCATATTATAAGCAAGACAATTTACGTTATTATTATCATTATTATTATTATTATTACTATTATTATTATTATTATTATTATTATTATTATTATTATTACTTACCATATCGCTAATTCACCCCCTTTTACCCCCAATTTGTGTAACCTTACTCTTCAACTTATGCATCAGCTCGCTCTTGGTGGAAAATCTGTCCTATCTAAACGATCTCCAGTCACTGTCTGGTTGAAAGTGAATGCTTCCACCGATAATGAATACTGAGGCAGTCTTTCTGAAACCGCGTACGCCGTTCAAGCTGGCTTCCTTCAACGTTCGCACACTAATGCAGATCAGACAACAGATAGGGCTGGCTATGTCTTTGGAAGGTCTTAATGTTGATGTTTGCTGTCTATCCGAGACCCGTATTCAAGACTCTAGTGAAGTACTACAAATCCGCTCTCCATCTGTCTCGAAAAGCTTGTTCCACGTGCGCTTATCCGGGGACCCTGTGGCATCTTCGTCTGGTCTTGCTGGCGTTGGTGTCGCACTAAGCGCTAGGGCTGAGGCAGCACTAATCGATTGGTTCCCCATTAACAGTCGGTTATGTACTGTTAGATTAGAAAGTTCCATCAAATTGAGAAGAAACCGGCGTGAGAAACGGTGTCTTTTCGTCATCTCCGCCTATGCCCCGACAGATTGCAGCCCGGATGCAATCAAGGATGAGTTTTACCATCAGTTAACAGTTCTACTCCAGAAAGCGCGTTCGACAGATATTGTAGTACTAGCCGGAGACTTGAATGCACAGGTCGGGCGTCTAGGTGGCCGATGGGGACTTGTTGGTCGCAGGACAGATAACGGGGACCGTTTGCTGCAACTGTGCACAGACTACTACCTGTTTCTGGCTAGCACTAACTTCCGGCACAGTCATCGCCGGTGTGCCACCTGGCGTCCTCCCTCTGCATCCCAAGCCTGGACTCAGATTGATCACATCGCGATCAGCTACCGCTGGCGTGGTTGTGTACAAGACTGCCGCTCCTTTTGGAGTACCTATCTGGAGTCTGATCATGCCCTGGTCTGCGCCAATCTCACCTTACTTTTCAGTGGCCGAAGGATTGACCACCACCAACGGATTGATATTAGTAAACTGGCTGCAACTCCTGTTGCAAGTAAGTACCGAGCGGAGCTAGCCTCTAGGCTAGCTAACACCCCACCGAAAAGTATAGATGAGCATTGGTTGCATCTTCACGACGCCATGAAAATGGCGAGTAAAGCCGCTTGCGGCTTCGCGAAACGTCCCGCTTACAAGCACTGGGTTTCTTCTGGCTCCTTACAACTGATGGAAGCCCGTCGGTCTACTCCGGGTGACCGTGAGTTTGACCACAAACGAAGGCTGTTACGTAATGAAATTGGGCAAAGCTTGCATAAGGACCGGGAAGCCTGGTGGTCGGAGCGTGCTAATGAGATGGAAGCAGCAGCTGCATCTGGTAACTGCCGGAAGCTCTTCCAACTCATCCGAGCCACTGGCAGCAAGAAGTCTGGTGTGAGTGAAACAATCTACGAGGATGATGGGATGCCAATCACTAACAACTCCCGACGTCTTGGACGATGGGTGGAATTTTTCGAAGGGCAGTTCAACTGGCCTGCTGCTCCGGCAACATCAACCAGCTTGTCCTGCCCCCCATGGCCGGTGACGACTGATCCACCAAACGAGGCGGAAGTCCGCAAGGAACTCCAACTCTTGAAGCGCTACAAATCACCTGGCCCAGATGACTTACCTCCGGCTCTTTTTAAAGATGGTGGCGACTTTCTGACTAAGGAATTGACTGTGTTGTTTGGAAAGGTTTGGGAGCAAGAAAGTGTTCCAACATCATGGAATGAGTCAATAGTCGTCCCTATCTTTAAAAAGGGTTCGCGTTGTTCCTGCAATAACTATCGGGGGATAAGTCTACTTCCGATTGCGTCCAAACTATTGGCTTCTATCATTCTTCGTAGGTTGTTTAAAACCCGAGAACGATTGACTCGCGAGGAGCAGGCTGGTTTTCGTTCTGGTCGAGGATGCATTGATCACATCTTCACCCTCCGCCAAATGTTAGAACACCGTCATACTTATCGCAGGCCAACAATCGTAGTGTTTCTTGATATCAGGGCGGCCTTCGATTCGTTGGACAGGACTGTTCTCTGGGATTGTCTATTGAAGAAGGGTGTGCCTGAGAAGTTCATTAACATCTTAAAGGCCCTGTACACGAACACCTCAGGCAGAGTGAGGGCATACAACCACCTTTCTCCCTTGTTCCATTCGAGCAGTGGGGTTAGGCAGGGTTGCCCGATCTCACCATTCCTCTTCAACTTTGCCATCGACGACATCTTGGAAACAGCTCTGATGGATGTAAGTAATGGCGGTGTGGATATGTTGCCTGGAGAACGACTTCTCGACCTTGAGTATGCGGATGATATTGTCTTACTGTGCGATAATGCCCAAGGCATGCAATCAGCACTTAATCAGTTGGCAATCAGTGTCCGCAGGTACGGCATGTGCTTTGCACCCTCCAAGTGCAAAGTACTTCTACAAGACTGGCAGGATTCTAATCCTGTACTCACCCTGGATGGTGAGCAGATCGAAGTAGTTGAGAAGTTCGTGTATCTAGGTAGCTATATAAGTGCTGGTGGTGGCGTGAGTGATGAGATTGATGCACGTATAAGGAAAGCCAGATCGGCTTATGCCAATCTGGGCCATCTTTGGCGCCTTCGTGATGTTAGTCTGGCTGTAAAAAGTCGGATTTACAACGCGTCGGTGAGAGCAGTTTTGCTCTATGCTTGTGAAACCTGGCCTCTCCGAGTTGAGGATGTTAGACGTCTCTCTGTGTTCGATCATCGTTGTCTCCGAAGGATTGCTGACACCCAGTGGCAACACCATGTTAGTAATGCAGAGGTTCGGCATCGTGTGTTCAGGCGCCGAGACGATAATTCAATTGGTGTCACCATCTTGAAACACCGACTTCGGTGGCTTGGACATGTTTTACGAATGTCGTCCCAGAGACTTCCACGTCGTGCATTATTTGCCGACCCTGGGACTGGTTGGAAAAAGCGGAGAGGAGGTCAGTGTATGACATGGTGTCGTGGCATGAAAGAAAGCTGAAAAGGGCTAGCTTCTGTTGGTCCTTCACGACTCCTTGGTTGGGGTCCGAGAGATGGTGCAACACAGTGGCTAGAGACGTTATCAGATATGGCTCAGAATCGAAGCCAGTGGCGATCCTGCTGCAACCTTCTTTTACTTTCTACATAAAGTATGGTTCTTACTTTCCTTTTTGAAAGAGTCTTCTGGTTGTACATTTTAGTCCGCCTTATCTTTTCATCCCTTCTCTTCCTACTTTCATTATTTTGTGTGGCGCATATGTACCTGGTGCCCTCTTGTACCAATATATATGTGTTTAAATAAAATAACTAGGTAAATATAGTGAACCGATAGACGTTGTAGTGGATTCTTATCAACTGAGATTATTAGAACATGTATTAAATATGGCCATCCACCGAATACCTCATGACGCAATGATGGAAGGTGTAAAAGTAGATTGGGGGAAAGACATGGGCGGCTAAATCAGGATGCGGCATCAGTCTATGAAGTCAGTGACAATTGAATTAGGTCATACTAATGACGGATGTAGACTACCTGGTTGGTGTAGGCATGATTTTCGTAACAAACGGATAAACTAGATAACATGGCTTAACATCGTTCGTTTTTAATGGCACAAGAGCATTGGCTCCCTTTAAAACCTGAGTCCTGAAGCCTTTTTAGACCTATTTGTTTTATTTTTCATACCTGATTTTTTACTATTAATACTTCCACTACACTAGAACAGGTCACATACCAAAACCACACGGCAGGCAATAAATGAAAACGAGGCATAATAGTAGAGTGAGCAGTTTATTCACTTTATTAACGTCACAGTTTACAGGTTAGACGGGTTGGCGAAGACAAATATCTGCACTCATGTTTTCAGTGCATGATAATCTGGGTCAACAAATAAAGCCCCCAAATTATTTCTGTTTATTCACTTGTATGAAGACCAGACCGAGTTTATGTATCATATGCATTGAAAATTGAATCAGGCATTGCAGAGCATAACTCAGATAACTACCCAACGGAGTACGAATTTTTGCGTCAAAACCATGAGGGCAATAAGATTTTTATCATAAATTCCGAGCTAAACAGACAGCAGTGTTATGCTGAAGTGTACTTTCAAAGTAAACCCCAAAGTGACGTTTCACAAAGTTTCGAAGAAACTTCGGTAAGCTATGATTTTTAAGAGCATTTGTAAGAATTTAGAACTCACTACTTAGTAGAGAACTTTGTGATGGCTAAAAGTAGCTTTGGTCGGTCATATGTATGTGAGGAGGATTAATAAATCTTAGACGTTGTAGTCATTTATCAAATCACTGCATTAACTCTCTCCCTCCGAGCAACATGAAAATACCAAAGTATCCAGTAGTTACCCAAATGAATGGTAATAACACTGTAAGCACATCTCAGTACTTATATAAAGCTACGAGTTGTCGCTCTACTATTGCATATATTAACAAAAGTTCAAGTGTCAGCTGAGTATCAGTAATGGGAGTTTAGATAATTTCTATTACAAGATTGCTTGCATGAAAGGTGCAACACTGTAGACTATTTCACACGTATACTGAATAATTTGAAGGGAAATTTTGTAACAACTTAAAATTTATTCAAAAACTTTTACCAAAAACAAACTTTGTTAGTGATTGAGTCGAAATAAAAGTCTTTTTTAAACTGAACACAAACTAATTTTCCATTAGAACTTAAGTGTAATATTTCCATTAAATTTTCCCCGGCTAACCAAAATTGTTGGTCTATGAATTTAAATATCAAACGTGGAATTCCCCGTCTATTGATTCAACCTCACCCAACAAATTATTGGCACATGAGACTACTTTAACAAATGCATCGTAGGCGGGTGGAATTTTACAGATAACAAATACATATATCTCTGAAATTCAACTTCAATACACTTAAAAACTCACACAGATACCGATTTCAGCCTTTGGTTAATTTGCGTCTGGCTTGGAGGTAGGTTGTGTGTCTGGGAAATACAAAGAGCAGTGTGTGTGAGTAACTGGAGGAAAAGAGAACAAACAAAAGTGAGTCGACAACTCAGTAAAGGCATAGAACACACTGACATTCATTAGTGAAAGTAATAGACAATTAGCTATAACACAGGAGTAAGATTAATACAATACAATGTATGATGACAGTGTGAAGTTTCAAATATGTTCTGTCTAAGTAAGAGTAAGCTAATCCATATTGGATACGGTAATGGATACCGATGTACCATTAATAGGATACTACTCCAATAAATACATCAACAAAAGGACCTAGGAGTAATTCAAAGTCATGACTCAAAAATTGAGTACTGTAATGAAGCAGCCGATAAAATTTATCAATTGTTAAGATCATTTTATAGAGCTTTTAAATGCATTGACAAAGATATGTTTCGGGTCTCCAACCCCATCCTAGTATACTGCACCAAGATTTCTAGTGTCTTATTAAAAGCGCTGACGTACTTGAGCTTGTTGCGTGAACAGTAACAAAGCTCATCATGAGCCTTTCCTACTTCTTTCAAGACGTGGGAACAAACTGATTAAATCTTTTATCTCACTCGTAAAATACGAGATGATTGTTGCTAACAGGGTGACCGATTTCAGAATTTCGGGGAGACCCTACGGTTTTCCACAAAGTCATGCGGAAACTAATAATTTCCCCCAAATTCTATGAAGGTTTCTGGGATTTCTCTTTCATTTCCCCGAAATTTTTTATTACAGCTTACCCAAATGGGGATTAAACCCACAATCAAGAGGTTGATAGGCATGTCTTCTTGTTAGAAGTTCGCATTTTACACAGTGGCTTTTGTGTCAACATTTTTGATTTTTTGCTTCATCTAAGGCATATCATATTCGAGACCATAAGGAGAAATTTCAAAACTGCAATCCATCGAACTCAGAGTGGGAATTCGTTCCTTTCGAGTGTTCAGCGACTGGAAAATTCTAACCGAGCACATAATATGAGCCTCATTGGTAAATACTTCAAAGTAAAAACCGAAACTTTACCGAAACATATCGTAGGGATCAATATAAAAATATAAAATATATTATTAACTGACCCTAAGCAAAACCCTTGTTCAAAAGCCGCTCCCTAACAATATCCAATATCCGAATCTTCGGGAATCTATAGAACAAACCAGCAAAGTTCCAGGTTCTTGTTCAAAATGGTTCAAATGGTTGAGGACAGAATAGAAGAAGTTTTCGCTTAACGGGCCTTCGTGTCTGGTAGCAGTGGATCACCAATACCTCCAGGCAAGAATCTAGGTATATGAACGATAATAGAGGAGGCGTTACCGCGCGAGTTTAACAGGTACGTAACACCTAGTATGTTTACGGGTGATGTTCCCGAACCTTACGAAACTCTCTAGGATTGACTTAAAGTGATGACCCCGTATTTTTTACTCCATAAAAATAACCGTTATGTCACATTTTCATCTTCTACTTTTCCCTTCCACTCTTATATTGGTAGTGGTAAATTATTCTACAATATGAATAGTTCTGTAGGTTGTAGCTGTAAATAATTCCCCAAATCAATAGCTCATTAAGAGTTCGACATTGGATGCTGACCACGTTGTTTAAGTGGACTTGTTTAGCTGAAGGCTTTCGGTCATGCATCCGTACCAGATCACGTTTCAACTCGGCGTGGGACACTGCTCCTACGTTTCCATAGCCAGCTTATAGTAAAGGATCCTCGATATATTGGTAACGTATCAAATATATCTTTCCTACCTCTTCTCGTCTGACTTCTGATATCTATTTGACCGGGAACGATCGATTATAGAAGATACTACTGGTTGCTAGTTGTAAACCTAGAATATCCGTTGTATCCTCAAAGTCTTCGGTAGTTAAGATGAACTCATTGATTTCCTGGACATACCGAGGCTGAAGGCGCTCAGTAAAGCATTCTCACCAGATCACTAATGGATTCGGGGTGCTAGGCATCACTCTCAACAACAAGTCAGTTTACTTTACCTACTTTTCAACATACTGACCACTTAACAAATTCGTCATTGAACTCGTCTATTCTTGACTTATGGTGTGACTGTGTCTGAGATCCTCGGTCATAGATATGTTACAAACAATAGAATTTTCATGTCCTTAATGTCCATTAGGGACGTTAAGGCTAGGATCTTCAAAGCAATGGTGGTGTAGTGCCAGTGAAATGTAACTGAACCCTAGCCAAATTATCCGGCAGTTGGGTAAATGAATATCGAACAGATCATCGATCCCTGTCAAGGTCAAGGATAGTCAATGCGCATCAGTTAATCATACGCCATGGACTGGCCCATGCGGCAGTGATTCTACTTCGCTTGTATCTACTTTAACTAATATATTCCTGTAATAACATCTCGTGTGTTATACAGTCTTCAGAGCATTCATGGTCCCTTGATACGTCTATTGGGCAATCCGCGTAGGGTGATGGTCGCGAGGTGTGACTTCAAAGTTAACTTGTTCGTTACACCGTTCCCGTCTTACTCGAGTAGGCCTCCAATCATTCGACATAGACCATCAACGTTGATTGTCTACACTAGTATTCCTATAATTGAAGAACACATAAAACTAAAAATAACTGTCAGTCAATATGAAAGTCAAAATCTTCAATATCAATGTCAAAGAAGTCCTACAGCGTGGAGCTGAAACTAGCAGAACTACTACAATTATCATCAAAAACGTGCAAGTATTTATAAACGAGTGTCTACACAAAATACTCAATATCCGTTGACCATCAGAAACAGCCCGTTGTGGGAGAGGACAAACCGGCTTCCAGCTGAAGAGGAAATCAGAAAAAGACGTCGGAAATGGATAGGATATACATTGCGGAAATCACCAAAGTGCACCACGAGGCGAGCGCTAACTTGGAATCCTGAAGGGAAGTGGAAAAGAGTAAGACCGAAGAACACACTGTGTCGAGAATTGGAAGCAGACATGAAAAAGATTAACGGAAACTGGAAAGAAGTGGGAAGAAATTCTCAAGACAGAGTTGGATGGAGAACGCTCGTTGGACGCCTATGCTTCTCCATGATGGGTAACAAGCGCAAGCAAGTAAATATCCATTACACCTTATATTTCATATATTTTATGTCTTTGTCACTCAACTGAGAGATTAGTGGGGTCAGTAATTGCCATATGACCAGGGAAGGTTCTAGTCATTCTCTTTGAATCAGATTAGTGAGTTCAATACTCATTTGATAATTTATTTGGCTGAAATGGTAGCAATATCTATTTATTACTGGCCGCCTAAAAAGGGATCTTCTGTCTACAATGTCTTTTCATAGTCTCTCAGACCCTTAGATATGATGAGTGTTTCTGTTACATAAAACGAAACAGCCACCATCGATGAAAATAGAGAATGATACAATGTTCTACTCCCACCGTTTACCACATTGAGATCCTAGATGTGCTAATACAAAACCATACTGTTGACCGTTCTGTGTATAGCAGTGGTGTAAATTGCTGCTTTGAGAAGTGTTGGAATGATCATTCATGAGAAGAGATGGCGAAGAAAACAGACCAGCCGGACACTCGCCTGATGCATTCGACACACAACCTATCAGCCAAAGAGCTATCCTTACCGCTATTTGGTGCCCATATCATGATGTTTTGAAACTATACTAACGGTCGGATACTCTGGTTGTTGTAAGTTTAATTACTAGGATACAGTAGTCATGGTGAATTCAAGAGGCATTTGAGTGTTCAATAATTTTGTGACCAGTTGTGTAACTTCGTCCTAGGATCAGGCTTAAAATCCGAGTTTTTTATTGCTGTTGGTGATGACTGATGACTAATCTAATATCCCCTGTTCCTAAGATATCCAAGTGTGAGAGTGTGAGATTATGATCTATTTCCGTATCAGTACATTTGTCTTTCCTACTGTAATAGTAGACCTAACCACGAAACTGTAAATATGTCATGATGTGCCTACCTAATCTATAAGGTCTCACGTATTAGTCACACCATTGTTCACACCGATTCGTCCTATCCTATCAATCGGCGATTTGACCTCTAGCACTTCTGAAGAACACATTTGAGCTGGGAAGAGGGCAATGTATCTGATACAATAAGCGGGAAGTTATGTGACCACGCCTGCACGACCGAGTCATACCATTTTTATTTATTGTTGCCACGTCCACCATTGTTGACATCTCAGTGATACTTGCCAAATGTGAATCTTCTCAGCAATTATATGTTCAGCCGCTAGAATCGTGTGGTTAGGATTCAATACCACTATAAAAGTAAAATCTTGGTGACCAAAACAGTGACGTTAATCTCTGAGAAAGAATAGTTTATCCACAATATCTCGAATACTTCAGTCATACGCAGGGAATAACTGAGGTATTTAGCATAAGGTTTTCTTGTTTTCTGCATAATTCTGTTCTGAAAATACTAAAAGTCGAGTTCTCACAAGTAATGGCCTTCTCAGGGCTAACAAAGTAGAATCTGGTGTCGTATTCTCATGACTGTATTAACTTTATGTGACACTGCCCACTGAAGTAATAATTTGAGTCTTGGAGGATAGGAGGCTGTATGGCTTGTAGGATTCCTGACAATGGGATCACTTAGATGGACCAACTTTCTTTAATGTATCGTCGAATGGAGCTTAAACCCTGTGTTGAGAAAAGGAGTTCACAGCGCAACAGGTAAACCCAAGTCTGGACAAAGTCTCACACTCCTGTGCAAGCAGTGTTAACTTTGTATACCTGTTTACGTATGAAAATAAGCAATTAAAGCTGTTGGAATTCTGTGATATATCTACCAAACAAACAAAAACGTAGACGAAGAGTAGATCAGTGGTTGAAGAACTCTTATGAGTGAATTCGTTATTTGGTTGATCTCAAAATCATTAATGTAGGTGAACTATTTGAATAGCCTGGGTTCACTCGATATGAACAAGAACGTAACCGCTCAGTTTATTTCAAAATCGAAACTCGCGTTTAATACCCGATTTAGCTTATCCTATTTTGACAAGCAGGTTAAGTGACTTTCCAGGTGATTAGCCAGAATAAATACTGTCAGTGAACGACGGTATAAATCACTGTGAGCAGGTTTCAAAAGTACGAAACTGAACTTCCGGTGCATGCGACTTCCTGTGGCTTGAAATTGATATGTCAGTGTTAATCATACTTGACTTTGACTACATTTGATAAGCCTTCTGTCGGTAAATGGTCAGTTGTCCAGCATGGAAATGGTTAAGCTTGAGTGGTGATTGTCTAGGGTTGAATAGGGCCCGTTGGCGTTCCACTGACCTTGCAGACCACTTGTTGGGAAGCCTGAAACTCTTTATCTCACTTTTGTGGATTTCCTTGAAAATTACACAACGTCTGCTTAGTATTCACCAAATTATTTGTGAATTTTAAGCCAACATATGACGAACCATATCCATTACTAAATACTAAATTTCTTAAATTCCAAGGGACTAAGAGGCGAAGTATTCATGTAGTTGAATCACAGTTGGTCTGGCAATCGGAATCGGTTGACGATATGAACGGTTTTTAAATGCAGAAAGCGACGCGAAGTGCAAACTACAGTCTATTATTGGATAGCGCAGGTAACAAAGCTACAAGTAAGCCAGTCGATTTTGAGTAGAAAGGCTAATACACATAAGTGGATACGGATTCGTACTCGGAGTCTAATCAACTACTAAGATTCAAGCATATATATATATATATATACAAGCAAATGATCCATCGAACGGTATATGCAGAGAGCCGACATACCCATGAAAACTTCAACGAGAGTGTAATCAGATCCTACGTAACGCAGTTTATGTCGACAAAACTTGAGATATTCACGCTATACCTCTTTCTTACACATTTTAAGATGTACTCAAGGGCTCACCTCGAAAGACAAACATCACTGTAATGATAAATCTCTACTTAAACCCTACTGTTGCACGTTCACGTGGTGATCTTCGGCCGATTGGACGTGAAAAATCATACACTGGACTGACTTCACACTTCTTCACCAAAGTTTGGCCCTGAATGGGACGCTCCTACATCCGGGTAGACCCACTTGATGGACAGTTCCAAAACGAGAACTGATAACCATGTACGCACTCAAGATTTATTGTTCCCTTTGATAAGGTGATAAACCACATCCGAATATTGTGAAAAATGATTTGCATTTATTTGTCCTTCCTATAACAAAAACCTTGAACCGTATTCTAACACCAAGAAGCGAGCGCAAAAATATCATCTAGTTGACACTAGCCTATCAGAAAGATATTGGAGATAGTCAATCGGATTAACTACAAGCGAATACCAGCGCGAAGTGTAAATCTTGTGACGGTAGCAGGTTCGGCATGGTCGAAAAGTGATGTCATCGATTCTCGCTTATATGTTACATGTTGTCGCGGATTTTTAATGTCGTTTTTTGTCGGCTAATCGCAGTATTTTTCCGTCACATGATAATTTTTGTAACTCCGCCTGTAGCTCCTCTGGGGGTTACTGCCGGTCCCAAGCCCGGGTAAAGGAGGAGGGTTGGGCATGGGGTTAGCGACCCCATCCCGTAGAAAATCAACTCGCTAAAAAAACGCTAACCAGAAAAAATCATTCAAACCTTTCAAACTCTGCCCTGGGAGTGGAAGGAATAATTATGACGTCTCATGATGAAAGCCGAGTTCCTTCGGAAGTCATGAGGCCGATGCACCTTCTTACAACCAGAGCGACAATTTTTATAGGTACATGGAATGTTCGAACAATGTGGGAGACCGGAAGAGTTTTCCAAATTGCTGCAGAAATGAGAAAATACAACCTGGAGGTTCTTGGAATCAGCGAAACACATTGGACGCAGGTTGGACAACAACGACTGTCTTCAGGAGAACTTCTGTTATACTCCGGTCATGAAGAAGAAAATGCCCCACATACACAAGAGGTTGCATTGATGCTGTCCAGAAAAGCACAAAATGCACTTATAGGATGGGAATCTCATGGACCAAGGATCATCAAAGCCTCCTTCAGAACAAAGAGAGAGGGCATTACAATGAACGTCATCCAATGCTATGCGCCTACTAACGACTATGACGAAGACGCTAAAGACCGATTCTACGATAGGCTGCAGTCGATCTTCCAGAAGTGCCCAACCAAGGACCTGCCAATTCTGATGGGAGATCTCAATGCTAAGGTTGGAATGGACAACACTGGATACGAAGACGTCATGAGACAACATGAACTGAGAGAAAGAAACGAAAATGGTGAGAGATTTTCAAACCTATGTGCCTTCAATAAACTGGTCATATGTGGCACCATATTCCTACACAAAAACATACACAAAGCCACTTGGATTTCACCGGATCACACTGCACAAAATCAAATTGACCATATCTGCATCAACAAAAAGTTCAGGAGGACGATGGAGGATGTGAGAACCAGAAGAGGAGCTGATATAGCATTTGATCATCATTTGCTGGTCGCCAAGATGAAACTAAAACTCAAGAAGCAGTGGACAACGGCGCGGACAACATCACAAAAGTTTAATACGGCCTTTCTTCGAGATGCTGACAAACTCAACAAATTCAACATAGCCCTCAGCAACAGGTTACAGGCCTTTCATGACCTACTCAATGGAGAGGGGACTACCATGGAGAGCAACTGGAAAGGTATTAAGGAGGCAATCGTTTCAAAATGTCAGGAGGTTCTGGGCCAAAAGAAGCACCATCACAAGGAATGGATCACTGTTGGTACACTGGATAAGATTGAAGTAAGGAGGAAGAAGAAGGCAGCAATCAACACCAGCCGAACCAGAGCGGAAAAAGCCAAGGCACAAGCCAAATACACAGAGGCAAACAAGCAAGTGAAGAGGAGCATCAGAACCGACAAATGTAAATATGTGGAAGATTTAGCAACGACAGCGGAAAAGGCTGCAAGAGAAGGAAACATGAGACAATTGTATGATACAACAAAGAAACTTGCTGGAAATTACCGTAAGCCAGAAATACCAGTGAAATGCAAGGAAGGCAAAGTAATCACCGACATTGAAAAACAACGAAACAGGTGGGTAGAACACTTCAAAGAACTCTTGAATCGACCAGCTCCACTGAACCCACCCAACATCGAAACAGTACCCACAGACCTCCCAATCGATGTTGGCCCACCAACAATTGAGGAGATCAGCATGGCCATTAGAAAAATCAAGAGCGGCAAAGCAGCGGGACCAGACAACATCACAGCAGAGGCACTGAAAGCAAATGTAACAGCAACTGCCAAGATACTCCACATCCTCTTCAGTAAGATTTGGGACGAAGAACAAGTACCAACAGACTGGAAAAAAGGACTTCTGATCAAGATACCAAAGAAAGGTGATCTTAGCAAGTGCGGCAACTACAGGGGCATCACTCTTCTCTCAATACCAGGAAAAGTCTTCAACCGAGTATTGTTAAACAGGATGAAGGATTCCGTAGACGCCCAACTTCGAGATCAACAAGCTGGATTTCGTAAGGATAGATCGTGCACAGATCAAATCGCAACTCTGCGGATCATTGTGGAACAATCAATTGAATGGAACTCATCACTGTACATCAACTTCATCGACTACGAGAAGGCATTTGATAGCGTGGACAGGACGACACTACGGCGTGCCTGAGAAGATAGTAAATATCATACGGAACTCCTATGATGGACTAAACTGCCAAATCGTCCACGGAGGACAACTTGTTGTAGCGTAAATCTGATTCTGTCTATACTCGTATGTAATAAATGACTTTATCCGCGTTGGTGAACAAGGGAGTTAAATACGTCAAATACGAGAATAGATTTAGAATACATATATTTTCTACAGTCATTGATCTGGCCAGAGAATGAGAGTGATGAAGCGAATAAAAGCGAACGAAGCGAAAGACCATGCGCAATGGAGATTGGCTGGGAAGCCAATTCGATTTAAGCAAGCGTTAATCAACATTTATAGTCGGACAAAAATGAGTAACAGACAATGACATACGATGAATAAGATACAAAGTGTACACATATATGCTCATATAAAAGTATAGTCAAGGTTAATAAGCAAATGATTAACAAGATCAAAATATGACTCATGACAGGCGAATTGGCTTGGCCAGTAGCTAGGATAAAGTATATGGGCTTAACATATAAACTGATACTACAAACTCACCGACTCGTTTGAAGTAAAGACCGGTGTTAGGCAAGGTTGCTTACTCTCACCCTTTCTCTTTCTCCTGGTAATCGACTGGATCATGAAGACGTCAACGACTGGAGGAAAGCACGGGATACAGTGGGCAGCTAGGATGCAGCTTGACGATCTAGACTTCGCGGATGATCTGGCTCTTCTATCACAAACGCAACAACAAATGCAGGAGAAAACGACCAGTGTAGCAGCAGCCTCAGCAGCAGTAGGTCTCAATATAAACAAAGAGAAAAGCAAGACTCTTCGATACAATACAATATGCACCAATCAAATTACACTTGACGGAGAAGCTTTGGAGGATGTGGAAACCTTTACGAAATCAGGTATGAAAATCAACAAAAGGATCACCCTACCATACATAAAGGGCATATCGGAAACGACAACAAGGCTGCTGAAAACCTTCGGAATAGGTGTAGCCCACAAACCAACAATGTCCCTCCACTCAATCTTATGCAAACCAAATGATGAAATGGCAAAAGAGGACAAAACAAACATCATCTACAAGATAAATTGTACCAACTGCAACAAACACTATAGTGGACAAAGCGGACTTCGCCTGCATCTTCGCCTACATAAACACCAATTAGCAGTCAAACGCCACGACATTTCTTCAGTCATATCTATACACGTGGACAACTACGGACATACATTCGACTGGAAAATGTGCAGATTTTGGATAGATGCAATTCCAAAAATACCAGAGAATTTTTAGAAGCTTGGCACTCAGGTCAATCAGCAATAAACAAACATATTGAAATCAATCCAATCTATCAACCAATCAAGAAAATTATGCAGGAGCATAGGAACAAAAATCAAAACAATAGGAGAGACAATCAAAACAAAGAAATAAACAATGACAGATTTAAGGTCAATAAGAACCAATCAACATCGAGGTGCAGAGGACAAGCTGTGAATCACATGTGGAGAAATTCAAACACTTCACTTCTACCCGAAGTTTGTGCTGATGATGTCGTTCAGAAGGACGATGAAAGCTCCACGACCAAACCATCCAGCTCAGAGAACAAACCAACATAAAAATGTCAAGACAGTTCTACTGTATGGGGAGGAGACGTGGAGAAATACGAAAGCCATTATCCAGAAGATACAAGTGTTCATCAACAGCTGTCTACGCAAAATACTTCGGATCCGATGGCCAGACACTATCATTAATAAGTTACTGTGGGGGACAACAAACCAGATTGCAGCGGAGGAAGAAATCAGGAGAAAGCGCTGGAAGTGGATTGGGCACACTTTGAGGAAATCAGCTAATTGCGTCACAAGACAAGCCCTCACATGGAATCCTGAAGGTCAAAGGAGAAGAGGAAGACCAAAGAACACATTACGCCGAGAAATGGAGACAGACATGAGAAGAATGAACAAGAACTGGATAGAACTAGAAAAGGAAGCCCAGGACAGAGTGGGTTGGAGAAAGCTGGTCGGCGGCCTATGCTCCATTGGGAGTAACAGGCGTAAGTAAGTAAGTAAATTTTTGTAATATTTATGCGTGTTATATGGCGTTTATTGCAGTCTATTGGTTGCCTGACGTATTTGGAGCTGACAACCTGGATGAATGTTTAGTCAGCCTAACTTGGTAATTTGTAACAATGCAAACTCAGGCAAGTGAAATTCATCATTTATCAAGTCAAAAATCGACCGAAGTTATAGTTTCAAGAAAAAAACAAGCTGTAAAATAATTTACATATGACTTACCTCTTTTATTATGGTAGTGACCCAAACAACTAATAAAGGGGAAATAAAGCGGACGAAAGCGTAAATAAAGTGGAAATGTTGCTTTTTCGCCTGCACATGAGGGACAGATTTGTAAGCACACAACATAATTTTTATCCTTTATTCCTATTACAGTTGGCCATGTTGACGCGTTTAATGGATGATGATCCTAAAACCTCCATGCGATATCTTCTGTCCTACATCATGAAACCTGAAGTCGCCATTAATTTCACGCAACTTGATACTTCATCAAAACGAGCGATTCAGAAGTGCCGGTTTTATGGCTGCGTACGAAGTAAGATAAATAAGGTTTTTAAATTTCAGGTGCACTTACTAATCGATTCTTGTCGTCATCTGTCAACGAGAAAGACCTTGCGAAACTATATGACATGGCTACACAAAGTTATTTTCACGACATGAGAGACAAAGTCCGGAAGCGTCATCGACGGAACAAAGAACACGTATGTACGGCTTTAAAGTGATTACTGTTTTTGCATTATCTATAGGAACAGTCTTCCATGTTCAAGGATATTACCGTAAGTTCAGCTTCAAGTACCTTGTTGTGCAAAACAAGTTTCCTAGATTCAATAACGTTTTTCTTCATCACATTTTAGAATTCACAAGAATTGTTTGACTCTCCATAGTCCAACAGGCCTGGTGGAAAGAAAGAATACGTGAAATGCCTGGTCTGTGACATTGACAATTGCATATTGAGTATTGATACTCTACCATCTGCTCATAACTCAAAATTGTACATTACGAAACAGAGGAAGCCAAATAAACGCTTTTGGCATTGATTTCGCGAATTTACTACAGCAAAAAACGACTCAAATGCGAGAAAATATGATATTTGTGCAACCCAGAAGACAACCAACCGACCCTCAACAAATCAAATACGTAATGACCGCCTCGTGTCAGGCCGTTCAAGGTCGCAAAAAGGAAACGGCGGGCAGGTTTGAAAACGCACTGACTTATTTACCTTGCCAGCAGGTTGGCATAGCCGACGTGATGTCGTTATTTATCAGCTATTAATAGCACTTTTTCCGTCACACGTCAATTTTCGTAATATTTATGCCTGTGCATAGCGTTTATTCCAGTTTATTGGTAGCTTGACGTATTTGTTGCTCACAACCTGAGTAAATGTTTAGCAATATTGCTAAACATTCGGATATTTAAAGTAGAAATCGGCAAGTCGTCAGATATTTAGGGTAATAGTTGGCAATTGTTCGGATATTTGGGGTAGAAATCGGCAATTTAGCGACATTTGAAAAACTGCGACAGAAAAGGGAAATTTTGCTTTATTTACCCCGGACAGGCGAAAAATCAGACATTTTGGCGCATTTCCCCTTTATTTATGTCTTATTTTCCAATGCATTTCCCCCCTTATTACCCCTTTGTTCGCTTTTATTTCCCCGTTATTGGTTGTTTGTGTTCCTAATTTGGTTATTTGTAACAATGCAAACTCAAGCATGTGACATTCACCATTTATCAAAAATAGACCGAAATCAGAGTTTCAAGCAAAAATAAGCTCTGAAATCACTTACATATGACTCACCTACCTAGTTATGGTAGTGATGAACATGGGTGTTGGTAGTTGTTTATAAATTGTAGACTGAAACAATTGTCAGTCAGTCAGCTACAACGTACGACCAGGCACATATATGCATCGGTCTAAGTTGCCATACCTCGTTAGCACAACAAGATGAACACCGGGTTCATAAAAGTAATTAATTTAGTGGTGGTAGTATATAAAGAAAGGTTGTATGTAAGAATATAGTATAGGAAGGAAGAGAGATATGAAGCAATTTTAGTCTCAAGGTTTAAAGGAAGATAAAGAGTGTATACACCTACGCTATTGTGATCGATTCTGAGCCATGTCACCTAGAGTCTCCAACTATTGGTAACGATAGTCACGCGGACCCCAACCAGGTAGTCTGCATCTGCCAACATGGCTCAGACTAGAAGATAGTGACTTCAAACACTGATGCCATGTTTTGGTTTGGCCGCCCCTAACTCTCTTCCAACAATCCCCTACACTAGTCATCATAGCGCGTCGTGGTAATCGATGTTCAGGCATACGTAACACGTGGCCCAACCATTTCAGTCGATGAAGATTCATCACCTCATCAAATGATTTACCATCATTCCCTGATACCCTGCGTCTAACCTCACTATTACTTACCCGGTGATCCCAGCAGATGCGAGCAATATTTCTAAGGCATCTGTGGTCAAATACTAGTAACCTACGAGTATCTTCTACTCTTAATGACCATGTTTCGCAGCCGTAAAGTAGAACAGGGCGAACTGCTGCGTAGTATACTCGTCCTTTAATTGATAGACAGATATCTTGTCTTCGCCATAGGTGACGTAAGTTGGCAAAAGCCAAACGAGCTTTTTGAATCCGTGCTGAGATTTCGTCAGACACCAACCCATTAGGGCTGATCAGACTTGCAAGATAAGTGAAGTTGTCAACGCGTTCGACTACTTCACTCCCTATCTTTAGTTCAGGTGTTGACGCAGGCCAGTCCTGGAGTAACAATTTACACTTGGATGGGGAGAAACGCATCCCAAACATCCTGGCATTATTACTGAGTTCCAACAGAAGACTCTGCATTTTGTCAGCGTCTTCACCAAACAGGACTATGTCATCTGCGTATTCTAAGTCGCTTAGTGGTCCCCCTGGTAGGAGATCAATTCCTGAAAAATTCAGTCGACGATAGTGTTATTTCCAGCAACAGGTCTATAATGAAGTTAAACAAAAATGGGGATAGTGGACAGCCTTGACGGACACCACTTGAGGTTGTAAAATCATATGACAGTTCACCATAAGCTCTCACTCGACTGGTAGTGTTTGAGTAAAGAGCCTTCACAAGGTTTATGTACTTCTCAGGTACACCTTTCAATGACAGACACTGCCACAGAACCTCTCGGTCTACAGAGTCAATTGCTGCTTTCAAGTCAAGAAAAACTATCATTGTCGGACGCCGAAAAGTATGTCTGTGCTCTAAAACTTGATGAAGGAATTGAGCTTTAAACTAATTATGAATATTATGTAGCTTACTTAATATACAGCAGTAAACAGTTCTATTCATTATAAGTATAATCGTTTTCGACTGGACTGATGTATTATTACGTAAGGTATCTGAGAAATAAAAATTATATGGGTAACAATTGAAGTTGATGCCCTTTTCTGCCCGCTTTCTGAACATTTACAGGAAATTAGCATAACATTATTGTGAGTGCTACATAAATCAGCCAAATATTCTTCATAAGTTAAATCATATGCTCTGAGTTTCAGTTCCTAGATTGTCGTGATTTGAGGTTTGTGTCATTGTTGATTGTTGTATGTTGTTTTCCGTAGTAAATGTAACTACACTTCATGTTCCCGCTGGGTTGTCAACTTACTTTTCCTTTTGTTTTTTCCAGCCCCAGGGCGTGAGCTCGAGTTTACGCTACTCTTCTTGCTACCATAGTCCACGAAATACCTTCTGGATAAACGGGAACCAATGAATGATACGTTACAATAATTTTCTTGATTGAAAACTTGTTTACTGGTGACTCTTAAGGCTTTATCTTATAAAAACGTGAGTACAATAACGATACGGCCTATTTATTTCTGTATCACGTGTTACATGCCAAACTACATAGGGTCTAATGAATCAGATATCAAGTATTCTATAAAACCCATTTAAAAGGTCTCGGCAACAGTAACATCCGATAGTATAATAAGCAAGATTACTTCTTAGTTAGAATTGAGAGATGTAATCTAAACACAGTATACTGGCTACTGAGTACAGCTATCCTTCAATTACTTAGGTAACTTTCTATTTTATATAATAAAAGATTGGTTTTTTTTGTTTTTTCTTGCGTACGACCAAATTCACGGAAAATCTTTAAGACCAAATAATCCTGTTTTGATAGAGTATGGTGAAGTTATGATGACAAAGTATTTGACATCAAGCGTCTGCGGGGAGTAGCTTGAACCAGCTGTAGGCTGTGCTATATTCTCTAATAATTATGTTGTTTTTCGCTTGTTTATTTTTCACACTTTTTACTTTAGTATCAAAGAATCTTCTTTGTTCTATCGGCTTCCGCCAACCGAGTCCTTACTTTCCTGTCATAAATGAAGCTAAGTAGCTTTCCGCCGTCATCAGGAGTCGCTGTTCAGGTGAGATTGCAACTTTCTTTATTAATCATCACTTAATAATTAGATTCAGCCTAGTCGTAAATGTCTTTTTTACCCCCAAAGAAATATTGTTTGAAATCTAGATCAGCATGTTTGGAAATTTGAATGAGTTATTTAGATACAGTCCGTGGTTTTCATTGTAAATTAAAGTTACTCCTCACTATAACTATAATTAGTACTACACATCCTGCTCATCATTACGACATTCATCTCTGAACCTTGTAATCTACCCGGGGTATTTCATTTCATTTATTTGAAAACAGTCACCTATTCAAACTTCAAGTTCACTAATATCTCACCGAGTTTACAATTTATTAAGGACCTTGAATTATTGTTACACGTTAAATTTCCAACTCTTCATACTATCTCCGATGCTTACTAAATTTACCACTTAGGCATTTATCTTGATAATTCCATTCTAGTTTGCTGATATTGCGTGGCAACTTGAACCATCAGATGTCAGGTTCTACATTGCATGTGACTAACTGAATAAGATGACATCCGAGGAGTATGCAGCAGGCACCGATTAAGATGACATGACTATTTATTTTAATCTGATACATATTCTGGTACAACTGGAGACCCAAAAAAGTATCCTTCACGTAAATAAAGATACATTGTCAAGGTATACAGAAGAGGAGTGCGGTCAAAAAATATACAGTAGACCAAAGGTGTGTAACAGGAGATACAGCTCAATTATAAATGCAATCAAGAAAACCCTTCAGTTGAACAGGTTCCATTCCCCCATCTTCCAGAGCTGTTCCCAGAATATCATCGATAACAAGCTGAAGAATAAAGGGGATCGGGCAATTCTACCCGACCCCATTTATGAATTTAGACAATTGTATGCCCTCACTTTGCCTGAGTTGTTTGTGCACAGAGTCTTTTGGATCTTGTTAAACTTCCCAAACACCTCTTCAATACAATTCCAGAGCAGTCCTGTCAAACTAATAGAAAACACTCCTGGTATCCATAAACACAACGTATGTTACCCTTAACTGAGTGTGGTGGTCCCCTAAAATTTGGTGAAGATATGGTCAATAAATCCACGACCTAGTCGAAAATAACCTGCTCCTCATGAGTCAGTTTTTCACAGGCTCTAAACAGTCTGCAAAGTATAACGAAAGCCAGTAATTTAGATACGATTGAGAGTAAACTTGCCCCACAATAGTCGTTACACAGATTATACAGACTCTGAAAAGATGGAGTCGACGGTGGCTTTATTTCATTATTTGGAAAACTCGGTTTATCAGACTTTTTCAAGCAACCTTATTAGCTCCCTGACTGAAAATTCGCAACTTCCCTCAGAAAGAGCCGGAGGTAGATCGTTTGGTCTGAGTTAGCTCATGTAACAGGAAGATGGAGATTATTGCAGAGTCTCGGAGATGTAGTGTACGAAATCATGGCTTTCCAAAAGTACAGCTTGAAGCAATTAGTCCTTCCTTATTTTTAGGGAATATTTCTTATGATTCTTACATACTTTTTTTTAGTGTAAATCGGTGGACATTAGTGAATATCGATCGAGTATTTTTTGGCATATACTGTTTTACGATTCATGACCAGTTCACCAAGATTAGCTTATCACTTGTTGCGTTTACAGCACTGCCATTCTACATCAATATAAACGTGAATACCTGCCAGTCATTGAGGAGTATTTTCCAAGTAGTAGATGTTAAACACATCAAATATTGTGGAGGCTCTTGAAGGAAATATACAGAACCGCGTTTCGTCAACTTTTTCTTGATAGTTCATATGGAATGATTTACCTCAGAATAAATCCTCTGGAGTATTTCCTAGAAAAGGAATTGCTTATTGGGCTCGATAATCTTCATTTAGACCATTATGTTTGGTTGATCACTCCGTTTCTTGTTGCGAAAAAGATACGTGAGCAACGTGTGGAGATAAGCACAAGTTGGTTGGGGTCATATGAAGCCTCCAGATCGACTTTTAAGTGTAGTTATTATTGTGTTTATATCACTATTTCAGTTCATCATATGTTTTGGAAATATTGTCATAATTACTCGAGCGAATAACGTTTTGACATCGTGAACATTTTTACGAAGATGCTTCTACAATTATTTGTTAATTTTTTCATCTTTTGTTCACTCAGCCGAATGTACGATGTTTAGTCGGGTTGTATGGATCTCTTAAGGATTCCAGTCTTGAAAACCTCAATCGACTAGTAGAAGAAGATCGAGATGAACAAGAGATTTTGCGATATGCAATAAGTCACGCAGAGTCTGATGAGGTCCGATTTTTAGTTGGATCTCAGTCTCTGAAGCCACAAGGTAGTCAGGCAAGTTTTACATCCCTTACAAGCGTTATCTTAAATCTGTACTTGAAATCTCTTTCAATATAATATTATATATGGCTGGGTAGTATCACCAAACAACAATATTTGTTTTGTCTACTAATGAATTAAGAGGTTTGGTGCAACAGCATTAAACGTGTGTCATATTAAGAGGAATGATAATATTGCAGATAAACTAAAGGAAAAAGAACCCTGTAATCAAATAAGTAAACAAAGACAGTATTTAGTTTCAAATACAGCTTAACTAGAAGTGCAAACAAAACAAATTCTTACGTAATAAGGTTCATCGTATTGCGGAAATGGGAACAGAATAGAGTCGCTTGGGTGGTCAGTGGTACTTAATGATCGCAAGTCAGATAATGGTGACTGTCTTCTGCATCTTTTCATGGACGATTACCATTTTTTAGGCAGTACCGATTTCCAGCACATTCATAGCCGGTGTCACATGGCATCATCCTACTGAAACTCAAGTTTAGACTCAGGCTGACCACACCAAGATCAGCCAGCACTGACTTTCTTGTGTAAAAGACTCGCTCTTTTTGGAATGTCTATCTGAACTGTGATCATGCTCTAGCTTGCTCCAAGCTTATCTTGCCTTTCGGTGGACAGAAAATGTTCTAGACAGATCGATATAAGAAATTCACCTGCCTCAGTTTTGGTATTCAGATTGTATCTGCACCCTCAATCAAATAACGATAATTACCAGTGAAGATAATGAACCACTCGCTTCCCTAATCATACAAGTTATAACCATACTTATTTTATGTTCAAATATGATTTATTTCACTTCGTTTTATTTTCTTATTGTACACACTTTTTTTTGTTCTTATTTGGATCTTTAACTCACTTAACAGCTTATCTTTGTTCAGAATTCTATCTCATTTAAACGGTGTTTAGTCATTGAATGATTGATTTCTGAATGCCGTTGTCAGATTGGACATCATTGTGATAAGTGCGGCTCAAAGTCCAGACTAAAAACCAGCCACTGCAGCGACATTTTGGTATTAACCCAATCATATACTGAGTAGTATCAATTATCTGGCGTAGTACCCAGTTACTGAAAAAAGCGTCTGTACTCACTATATTTACTTTCCATGGAATTCTGGTTCCAAAGAATGTCTAACAATCGCTCATTTATCCGCTTGTATATCCATTTAAGTGTTCATCTTCCTAAAGAACTCAGTAAATTATACGTAATCAGTTCATCGAGTTTTTGATTACGCTTGTTTTCTTTTCACATTTTTTGGTAGATCACTTTGGTAACACTCGTGGAGTCATTAGATATCGACTTGAAAAAACAGACTTTTGCACATCCAAATGGAGAGGTTACTTCATTAGTTACATTGGCATCTAAACCAGATTGCTTTATATCAGTGTCAGCATCATGTAAGTTTTGTTAGCATATGAAATTTCTTATACGGATACTTGTTTTGAAGATTTTACTATTAACGGGTGACTCATAATAAAGCTTATACCGACATAACTTTCAACTATACCCTAAATCCAAACAGTAATGCTGGTGTACGCTTATCAGTTTACCAGGATGGTAGATGAATACTAACTAAAGAAGGATAAGCCGATGGGTATTTACTATTGTTATAGGGATTCAGATACAAATATGTACCTTTATTGTTAGGACAGGTTACAAGTAGAATGTTTTATTAAAGTTGCAAGTAGTTTCATACTCGTTCATTTGAATCTAATGACTTTTCATCATACACAAAACTAATGGTTAAAGTTTGCCTTAAAAATATATTATCAAGGAAATGGATCGCTTTCTATGTTCAATTTAATTGAAACAAGTATTTTCCGTGATAACAGTTTTTCATATTTAACACAGGTGTTAATATTTTGTTGAATGAGTTTTTAGAATCTGAGGCTTCGATTCAAGTTTTAGTTATTGAAAACTCTTTTGTTCTGATAAACTAAAATCAGTCGACTATTATATTTCATATACTTATTGACTTGAAGCCCTTCCAAACGGAACCTCGGATTGAAATGATTGTTTTTAGATACTACTCTTTATTTCCTTCATTAAAATTTGAACCCACAGTTAAGCAGTTCTACATCAAAAGAATGATAGGTTGGGTTTTTTTATTATAGTGTAAACAGAATGGAGAATTATACTACGTAATCTGTCACTTAAACATGATTTATTGTTTTCAAAGTTAGAAAAAGGTCAGAAAAAGAACTCAGTGAAATGCAACTATGTTAATTTTTCACCTTTAGTAATTGTGTCTAATGTCTTGTCGTTTATCGGCTAAATGATGACTTGGTCGCCCAGTTACCTTCCTCTTTTTTCATCTTTTGCACTTGACTTTCAATCCTTTGACCCCAAGTTCGAACGCTGTTCTACTTCGATTTATGCAACCGAATAAACCTCATAAAAAATATGTTAGCCAAAAAGAAGTAGTAGAATTCAATTACAAAGTTGCGTAACATTACTGATGAATATGAGTGATAACTTGGAACCGACTCATATGCATGAGTTAAAACATTTAACAGAAATAAACATAGTCTCATTGTTAGGAAGTTTTCGTTGTGTTTTGTATATTCCCGTTGTTGGTATTCAGGACTGCACCTGATTAATTTCTGTTGGCAAATAGAATCCTTGAGCGGATCCCGTGATATTTCATGTACCTATTTTAGATATTTTATCGGAATCCAAGACTCAGTTGAATACACGTGCCTCCCACTGTGAACATTTACTACATCTGTGTTAATCGCACCTGTCCGTAGTTTTATTTGTGGTGCAATGTGTGCAAATAACATCCACCCAGATGTTCAATAAATGAAGATAGAATCTTATTGAAAATTTCAGATATAGTCACCAAAATATTCAAGTAAATTTAGCTAATAAGTTTCAAGTGTTTCATTGTTCATTTTAAAAAACATACCACAAATAATTGCTATAAACTAACACGAAACCGAACACGTGGAATTAAGTCACTAAACCAAACAGTTAAGGTAACCATTTTTTTTTTATCATATATATATATATATATATATATATATATATATATGTCATACTATCACAAGAATATTCTACTTAATTTGCCTTGTTTACATTACATAGATTCAAATGAACGACCAGAGCTTCGTAATTGTGCTCGACTTTGGAGAATACCTAATCTTAACGAAACTGTGTTGGACGATGCGATGATTGAATCAAATCTATCGAAATCACCAGTAGATAACAATAATTCATCTACACCGAATAATTTATTGGATTATATAACTACACTACCATTAGATAAATATCATAGCATCAAAAGGTAAATATTTTTTGTTTTTGTATAACGGAAACGAGTCAGTTTTATAGTATTGAATGTATCAGTTTATTTTATCATTAAATTGTAGTTATAAACTAATTTTGTAGCTCTGTCTATTTGAAATAAGAAATTATAAGCCATTCTAGGATTATTTAATGGAATCATAAAATTTTTTACATGAAACCGATGCCTGTGAATTTCGCACTACTAACTTACGTGCGAAGTGAGTTTTATCGTACATCTGGCATAGAAATTTTTCAATTAAAGTTATTCTGATTAATATTTATCAGTAACATCCTTTATATATGTACTTACATTCTCGTCTTTTTACCATCTGGGGATAAGTTTTTGCTATCTATCTAAGTAAAGATAGGTAGTGGCTAGTAGTGGGATTCAGTATACCTACTTCTTTCTACTTGGGACTCGTCGAGTGGGTGTACCTGCATCACAGCGTTGATGTTCACACTGTGACTTGAGTCTAGTACTGTCCAGTTTGAATGTTTGACACGTTGCTAGCTAAACTACTTAGTTTTAATAATCACTGGTTTGTAAAACGGGGATGAATCTTACTGTTTATCCGTAATTTTTGGGATCTTCTAGTTGTTAATGTTAAGGACTGGATTTTGATCAGTCTCTTTTGGCATGTTTACATCTTGAGCGGATTGCTTCGATATTGCTGTTAAGTCATAAGTATTTATGCCAAAAGAGACTGATCAAATTTCAGTCCTCAACAGTCAGTCAGTCAGCTACAACGTAGGACCAGGCACATTCATGCATCGGTCCAAGTTGCCATACCTCGTTAGCACAACAAGATGAACACCGGGTTCATAGAAGTAATTAATTTAGTGGTGGTAGTAGTATATAAATTATAGGTTGTATATAAGGATATAGTACAGGAAGGAAGAGAGATATGAAGCAATTTTAGTCTCAAGGTTTAAAGGAAGATAAAGAGTGTATACACCTACGCCATTGTGATAGATTCTGAGCCATGTCACCTAGAGTCTCCAACCATTGGTTACGATAGTCACGCGGACCCCAACCAGGTAGTCTGCATCTGCCAACATGGCTCAGACTAGAAGATAGTGACTTCAAACACTGATGCCATGTTTTGGTTTGGCCGCCCCTAACTCTCTTCCAACAATCCCCTACACTAGTCATCATAGCGCGTCGTGGTAATCGATGTTCAGGCATACGTAACACGTGGCCCAACCATCTCAGTCGATGAAGATTCATCACCTCATCAACTGATTTACCATCATTCCCTAATACCCTGCGTCTAACCTCACTATTACTTACCCGGTGATCCCAGCAGATGCGAGCAATATTTCTAAGGCATCTGTGGTCAAATACTAGTAACCTACGAGTATCTTCTACTCTTAATGGCCATGTTTCACAGCCGTAAAGTAGAACAGAGCGAACTGCTGCGCAGTATACTCGTCCTTTAATTGATAGACAGATATCTCGTCTTCGCCATAGGTGACGTAAGTTGGCAAAAGCCAAACGAGCTTTTTGAATCCGTGCTGAGATTTCGTCAGACACCAACCCATTAGGGCTGATCAGACTTGCAAGATAAGTGAAGTTGTCAACGCGTTCGACTACTTCACTCCCTATCCTTAGTTCAGGTGTTGACGCAGGCCAGTCCTGGAGTAACAATTTACATTTGGATGGGGAGAAACGCATCCCAAACATCCTGGCATTATTACTGAGTTCCAACAGAAGACTCTGCATTTTGTCAGCGTCTTCACCAAACAGGACTATGTCATCTGCGTATTCTAAGTCGCTTAGTGGTCCCCCTGGTAGGAGATCAATTCCTGAAAATTCAGTCGACGAGAGTGTTATTTCCAGCAACAGGTCTATAATGAAGTTGAACAAAAATGGGGATAGTGGACAGCCTTGACGGACACCACTTGAGGTTGTAAAATCATATGACAGTTCACCATAAGCTCTCACTCGACTGGTAGTGTTTGAGTAAAGAGCCTTCACAAGGTTTATGTACTTCTCAGGTACACCTTTCAATGACAGACACTGCCACAGAACCTCTCGGTCTACAGAGTCAAATGCTGCTTTCAAGTCAAGAAAAACTATCATTGTCGGACGCCGATAAGCGTGTCTGTGCTCTAAAACTTGACGAATGGTGAATATGTGGTCGATACAGCCACGACCAGGTCTGAAGCCAGCCTGATTTTCTCGTGTTTGCAGTTCACGAGTCTTAGTTAGGCGCCCGATAATTATTGAGGCTAGTATTTTAGATGCTATGTTGGTCAGACTAATCCCTCTATGGTTATCGCAGGATGATTTTGACCCCTTTTTATATATTGGGACAATCAGTGATTGTGACCAGTCGGATGGGATTACATCCGTCTCCCAGATTTTAGCCAGAATATTAGTCAACCTAATCGCTAAAATCGGACCACCATATTTAAAGACCTCTGGAGCCAATCCATCTGGACCAGCTGCTCTTCCTCGTTTCAGATTACCTATAGCCTTTTGAACTTCAAGTAGGGTCGGGGGGCTTACTTCAATGTTCCATTCAGGTTTTCTAGGAATAGTGGGTAGTTGTGCAGTAGCTGAAGGCCAGCTAAACTGCTCCTTAAAGTGTTCCGCCCATCGTTCTAAACGTTTGGGTTGAGAGCAGATAAGGGTTCCGTCTTTTTCCGAGATTGTCTCACTTACACTTGACTTCTTAATTCCGGTTTCTTTTATTAGACTGAATAGTTGCCTGGTGTTCCCTACAGCCGCTGCCTTTTCCATCTCTTTTGCTTTCGTTGCCCACCACTGCTCACGATCGTTCCTTAGACTTTTAGTTAACCTAGATCTAATTTCTTTACGCTCTTCGTCATGTTCAGAGCCTGATGGGATGAGTTTACGCGAATCCATCAGTGAAATAGACTTAGAAGAAATCCATTGGTTTTTTGGAGCCCTATGGTTTAAATGACTAATAGATGTAACTGCTGTTTCCACAGCTGTTCGTATGTCTTTCCAAGCAGCATCTGTGTCAGTCTTGTTTACAGAACTGCCTAGATGTGAACTCAGTTGTTTCTGGAATTCGCATTTGGCTTTCTCGTCCTCCAGTTCAATCCTAATGGGTCTTCTTAGTGTACTTTTCCTGCGTCCATTGAGGCGCAGACAAATGCGCGCTTGTATTAAAGCGTGATCAGAGTCTAAACAAGTATTCCAATACGAGGGACAATCTTCTATTGAGCCTCTCCAACGATGACTGATGACAATATTGGTCTATTTGAGTCCATCGTTGGTTTGGTGCAGGTGGTCGCCATGTTAGACGATGTCTCTCCTTATGTTTAAAATTAGTGCTTGCTAAAAATAAACGATTGTCTGAGCATAGTTGCAACAGACGATCACCATTATGGGTTCGTTGAGCCGGAATACTAAAACACCCACCTAAATGTCTTTCTGTTTGATTCAAGCTGCCTACCTGGGCATTAAAGTCACCCGCTATGAGTACTATGTCTGAGCGCTTAGCTTTCTGAAGAAGCTCAGAGAGCTTTCTGTAAAAGTCATCTTTCATTTCATCATGGCTGCAGTCGGTGGGAGCGTAGGCAGAAACGACGAAAGGCAACGACGTGTGTCCCTATCCTTCCGAGTTCTTACGGAGCCATTCAGCCGGACAGCACACAGACGACTGTTAACGGGGATCCATTCTAGTAGTGCCTGTTCTGCCCTTGTACTTAGTGCTATGCCTACACCTGCAAGTCCACGAGAACTAGCCAACGGGTCGCCAGATACACGGAGGGTGTATTTCGTTGGCTGTCCATTTTGGCGAGGTGAGGTCAAGTGAATGACCACACTGGGATCCTGTATGCGTGTTTCGGAGACACAGCATACATCAATGGTACGAGATTCTAGGGTTTTAGCTAAGGAGGCCTGTTGACCGATTTGGCATAGGGTACGTACGTTGAAGGCTTCAATGTGTAGTTTGGAGCGAGGTTTAAGTAGACCTGGGACAGCGTTCCGCGCACTAGAATCGTTGGCCATGGTGACACTTGAGGAGGAAACCGGAACAGGAAGTTTAGCGTTGAAAGTCAAGGTAGAAGGAATAGTAGGAATTGAAGGAGATTGATTATGAATACGGTAGTCTTGAGTGCTGTTAGAGGTATGAGGGCAGTTATCACTTCCCGGTTGCCCACACCGTGGAAGGGTTCTCCTGGGGGTACCTGAAAAGGAAATTGGGTTAGGAGTGGTCTTAATGACCTGAGAGCGTGACCGCAGTGCCCAAGGGACAACTGCTTGAGGTCGGTCACACACGACCTTTTTGTGGGTAGTTTTTGTGTTAGCTCCGTTCTTCAAAAAAAACCTTAACGCCGGAGACGGATATCCGTGGGATAAGGCGAGGTGTGCATTTTTAGGGTCGACCTTTTCTAACCCCACCCCTCCTTGTGGGAAGGCAGCATCGCTGTCATGCTGGTTGTCTGAAGGAAACACCTTACTGCACCTCTGTACAGTCGACAGTACGACTTCGCCTTCGGACCTTGGGTTTGCTGCTTTTAGTCTCACCGCTCTTCAACCGACCTGTCTGGCATGGTAGGACCTTGAGGAACGATTGTTCCAGCCAGCATAGCTCGATTGGATCATCACGATAGGCAAGCCCGACCACCACGTCAAGGTAGCAGCAACGGTCGGGAAGTCCTCAACATCAACAACGGTAAGATTCAAACTCACAAACAAATGATGTCTATTTATCCATTTTGCACCTATTTTTTTCTTTGGTTTTTGTTTCTTATTGTATAAAGCGCTGTTAAAATGTAAACACTTTTGCCATGTTAGTTATCATAAATAAGAATTCGCTGAATGCCATTGAATCAAATATACAAATGATTATCTAGGTTATAATTTATCATTCTAGTAATGAATTATCAGCAAAAAAAGCCAATGCATTTGCTAGATTGACTTCAGTAATATTGAGCGAAGTGTCATACAAATTAAACTGGGTATACCATGTATTTAGGAAACTTGTGATTTGCCATCATATTCCAACCTGCAACCTTCAAATCCTACACTTTGCTCAACTTATAATAAAAAATCCCCTTGTAATCAGATATTTTTAGTCTAATCACTGTATGACATCCATAGTCTAATGATAGTTTGTTCCCTTGCATCATGATATGATGTTACTTTTTGTAGGATATTTTAAATATAATTTGATATCTATAATGGTATCAAATTGATAACCCTTCTTTGACTATATTATTCTCGTAATTCTAACTCTTCATTTGGTTTAAAGACAGTAGAAATATCAAATTTTCTGCAATAGTCATTGAGTTAATCTACTTATATGCGAAGTCTTTTAAAAGTTCCTTCATTCTTTTAATTTACAGGATTACATCACATCCGTCTAGTACGTGCTCTGATTTAGCCTGTGTTGTCGGACCACCTGTCGAAATGCCTGGGTAAGTAACTTTTTTACACTTGATCTATTTTTTTGTATCATCATTTGCTTTATGAATCATTCACACCAATTTAATCCCCTATATTTGTTATCGACAGTGGTTAATGATCACGCAGTTTCACCAGTAAAATGAAATTGGCAATGGTAATCATTGAATATCAGCTCAGTGATCTAAAGGCAATATCATTATTACAAGGTCTGAGCTTTCTAAGTTCGATCCATTACAATATAATATATAACACCTAATAAGTCATAGTAGAACGAAATAGCTGTCCACTGCCACTGATTTTCCGTGGTTTTGTTTAATCAAAGCTAACTCACGATATTAACTATTTTTAAATTGTATGATTTTCACAAACTTTTCCTTATAGACTGTTTTGTTCATCTTATATATTTCCTACAATATATTTACAGTTCAGCTGCTTATTCTTCCCTTGTAACTACTGCAACAACAAGCTATTTAGTCATACTTCAAGCTCCATCATATTCAAACTCTAGTGATTATCAAATTAGCACAAGTGTACAGTTATATTTACCACCCTCATCTCCAAGTGATAGTTTACGTACAAATATGAAGTCATCAACTAGTTGTTCATCGACTATTGCATCACCTAACGCTATTCGTTGGTCTCCACATGAACATTCAAATCAACTTGCGATAGCTTTTGATAATGGTATATTAGGATGGGATGTTCGATGTATGAAGTAAGTTAATCTCGTTTATTGATTTCAGTGATCCATTATTGCATCATTTATTTAACTTAGATGTGTTTAGTTGAGAATTTGAAAGGTAAAGACTTGTAAACCAGTGACGTATAAGAATACGCCAGTCACTGACCAGTTAATCCAAAGTATAAACCATCAGCTAAATTTCATATTTGTCCAAAACTTCGTAATTGGATTGATTGTCTAACTTTTAATTCGAGTGTGAAATTAGACACGGACTAGAAGCGTACTTAAGTCTCAGTTAAGTCCTGTATTTTGCTGCTTGAAAGTAAGACAAGGTGTGTAATGTGTACATGTTCAAAAAATTAGAAGTCTGATCTGTTTTCCTACAGGAATGGTGAATGTTAATAACTAATTGAGGAAGAAAATGTTTGATCAAATCATTCCAAATGTTTTATATTTTTAATCTATGTTTATAAGAACAACTAAACACTAGTTAAAATAAATTGATGTGCTGTATAAAAATATTCTGTTTCCTAAAAGGCCTAGTTTCTGGATGGAAAATGCCCATTGGCCATGTGTCAGAGACATTGATTACAATCCTCATCGTCCTAATCTGTTAGTATCTGGTGGAGACGATGGAATCATGAGACTTTGGGATCTTCGCTATTTACGCACAAGATATCGCTGCCTGTCTACTACTGCCACTGTTTCAGCAAAAAACACAGCTATTCCAAATGCATCTGAAAGGATTATGCAATATGGCACGGAACCAACTGTTCAGCCTTTGTTCGCAATAACATCTCACTCTCATTGGGTTGGTTTTTTTTTCGATGTTCTACTCCTAGCACATATTTCGAAGCCAATTTAATGACATGTATTTTTATTTTATTGACTTTGTGTAACATTCATTAGCTTTCAAAGTTTTTTTCGGAATTGCAGCTTTAAACGATAAATGTATCAATCTCACACGCGTTTATTACCACTGCAAGTTAATCCAAAAAAGGAAAGTAAAAGTATATTATACTGATGACCTTGGTCGAATTACCAACCAATCAAAAAGCACTGCGTAGTTATAAAACAGCTAATAATAAAGAACAGAATTACAGTGGAATAATGGTTATGATACAACTAATTGACCCATACATGTCAAATTTTTAATTGTGGTAAAGAAAAAATGGTTAGGTTTATGTATTGTTAATTGGACTAGCCTTGCTGGTAAGGGTTATAACCTTACATGGTTTTCATCATTAATCGGCGTTAGCTGTAATGAAGATATAAAGGCCTACGTTATGGAATAGCAGTTAAGTTAGAACTATAAATTGGGATTATTAATTAAGGTTAGTTTTCATCGCTAACTGACGTCAGCTATAATGAAATAATACTTTGAAAATTGTTATTTACTTTAGGGTTGATATTGCGTGTCAGAGGTTATAGTGGGAAATTACTATCGAGCTGCTTGAACACTATCGATTGTGCATTGATCCATACCAAGCATTTAAACACAATATCTGCATCAACAACAAGTATTTCTTGTAACTAAACTTAAGTACCGTGTCATATTTACCATTTGTCTGTGTGGTAGATATTTCAGTCAAAACCGAAAATTTTAAGAACCGTATATCATCAATTTTCATTTAGTTAAGAATAATATACATGCTATTTTGCGACACACTTTCGATTTCGCGCAAAATCCATGGGACGCTATCTTAATTCTGATTGTTTGGTTCAAAGCCATACTTTTTAAAATTATAGGTCTAGAGTTCTTCAGACAATCTAGACTATTGCTCATTAGCTTTGTTATTTAGTTTTATGTCTTGACATAGGAATGTTTCCATGCATTTCTTATCGTACGTCCTCATAGATAATGACTGGATAAGTAAACATTACTTCTCGATTATTTCGGACAATATAGATTCATAATCACAAAGATTAGTTTATCTTTCGTGCCAAAAATCATGATTTATTTATCTCTCACTTACTAGTTCCCATTATAAGTGAGTGATATTTCGGAAGCATTGATGGTTAAATCATAATCTTAATATTGTTATGGTGTCCAACGTATCAAAATGTATATATGCTTATAAATGCCTCCTAATCTTTCAATATCAATAAGCTGTTTCTAAGCTCTGATAATAAAATTACTCATATTTCGAGATCTATGTTTTGTGTATATATACCTGTAATGAGCAGTAGCTAAATTAGTTAGAAATACCAGGTCGCATGTTCTGACACCTCCGTTTCATTTTGGCAAACCAGATGACACAATCAAAAGTCACACAATGTGCCTCAAAGCCTAATTCTTACAATTGATAAATGATGTACATTACATAACAATTATACTCGTACGTTATTTGAATTCGAGCACTGTCTCAAAGTTTCTTCGACCGTGTTTGAGATTCCTCATCAGATCACATTCCTGACCTCATGAAGAACTGAAGTCAGTGCCCTTTGATTTCATGTCAAACACGTTACTGTTCAATTGTGTTATTAGTGTGGAGTAACATTCATTTCATATGTCTGATATGCTGTCGTTTACTTTTCTTAACAATCGGCTATCACTTATAATATTTATTAATAGTTAGTAGGGATTAAATTAATTTAAGACAAATGCAGAATAATTAGTTTTGGATGTGTTAATTCAACTAGATATTTCAAATATGAATAAATATATGTTTATGTGTTCCGTCTTCCAGTACAGTGAGAACATTTTGAGTATTCTCATTGATAAATCAAAATAATAGGTTATCCTTCCCTTCTTACAGATTTGGTCAGTACGCTATCATCCTACACGAGACCAACTTGTTCTCTCTTCAGGAAGTGATGGTCGTGTTTGTCTATACAACTTACCTAGTTATTCGTCCGATGCTCTTCTTAGTAGTGACATGAATCAACAGTCGACTAATGGTCAAATAGAGTTTCAAGATGAACCTGATGACCATTCGTCTTGTTCTCATGAAGATGAAATTGGCAGGTAGGCAGTTATAATTTTTCAAGTATTATTTTGCCCTAGCCATAGTTTTTACCTTGAAGTGCTGGTAGGACTTGCCTATTGGGATGACCTAATCGCTTTATATGGACTGGAGTACTTGTTCCTTCAGGTCTTGTCATTCCAGGCGGGTTAGACTAAAAAGAGGAGTCTTACTGGTGGCGGTACTGGGTTTTGAAGGCAGTGAGGTGTTTCCTTTAAACAGCCAGTATCTGCAGTGATGCTATTCCTCACAACGGAATGAGGGGTTTGGAAAAGGTCGACTGTAAAAATGTCATACATCCCCTTACCCATCGATTTTTCTTTAATAGTAAGGACTCAAAAGTACGAACTTAACACATCAAGAACTCAAAAAGACTCTATTTGGAAAGTTTCAGACACTTTCCTTTTGGGCTCTGCTATCGTATTCCTAGATAATCAAGACAGCCACTAATCCATACCTCTTTTCAAGGACCTCAATCAGTAGAACCCTTCCATGATGTGGACAAATGCGAAGTGAAAACCGCTCACACACTTTCACTAGCACTCCAGATGGGAAAATGAGGAATCAGAAAAGATACGGATACACGCTATTGTTTTTTATTTGTGTCTCCCTATTCTCTCCCTGACTGAAGTCCAGATGAATTTTACAAAAAGCTTTCTGGCCTCCTTCAAAAAGCTATATGCTTAGACGTATTAATCCTGGGAGGTAATTTTATTGCCCACGTAGGTAGTCTGAAACAAACTGCAAGACACTCAGGTGGGTCTTACAGAATCTCAGCTCAGCAAACGTATAGTGACAACTGTCTGTTGTATTCAGAGAGATCATCTAATTTGGCGACCAGTAAAATCAACTCAACGAAGGACCCAAGCACGTCATATCGCCATCCTTGTAAATGCTTAGTAGAAGACCGTCACTCCTGGAGCATATGGTTTATTTTGAGCATGCGTTTGTTTGCGCCTCACTGGCTTGAGTCAGAAACGACGATAAGGGCGCGCAGTTTAGCACATTAACCACTCATTTATTTTGAGTCTCATTAGCTCTGACAGATTGGTGTCATATAAAAATGTCAGGATGGATTCAGGTAGCTCGGTTGTTTTTTGCCAACTTGTGGATTTGGCGACATATCCGTCTTCTAAGTGAGCGAGTCTGTTGCTTAATAGTTCGCTCTATCCTACTTCATAGTTATGAGACACGACCACTATGTAGAGCACATTCGTAAGGTGTTCAATAATAGATGCATTCGAAACACTGCTCGTGTTCATGTTAGGACCTACCGAATGAGCGATGCTGGGCTTAGGGTAATGGATAACAAGTTGATTGATGAGTTAGTGAATTTTTATCGACTGAGATAGTCGGGAAATTACTACGTATAAATAACTGTCCTTCACCTCGACGAGCAGCGATGTCTGGTGTAGGATTAGATTGAAGGAAGGCTGAGAGTGACTTAACCAGGATATAGTATCAGTCCATGAAGTCATTTATTATTTCATTGAGTTCTGTTGGTAGGTTCAGAATACCTGGCGCGGTTATCGTGACCAAATGACAAACGACAAAGCACAGAGTCAGCCGCAATAGAGCACTTATTCACCCTACTTTCCCTTAGATTTTGAGTTTTGAAACTATCTTATACTTTTCTGTCCCACGAGTTCGTTCTTATCGAATCATATTACCTACACCTAGTTGTTAGTTCTACTAATTATTCTTTTACTTCTTCTACTACTGGGACATTTGTCTTGATAATCCCACTTCGCTGTTTCAATATGCTGTGGCAACTTGGACAAATGCATATATATAACAGATTCCACATTGCTTCTGAATGAATAGAGATATGTCTTAGTCATGTATCTGTTTACTCTAGGCTTTAAGGCATAGTTTAGAACGTCGAAAAACTGATACCAGTTTATTAAGTCACACATGAGGTGCCACAGTGTTGTTCTTAGTGACGTCTCGAATTGTATATGATGCTCTGAAGTGAAATAACTACAGTAATTGACATTATATTATGATCGATTTTATATGACCTAGTTAACATTTATAACGCAAGATGGTGCATTATGGTTTTACATAGCTCATTGTTAGCAATCAAAACATGAACTGAATAGGATCCCGCTAGCATTAGGGGCTAAACGGTATAGCATCGATTATCTTGTTGATTAATATCTCTTCATTACTGTAGATTTTATGTAAGCAAGTTTATATCGACTGGAAATGCTGATCCCACCGTATTGAAGAAACATCACTCACTAGATACCTAAATTCAGTTGATAAGAGAAAAAAAGACCGATTATGAACTGAAACCTTTTGATCATAAACATCTCGCTTTCAATGATATATTATGCTACCACAATGAATCATTACATCATGTCATATAAGTTTACCTTGATTGTAGTTTCGTTGGCCTACTTAAGGTAATATCTGAAACACTAAACGATATGACACAAGAATATTAAGCTGTGAATAACTTTTTTGTCAACATAGTTTTTTTCTTTTCTTATTCCGTATAGAAACGAAGACGGTTTAATCGCTCGTTTAGAACAACATGAAGAAAGTGTATATACAGCTGAGTGGAGTCCAGTAGATGCATGGTATTTTGCATCTATCAGTTATGATGGCAATTTTCTTATAAATCGTGTTCCAGACCAAATCAAATTAAATATTTTATTACAATCCAATGATTATTAAATTATTTGTATTTGTTTTCTCTGCATCCTAGTTATTGCCTTTATCTTTTTTGCATTTTGTTCTTTTTTCTTTACAACACTTAAATTAATTTGGCTGTGATAATTATTTGGTCAACTTGTGTATCAATCTCACTAATAAATACGGATGTTTATTGACAAGTAACAATTAGTTTTTTCTATCATTACCTAGCAGAAATCTACAAGTCAGGAAATTTGAAAGTGTTCATGTTTTCCATTATTATCATCATTCTTTATTTGAAATAGATTGAAAAATAGAAAAAAACCAATAGTGTTGTTATCTAAATGTACATATTAAAGAGACTGTGTAAAATTCATAGCATATCTTGACCGTATCGCTTTTATTTCCATTCTAACAAAATCGGTAAAAGGCTGAAGGTACACTAAAAAAAATATGGGATACATAATATGTTGTAATTATAAGTTCCTTTTCATTTTTATAAAATAAAACATCGAATTTTTAATAGAAAATACACCAATTAAAGTGGTACGTTATCTCTATTTACATTTATTTGCTCAGAAAATTATAGAAATGCATTACGAAATTATCTGGTTTATGATAATGATGAAACCAAGAAGAATTTCGGAAAAAATATCAATGGCGACAAAAGAATATAACTGATAATGATAAAATAATTCCTATTCCAATAAGCATTTATGTCGTATTGTTACTACTATTACTATTAGAATTATTATCATTATCACAAGTTGTTACAGAGCTGTCAAATAGAGAAATAGTCGCCGGCCCGATTGATTCCATTGGACGGATCTTTTTAATGCGGCCCCCACGAGGCTGAAAAAATACAAAGCGAAATAAGTTGTTATATTTTATAGTAGGGATCAATAGTTATTTCATTTTAGACTATTCCTGCTAACAGTATTCTAAATAATTGGGCTTAGCATCACTAAGTGGTTTCTAGTAGTAACTTGGTGTTTTAATTTTAACTACAAAATATGTGATTTTAAGCTAAAAAAGATGGAACTATTATATTCCTACTTCCGTATTAAAAATTAATTATTTGGGGGCAACAAGAAATACTACGAAAGCAGCGAAAATCATAACTGACTTTGGACTATGAATCAGTTTGCTATTTGATTGCCCAAGAACATTCTAGAGGAAACTCGTACTTGGACAAGATCTACTTTATAACATTATTACACACAAAACTTATTAAAGAGATGGAATTGTGATTAAAGCTCACTTGTTCAGCCCAAGCCGCTTGACGTTTTCGTTCAAGCAAATCTTCATCAACAGCACTGATATCTGATGCAGCCTGAGGACGAAAACTTGATTTTGTGGGATTGAAACCACTTGATGATGACTGTCCAACTACATGTGCCTCAGGATCTGCGTTTGAAAGATTAGTAACAGTTTCAGAGGCTATTAGTCTTTTGGCTGCTTGATTTTTAGCTGGACGACCACGTTGAGGTTGTAATCGTCTACGTATTTGAAGTCTAAATCAGAAAAATACATCGACATCAATCAATAATATCGTAGTATGAAAATGGTCGAAAGTAAGGGAAATGAGTGTTTATTTGAAATAGATAAATGAGATATGGCAAATCTATATAGACAAAACATTTTCTGTCAAATATTCTTAATAAATGACCATGTATCATTAAATCTTAACAAATAGGTGCAGAATAGTTAACAGGTTACACATCTTAGAAGGTAATAAAACTTGGCGGGAAAAATAGTTTCAACTGCAAGGAATTTACGTCACTATGGCACCAAAAGTTTATTTGCATAAGATACATTTCATACTAGTATCTCTATTACTACCATATTAGGTACTTTGACGACCTACAATCAGTTTACAAGACATAACTCTGACCAGGACATGTATGTTGAATTACCATCTGCTAGTTCATCACGGCCGCGTGGATGGTCCTGGATTTGTGTAGCTTAAGAACTTGAATTATCAGATATCGCTGGAACTCAATGACAGTTATGACCCTATGGTACATTTTTCGTATTTAACACCAAAAGCAGATGAATATTGAAAGATATGAAATCTATCTAGCTGAATAATTAGTAATTAGTGCAACTAGCAACCAACAATAAAATAACTCACCGTTTTACCAACTCATCATCATCAAGTAACAAAGAAACCATATCAGATGAAGTCATATGTTCCGAGGGACTTGACGAATTTGTTACATTTGATAATAAATTGTTTAATCCTCCTTGACCTGATTGGATTACCATTTGTTGCATGGCACGTTTCTCTTCTGCACGACGCAACATACGACCTTCTACTGTATTTTTGCAAATAAGCCTATAAACTGTAACCTGAAATGTGAAATTATGAGTAATAAATGGATAAACACATAACATCTCTTTATAATTGGTGATGTTACAAGGGACCGGATGGGAAACAATAATGATAATCCGAAATTTCGACTGTTATCCTTAATTGATTTGGTGCAACGGGCAGAGACGAAACCTCACTGGTTGATTTTAGACACATCGTTTACTAAGCATTTGTTATTATTAAATTAGGTGAACATACCACATAAATAATTAGGATGGATTTCCTTAGTATACCAAATATCTTCATAGTTAATCAGTTGGTGAAATGGTTCTGAGAAGAGATTTTTAGCTTGCTCAAGCCAATATTCTATGATATCTAGTGTCCTGTCATCAACTACATTCATTTCAAGAAAACCTTGGTTTTCTTTAATCGATTGCGGAATTTTTATATGAAAAGAATCCAAGACTTAATTTAGTCCTCAATAATTTCATTTTTCGCACGTTTTTTATCTCAACGAATCGTCACAGAACAAAATAGTCAACTCGAATAAAAGAGTAATTGGGAACAATGTCACCTATGGGGATGACCAATTACAATTAAGGCCACTGGAACAAATTAATTTAAAACTCGCAGAATAAATAAAATGGACACTTCTTAATAAAGCAAGCACTGATGACGTTGTTCAGAACAACAGTGAAAGTTACCCAATTACACCATCTAGCTTAGAGATCTTCACAACACCAAAAAAATCTATCTGAGCTTCAAATAATGTCCATCATTTAAATATTGTGATAGTGATCTACACGAAGTAGTATTCCTTAAGTTAGATATTGATCTTTTGACACATTTTCTAAAAAAATATTCAGCCCGTTTAAAATACTTAACAAACCACAAAAACGTATAGATATTTTGATCAGTTAAAAAAAGCAAAAAGAAACATACAGGTTTTGTTTGACCTAGACGATGTGCACGATCCATTGCTTGTTGATCTACAGTTGGATTCCAGTCAGAATCATAAAATATAACTGTATCAGCTGCAGTTAAATTAATACCAAGGCCACCAGCACGGGTGGACAATAAGAATACAAACCAACGTGGATTGGTCTGCCATTGAGCAACCATATCTCTACGATCGGATAAACGTGATGAACCATCCAATCGTAGATAAGCATGTTTACGATATAACATAAACTCCTAAATAAGTGATAAATATAAAAGCATCACGTTAGTAATCAAAAACAAGTGATAACTTTTGAAAGTGGTGGAAAACACGATAAATAGAAGTTTTATATACAAGATTTAATCAGCTGTGTATGGAAATCGAACGGTCAAATATGAAAGGATACGTCTATTTCCAACGGTAAATCAAACAAATTCATCAACTGCAGAACTGGTTGTGGAATAATATATAGAGTGCAATGTAGGTCAACTTATTTGTAGGAAATAAATATCAATAAAACTGAGCAACAAAATAAATAAACGCCGCACTTATAAAAAGACTAAAGGAGAGAAAGGTACTACCAAAAATGAGTAGAAATATGAAAACGAAAATAGTTTAAAATAGGAGATACAGTTCAGTTAAAAATGCGACCAGAGAAACTTCTTTCAGTTCCACTACCACGTACTTTTTTAAAACTACTTTCAGAATGACATCGATGGTAGGGTCGAAGAACCTCATTTCTAGATTGCAACAGTGGAGGGAGGTGGTTGTATGCCCTCACTTTACTTAGGATTTGTGTAGTCTTCAAAATGTTATCATACTTATCATTAACATTCAGTGGTGTGAAAATAGGTCATCTGGATCTGATGACTCGAATGCCTCGTAAGTTGTTGCTTGAGGAACCCAAGTTGTGTAAGATCCATCGGTCGTCGACGGGTAGGGAGAAAAGGACAATCTAGCCAACAATACTGAGACAGCATACCATCCAAACTGTTTTGTTGAAGAACTCTGTGACGTATTTGTTCTTCACCGAGGTTTAGAACACAAACATAACTACCGATGTCTGATTGTTGTGGTATTTCTTAACGTTAAAGTAGCATTAAACTTTATCGATCAACAGGTTTCATGAAAGTGTCTGTACCATACAAGTACGTAAAACTTATGTTTTTTAACTCCTGAACTATTGGTCGAGTCATATGTAATGGTTAACTGTTATCAGAATTCATTACATCAAGCGATGTTCTTCAGGACATTTAACTTTCTCAACTTATTTGACTTTGTCATACACATTTTTTCGGGAATAATGCTTTCACCATCTGACATTTAAGAAACTGGTCATCTTTCAGGAGATTCACTTCCTTACTTGGAATAAGCACATCATGGTTTTAATCAGTGAAAACACTGACAAAATACTGTCGCCTTGAGTGATAATACAAGCATGTTTAAGTTCCTCTATCTCTTAATGCAAAATGTTGTTTTAGGAACGGTCTGCGTCAAAGTCTGAACTATTGACAGGGATTGAGAGTAGTAGAGCACGTCGACCACTTCAATTGTTTCGAAGGTCTCATTAATCATGATGGGTTGGTGTCGGATGAAATCTCGGCTGAATTTTTTCACCTTGTGTCACTTGTGGAGTAGGTGAGGTATCGATCTACCAACTAAAAGACTATTTCATTTGGCAACAGAATATGGTCTGGGTTAGAATCCAGTGGAGATGGTTAGTTCCATTAAAATAGAAGATATATCATGCTAAAGAGCATCAGGAAGAACGAAACAGAGATCGAGTTCGTCACTACTCGACGATTGCGTTAAAAAAGAATCCTGAAACTCACTTTGTGCTTAAAGGCGCAGATTATTATTCCTGAACTCAATAAATTCTGTACAGAATGTGAAATACGATAATTGTGTGAAACTCTAGTTTGAATATATATGTGTTGCAGTACATCAACTTTCCAAGATTTCCTTAAATATCAAAGTTCAAAATCTGCAGAAATGCTCCAAATAGACTAGTAGAGAATTCTCTACCGTAATTAAGGGAATACGTATAGACAAGAATATAAAAAAAAACACTGTATCAACCCGGCTAAAATATCCAACCTCTTGAAACCGAAATAACAATAAATGAATAATTTTCTGGAGGAAATAAGTCAAACTACGTGAAACTAACCTCTAATATATCAATCATACGTGTCATTTGTGAATAAATTAATACACGATGTCCATTTGATTTCAATTCAGAAAGAAGATTATCTAAGGTAGTTAGTTTGCCAGAATCTGAAATGCGTGTAGCACGTGAAACAAGTTCTAAACTCCTAGGCAATGGGGTGGCCACAGTGTACGATAATGAATAAACATGCGATGTATCATAATTGCACGTATTTACAAACGGTTTAAGTGGATTAATTAACACCTAAAATATAAACAATTAGAAAAAACTCAAATTAGAATGAGAATTTCCTTATATGTTGCGCATAATAGGATGCCCTATACGAGTAAGCAAAACAATACTGAATTTAAAAATTATTTACTGAGTCGAAATAACATAAGTTTTGGGTATTCACAAATCGAGACGAAAATGTTTCTGAAGGACATATCAATGGTATGCTATTCAAAAGCTTGAGTGGAACACGACAATGCATGATTTAGATAAATAGATGCAGCTGATTGTTGGCGATCTAACAATTCATGTCCAATATGTTAAATAGTCAAACTCCTTCATCTTCAATTCAGTTGTGGTCGGATCGATCGTCGTGGAGTAAAACTAAATCATTTAGCTTTTTCTTCTGAAGCTTGTTGGCTAGCTTATTCCGATTCAGTATGTTATATAACTCTTTACTAATTCAACTAATTTTACAGCTCTGACCAGTCGGAGTCATAAAACCACAGGAACCATCTTTATTATAATTAAGAGACTGAGTTGGTTCGTTAAGATAATTTATAATTCTAAAGAATGAAGGTGCTATAATTCATGTTGTTTGGTTTTGATGAGTAGCTTTTCGTTAATCAATACACACATGTCTGATAATTCTCTGTAGGTTGTAGTTGAACAGGAAGTATAATATACAAAGATCGTTGAATTATAGGCATCACTATTTCCATTAAGTTTTGAGATTGAATTGCGGTAATTTTTAATTATGAACAACTGGGATATTATTCTAATATGGACATGGCTCTATGAAAGTGAGATAGACAGGACAACTAACACATAACACTTCAGCATTAATTCCCAATACAATGAAAAACGGAGAATATATGAGGTTAGGAAAAATCGATATTCAAAGAGACGTAATCATAGTGGCACAAACATGCAGGCACAACAATTAACAATGACCTTGAGACATAACGAAATTAGCAAACTAACAGTAAGAACAATCAATCAAATAAAATAGACGTCCGTGAGGAAATATCAACTGGAAAGAAGTTATCGCAGTCATCCTGGCGTAAAATAACTAACATTTATTTACAAGAGTTAGATGAATTGAGGAGTATCCTCTACAAGGGGCACACAGAATAGGGTGGATACTAGTAAGGGTAATTTACTAAGGTGTAGTTGTAAAATTTATTTACATTGTGAACCATCCGTAATCCAATCTAATATGCTATTATATCTAGAGCTTGTATTCTTGCTATGCCGCGTACAACTTGATCACTCGAACCCTCCAAGTTGCAAGTTAGAAGACGAGTAGGAAGGAGTCTTATCTCAATCAGTGTCAAACAAGGCACAAAACACTCCGGTATTTATAGTTTTGGTAAAAACGAAATCATCATCACAGTCATCGAATCTGCATACAGTGGTTTTTTAGGATTTGTCCAATCAGGAAGCTACACGTCAAGATTCCGGAATGTTCTTCCAAAAGATGATTAGATGGAATGTCTTTGGCTCTTTCCCAGCTTCTTAGGGTTCCCGGGGGCCGTCCCTATATATATATAAATATGAGAATCCAAACTTTATGCTATTTATCGTAAGTAGTCTAGTATCGATCTGCTCCACTAAGTTCCTACAACCAGTTTAACACTCACTGCTGGATACCTTCAACTAAATGTTAAGTTTTTCAGTTCATCTAGATTATGTTTTTTTAGAGCATCAATGGATTTCCACATGTTGGGATGAGCGGCACCGATGAGTTAGTTAAATCCTCTATGCCATCCCTACACCAGATTATTCGTTCTAAGATCTCCCAAAAACGGAATCATGGGCGTTCAATGATACGACTTAGAGAACTGGATCGTTGTGGCCTGCATGTCTGGTCGGTTTTTTGATCCCGATCTTCAAAGTAATTTGTTGATTTTCTGATTTTTTTTTTCTTTATTTTCTGAGCGGAATGGTGACTCCATCAGATTACCAAATGCAGTTATGATATCTGTGACTGGTACAAGAGCTAATTCTAGTAACTGATAGGTCACAAAACAAACTTTCTATTTGTTATTGAATGTTTGGTGACTGTTGTAGTCAGGCATATACATTAGCTTATATGGAACAACAGTTATATACTGCATTTTGGACATATCTATAAAAATGTTAACAAAGCTGAATGTTCATAATCAGTTATAATAATTGATCACTTTAAATTTGGACTCAGTTTATTCAACTTCTTGAAAGTGAGCACATAAGAATTCGAAATTTTATTATTCATTAGAGTATAAACAAAAGGAATAATCGTATGAACTATTTAGATCTGAAGTTTGAGCTGACAACTCAGTGTAAGCCACTTCTTCATAGATTCGCATAGCAGCTGCTATTGTTGTTCTGGACTCAATTGGACGGGCTAGGCGGATTAAGGACCAATAAGGACGCGAGATTACTCATACTGATTGGACGTCCTTGATTGTCACCGTGTTAAGGTCAGAGAAGTCGTATTTCTATTGGTGGATAATTCACGCGAGTTACGTCCTTGTCTAATTTGTAAGGTCATAACAAATTAGCGACGACCTTGAGCAAGTCATAACAATTGGCGACGACCATGAACAATTCACAACAAGTTTCATCAATGCTTCAGTCGATTCTGCTTCGTGATATTACTTTAGGATTGCTATGAATGAGTTGGTTTCGAAAATCATGAAGTTATACACTTAATACATTTAAGTCTATTTGTGAGTTTTTGAAAATCAGAATCAACATTATAATGTATAAGAATTGAATTCACAAGATAAAAAAGTCAACATCTTGTTATAGGATGATATCGGACACAAAGTAGGAGGTATGTTGATTACTATACTAAAGAGGATGTAAGATAGGAAGGTTATTAACTAAATATGAGCAGTGGTTATTCAAACTGTTAAGTACTACTTAAATTTTCACTTATAGTTCACACAATTCGAACGACTGGAAACTCAAATGATACTTAACACTATGAATAGATCAATATTTTAGTTATCAATAACAAAATAAATCTGATAGAAACTTACTTTGTGAGTTGTTGCAGTTGAAACAAAATTTGGAATATAAGGTCTTATTCCAGGACAATGAATAAAAACTGATGGTACATAAGATAGAGTGGTAGACGATTCGCATTCAACTTGACGAAGGAGAAGATCTTGAAGATTAACTAATTGTGCAACTGAATGACGAGAAGTACGCATATGACTCATAGGGAAAAATGAATTCAGTTGCAACAATCCAGAAGCGTTTTTATTCATTGTAATATCTTCATTAAAATAGTTGCTTATTATAATACGTAAAGAGTGGTTATGAGAAGTAAATTGAGAATCGGAATGTGAAAAACTCCCAGTTTGAATAATTTTTGCATATTCATTAACAGACAAACCTAATAGGCGGGTGAATGAAAAGCCTACAAAACAAAATAGAAATATTACATACAGCAAACGAACTTTCATACGTACAAAATCATTTTTATTAACAGTGAAAAATCAGATAGACAAGTAATCACTATAAACTATAAGGAAAATTGAAGCCCTTTCAGTAATTGCATGGTGTGTGCTACTGATTTCAACAGATGTAAGTAGTACGCGACATCAATCGAAAGTGAAATGTCTGAGGGCAGAAGGTTAGGAAGACCAAAGAAAAAAGAACGAGAACAGAGTGTGATTGGTGTGCAAACAAAGGAACAGTCAAGTCGGAGACAATTCGTTGACATTTTGCAAATCAAGAACTTACTGTATTGTTCTCAGGTTTTACTAAGAGATTCTGTAATTTTTTTCCAAATACATTTGGTTGTCCCAACTGGTGTTCTGGTTCACTACATTTGTAGTACTTCCCTAAAAATATCCATGAGATATTCATTTGAAAAGATTCGTTACAATCTGAGTAGTATGCATAACAAACAGTTTAGCTTGAAGAAATCATGGAATGAACTGCATTATAACATACTGGATTCCGATGTAAATCAAAACAAATAAACACTTGTTATAAACGAACGGTAACTGCTAGGAGTTATTTATTGACTAATATTATACATACATTTATATCCCTTTTATTATAAGCTTCCATTTGACCTATTGACGACTATTATACGATTTACTATTCCTAATTTATTAGTTACAGCCTCTCACAATCACAGCCACCTTTTGGCTTCATTTTGTATGATTGTCATTTACCACTTTATGGCATGATGAGGTTTGGTTTGTTTGTATATAAACCAAGTATGTCTGAAATATATAATTCATGCATTAGACACTGCATTCTGGACTCAAACAGGCTGGATTAGGCGAGAAGCTACTATCTCGGAGGTCCAATAAGAACTAAGAGTTGAATCTAGGCTGTTTGTACTGGTTCATGCGTCATTGGTCTGGTCGTATAAGTCGGTGTTTTTAATTGGCGATTTAGTCACATGATATGTTAACAGGCCATTAGGACACAACAACACTCATAAGAAATACATTTTACGAGAACACACAAGTCAAATTCGTAAAAATTTTACCTACTTCTTAGTACTGGTTCTGAACAAAATACAGTCTTCTTTTATCTGCAAAACATCGTCAGCTTGATACTAGTAGTAGTCAATGTCAGACTGATTATTTTAACAAAAGCATTCACAAGAAGGATGGAAACAATGTTTTAAATTCATAAATAGGCAGTACTCTATGCTGATGTGGTGTAGAAAATTAGGCAGAAAGCAGGACCGACAAGCACTATAGACTGCTCATTCGTGTATCACTGGTCCGATCGATGAATCGCTGCTCTCTGATTGGCGGTATTATCACGTTGAAAGTTAACAGGGCATCTACTCGGTCACAATTTATAACAGTAACAATGTAGGAAAATATTGTACAGCACTAAGCAAGACCTTTTTATATTTTTAAGCTATCAGTTTGACCTATCATGTGAAAAGTTAGTGGTATTGGATTATTCAGTCTGCAAAAGCATAAATTACATCGATAATCTCGCAGTTCCAACTGAAGTAACTCAACCATTCAGCTAAACTAACATATTGATGCTTAGGAATTTGATATGATTACATTGAGAGTAAAAATCTAAGTAAGTTACTAACTAGACACATATACTAACAAGCGTCAGTTAAAAGTTATTGGGTTTGTAAAATACGATCTTTAAAAAATTAACACTTACATTTAGATGGGTAATTTGTACACGACCTCATTTGATTCACCATACAGCTTGGTCCTAAATCTGGTTCCTCATTGTCATGATGCCATAAGTCCTCATGTATATAACAAGGATGATGAAGATAGAAATACTTTGCAATAATGGTAAATAAACATATTGGATAGCAGTCATACAAGGATATTGGACACACAGAAAACAGACTGCGCAAACTTTTAGCTCTCCAACTAAACAATGACAAGGTGTCTACAAAATAGAAGTTGAAAAAAATGAACTATCCTTTTTAAAATGACAAATTGTAGAGTTTTGGATCAACTAAAAATATGCTACATTTTAAACTTACATGGAGTTTAAACAGTTAATCTTATTTGAAGATTATAGGTGAGCACTAATAATCAATCCTAGACTATGATGATTTCAGTGATTAAAACAATCTTTTAAAATAGATTAATTTCCTCGTAGATGAATAACATTGGAGTACAACATAATGAAATTCTTCCAAACTGATGAAAGTAAAATTGTTTTTTTTAAATGGGTAGGATCATGCACATATTTACATCGGTTCAAGCTGTCACACTTCATTAGCACAAGACGAACACCAAATTCATAGAAGTAGTTACTCCAATGGTAGTAATATATAAAAGAAAGATTGTGTACAAGGATACAGGAAGAAAGAATTAATTCATAAAAACCAAGGTTTAAAGCCATTTTAATCTCACGGTCTAAAAATTTATTTTAATAGAGATCAGAGTTAATGATGTCCACTACAAAAATAACCAAATTATGCAAGTGATATCAATAATTGATAAATATTGGCTACGAAGAAATAACATTCACAAGCCGGTGGAAAGTAAGTAGATCATACACTGGACAAATGTTTACTTTTTGAAAACATTGAAGCTAGAGATAAATAGGCCTAAACAAATTTAAATCAGACAGCTGAACAATTCATAAAACTGAACTATTTAGAGAATACTGAGAATCAATAAAAGTACGAATAATTATTAATGAGAGATGATTAAAATATAATGGATTATGCATACAACAAAAAGTAATAACTGTTTTACATACCATCTTCGTACAGTAAATTTGGAAGCTTCCACATTGCATATTGATTACGATTGTTATTGTAAGCATTATACTTAATATTTGAATTATAGAATCGACAACTATTCGGTTCAATTTGACCAGTTATACAAGAGAAACGAACATCACGACGTTCCCATAGATCTGGATGATTGCATACTTTTCTTAGTTGCATCACCAAATTAATTAAATGAGCTGTAGATGACGAAGACGATGACAATACATTAGTATTATCTAAATTCGATGAAAAATTATCTGATATTCCATTGGCAGACATTATGGAGCTAAGATCTTCAAGACGAATCTTACTACGTAATCGTTCATATAATACTTGTTGTCGATGACTTAATGGACAATATAACATAATCTCAGTCTGCATATTTTTTTCGAGAGAAAAAAAAGAAATAAATAAAAGAGATTAGCAGCTAATCAATAATGAAACTGATGACGATCACGCAATAGGTCCTGCAAAAAACTGTAAACAACTTTAGGTTATAGTTGCAATTCGACAACTTATTGATTGAAACAGAAATTTAGTAGTGTTCTATACATAAATCAAAAAAATCTTCAGTTACCATTATTCTGCACCCAATATATATATTGAGAATCGTAGTTTAAAACAACTAAAGATATAGAGGTTTGATTTTGTGTTAACATCAAATTAAATCCTACATTCATATTCAAACACGATTAACTAATCAGTATTAAATAGCACATAATAGTTATTATACGCTAAATGATGAGTTGTTAATTCAATAACTGACAATATAAACAGTTGCTTATTAAGAGATACAATGAAAAAGTCATAATTAATACTGTTATTGTTTGTTTTAGTTCCAATGCCTCATACATTTATTATTACGTCAAATTACAAATGATTACTCTAAATTCACTCTTTCACTTCTAGCCCCCATTGAACTCAATCTTGAAGTCACAGTTTTGTAAACCGAACTGTGCATTTAATTCATTGTATCGAACAATGTGATGAGAGAAAAAAACGAAACTTCAAAACTCCATATATCTAACGTCAAAACTGAGTTGACTAATGCATCCATGAATCATTTTATATGAAGTCAGATTCATTTAGACTTCTTACCTTGATAATGAACAGTAACCAAAGTAAAGAATAGTCAGAAGTAATAGAACGAGCTAAATATTGCTTAAATGAGAAACCAAGCTCACCTTAGTAGATATTTCATGTTCAACTTCGGTTTTTGTTCTACGTAACATGAATGGTTTTAAAATTAAATGTAAACGTGACAATTGATTTTCATTCAATTTTGAAGTTATTAAAGATCCAGTTCCACTGCTACTAGTGATGCTTCCTCCTCCACCACCAGTTCTAGCTGTAACACTGGCTTGAGACTCAATATCACGTGAAAACCAATTAGCAAATTCATCATGTGAATCAAATAGTGTAGGCATAATAAAATGTAACAATGCCCATAGCTAAATACATGGATGAATATAAAACAAAATAGATTTAGACAATATAAATCATATCAAAATAGTAAAATAAAAAACTGATTGACAATTATTAATTAGTTAATAAGAACTAAAAAGCTTTTGACTAAGATATCCTTATTTGTGAAATATGACTGGCTTAGTTCTAATGCATGTATAGTGTAATGATTTAAATATTTTACATTTGACAGCTCAAGATCATTACATAATTTAATGAATTATATAACACAATACATGTAATGTAAGGCTTCGTACACGAGCATACATAAGCTTTTATTGTTGGAGTTTTATTTCGAATGACGCTATTATAAATATGGTATTCAACTTTAATTAGGAATCAGGATTTTGAAATGTTATTTACAAAAAGAGCATTATTTCATTTAACGACTGATGAGAGTTCAGTTAATGTAAAAGGTTATATTCACCATGGACTGATATAGGAACCAGAAGCTATACATTAAATATGCACGTTGGAGAAATGAATGGAGAGCAGTCAAAAAGTCTAACAATTCTATTCGACAAAGGAGGTAAGTTGATCAGTTTTATAATATTGTTTTCCTGAAGAGCTGCAATAAGTACTTAATGTTCATATTTAAATTATTGTAAGTTTATTGTAGGTTAATGGACTATTAATCGTCAAAATGTGCATTATAAACAAGAATGAGATTTATCTACGCCACAACAATAATTCCTGGTAGAAAAGTGATAATAAATCACTCTTTCATAATCTCTGACAGCGTTTTTCAAAGCTTCAAACGATTAAAATGCTTCCAAATACAACGTAGTCAAGAACACATACTCGGTGTCTGTAGCAACGTTCGGAACCACATGGCTAATGCTTAGTAAGTTATTGACGTTCATAATTTGGAGGAAATGTAAAAATTGAAGGAATTATTTCCCCTTATATAACCGGTAAATTCCTTTTTAAAGCTATTTATCTTATTGGACAAAACGGCACGAAAAAATTTCTAATTCTAAAGAAACTGTAAAAATACCTGTGACGTTACTCCTATGCAGATGTATGGATATTTCAATAAATGGTCCATGGTGAATGGATTGTTAGACTTTCCTTTCTATTAAGCGCGGTAGGGCTTAGTAATAATAAACAAAGCTTCAGACAATCACCTTTGATTGGGAAAACATTTTTGAATTATTTTGATATTATTATCGACTTGATAGTTGTTAAGTATAGCATGTACTGGTGTTACTACTTTGATTTGTAGATTTTCTAGTCTTACTAGATTATTTGGAGGTCTTTTAGTGTAGCTTAGATGTTCTTTTGCACGAGTTACCGTTTCACGAGACGACTTTGTAATATAGAATCCATCAGAATTTACACATAATCTGTGGATTCAATTCTGTGTCGAGGTAAAGGGGATTTTATTTTTTTATTTGAACTAAAGCATTTCGAAGTGTTAATCGTTTTATAGGATGCTTTAACTCCGTGTGATCAAAGAATTTGTTGTAATTCTTCGATTGTATTATGACCATAGTGATAGTCACTTTATCCAAATATTTACACATTTAATCCTTTTCACATCTGACACCACTATCAAGCATACAAATATTTCTTACACTACTCTTCAAAATTACAAATACCACATGTTCCAAATCCATCAACATTCAAACATAGACACAGTTAGATCTCAAACAAACAAAAAACACTTCGACCGAATCAATATGTCAATAACATGATCTGACCTATTTTAATTTTGATTGTACTACAGATGTTCTGTTTTCCATGATTTCTTAATTGTAGGCTTTCATTTAACCTATTAATTGCGATTGTATGTTTTTATTATTCGTTAATTTATTATCCTTCTATTGTTCAGTTTTTATATCACTTATGACTTAGTTGTATATAAATTAAAAACTCTTGTGGTGATGTGTAGTCATGTAATTAGCGCACATAGCTCTATGACTTTTAGAATAATAATAATAAAAAGATTTATGCTTTGGTGTGTTCATTTTATGAATGACTAGTGTGGATGGAGGGAGCTCGCTGGACCAGCAGAACTTTGTGATCGTCTGTTGTAGGATGTTATTCATGATTATCACGTTATTGGTTGGAGTAAAAAACATTGATCTGATAGACACGACAGGTACTCGTAATTAGTGGATTTCATAATCTCGTGATCCGATGAGTGAATACATAAAGAGGTGAAGGTCATAAAACCCATTGTGTCCCAGTTTAAGAGGCTTTTAATAGGGTAGAATCAATACTTTTCAAGAACCAACTCAAGACCTGATTTTATAGTCAGTGTGAAAATATCGGTTATTACAAGCTTTGGCAAAAAGTGATATACGAAATTTTTCATAAGATCTAAACTATGGATCCATCGAAGTACAAAAGTAACAGCAAATTTTCGATAACCGTACTAAAACATCGACTGGAAAATTTTCACCATTGAAGTCAAGCGCAAGGACACAACAAATTTTAAACGTTTATTTGGATCGTGTAGGTGGAGAAACGAAGAACACAGTAGAATAGCAGTAACTATCTAATCCTATCTTACATCCAAAGCCTCATTAATTGATATAGCTCTGTTATGAAAGATATTTTCAAACTGGATTACAGTAACAAGCTACAATATTAGTCACTATTATTGTACTCACTTCTTGCATTGTATTCTGAATTGGAGTCCCAGTGAGTAAAAGGCGATTTCGACACTTAAAAGATAACAGAATTTTCCATCGTAAGCTAGGAAGAAATAAAAAAAGACTTGAAATTTGCATAATGACAATCTATTTGTAGTTCTTTTTAGTTATTTTAATACATAGAATATCTTCAACATTGAATTAACTGATTTTCAGGGTTATTCCTAAAATACTAAATTGTAGGCATATATATTTCCGATTACTCTAGATTTTTGATTAGGTTAATAAAAAATGAGACTTACACTAAGACGTTTAGTACAAAACAACGCGAGGTAACGTAAATAGACAGCTTACATGGTTAATAATGATGAAACAAAGTAATTCGGCAGAGCCAAATTACTGTTAAGGCTTATTTTATTTCAGTAAAATATTTATTTATTTAAACACACAAATATTGGTACAAAGGGGCATCAGATATATATGCGCCGCACAAATCTCATTTGATTTGTGTGAGGGCTGTGATACTACACAGGTGCCCAAACTGAAACAGGTGATTTACTTAGGGGGCCACACCCGGAGCCTTTGGCCTAAAGGTCTAACCCAGAAGGCAATGGAGCATCGTTAGGAGATGCAGTCCCATGGTAGCCAGTGACCAACGATTGATTCATACGCCATCTGTTCTCTCGGGATACTGGCGCCCATGTGCATCATTGGTTTGGAATCAGGGTTTTCCAACTCCCCTAGGTGGACTTTCTGTGTCCATCAACCCGGTTTAAGCGCCGAACATTCGCTTTTCGTCCACTCAAGTTCGTAAACAACACCCCAACCACGAGGAGGCAGTGAGTAGGACTTCCCTGGTAGAGGCTACATACGCTCAGTAAAATATGAAACTATTTCAATAATCAACGTATTTAACTAACGCACTTCCAGGCATCAGACTAAGTATGGATACACATAAGTGAAATAAGATGATAAACAGAACTATTTTAATTGTTTTGAGGTATTTCTTGAACTTATGCATAATACGCTTTTGTTTGTAGATATTTTGATAGCAAAAGACAGTCAAATTTTTGCTTGTACTTTACACGATTAATCCACAGAAAGTAAAACATTAGGCAGGTCATCACTAAACAAACCTGAAAGAATATACAAGAATACAATGTTAATCTTTGACGAACACTTTTAATCCCAGTCATTTTATAAAATAACTATACGAGTCCAAGTAAATACTCTAGAAACTTTATTACGTATTCAATTAACTCGGGTTGTAGCAAAAAATTCATTGAAATCTTTTCATCTATCATAAGTGAACTGTTATCATTTTTGGTAAAACTACACAATCAACGACTGAGAATAAGTTGAGGTAACTATGATTAAGTTAACTTAATACAGAAAAAGATAACTAGCTGGTTACTATGGCAGAAAAGAACGTTCGATGATTTAAATCAACGACCAGAGGAAAAATTTAAAATTAATTTGACCAACATACCTTGATGTACTTTTAATAGCATGTGCTTCATCTAAAACAATGTAGGACCATGCGGTTTTATTAATGAATTTCGCATCTTGCAAAACAACTTGATAACTTGTTATAACTACATGAAGTTGAGAATCTTTAGTTCCAGCCTGTCCAGGATTAATCTCACCGGATTCATCAACAGATTCTACATTAGAGGAACGTGTAGACGACCAAAATCGGCGTAGAACTTTACGCTCTGTTGGTGTACCCCAATAAGGGACTAGACGAAAAGCTGGAAGGAATTTAGCAAATTCCTGTGTCCAGTTATGCAGTGTTGAAGCTGGAGTAACGATTAAAAATGGACCCCAAATGTTGTAATTCTTTAAAGGAAACCGAGAAAGAAAAACTAAAACTATTTAAAGTCAAATTCGTAGTCAGTAAACATCATAAACCTGAAGAATGATGTTCAAATATTTCTTCTCTATCGAATACTGGAGTATCAAACTAATTGACTAAGATCCTTTTGAATATCCCCTAGAGCCACAGCTAGTTCCGAGCCCAGGTAAAGGAGGATAGTGCACGTGATTAACAACCACATCTTGTAGAAATCTTGGTACAGAATCTCTAACTAGAGAAAACTAAATGATCTCTTCCCTAGGAGGAGGAAGTTTTTCATATGGAAGAGTCATCACGTTTTATGGTGAATGCTGATTTCACTCATCTACATTGTTCCATTTTTAGAGCATCAGTGAGTCTGGATATACTCGGATGAGCAGTGCCACAAAGTCGAAGCTCTTTGACAGAAACATGGCGATAATAAACACGGGGATATGAGATTTTCAGACAATGTGGGACATACAACCTGGCCGTGTTTGGAACAAGTAAAACTCATTGGACACAAGCCTAACAAAAAGGACTGGTTTCAAGAGAAATGTTATTTATTCTGCTAACAGGGAAGAAAATTCCCACACATACAATGAGTTGCACGGATGCCCTACGAAGCATAAAAATCCTTTGTAGTATGAGGAATTGACGGCTTCAGTATCATCAAAGCATCCTTTAAAGTAAAAAAAAAGAACTATAATGAATGATACGGTACTACGTACATACCAGTGGTAGCATCAAAGGTGATAAAGGCCAGTTTTATAGACGACAGCAGTCCATTGTAGAGAAATATCCTCAAAAAGAGACCTGACAATTCTGATGGGAAACCTGAACACCAAGGTCAATATGGACAACACCAGGTATGAAGATGTCATGGGACGATATGGACTGGGAGGAAGAAACAAGAATGTTAATATATCAGACAGTCAATGTGTTTTCAACAACACAGCACCATTTCGCCTACGGATGCACACACGAATCTCCATGGGCCTCTCCAAACCACAAATCGATCATATTTACATGAATAAGAAATGTAGAGGGCTCATGGAAAACTTCAGAAAAAAGAAAGGAGCTGATAAAGCTTCAGAATACTACTTGGTGGCAGCCAAAATAAGACCGAAGCTATAAAAAAAAATAGAACAATCGGACAAGCGATACTGAGAAAGTTTAGTACAACTTTCTGTCGAGATCCCGACCGTTGCAACTACCTTGACGTGGTGGTCGGGTTCACCTATCATGATGAACCAATCGGGCTATACTGGCTGGAACAATCGTTCCTCAAGGTCAGTTGAAGAGCGGTAAGACTAAAAGCAGCAAACTGTTAGATCGGCTTACAATAAACTCTATCAGAGCCTCCAGAGAGGCTCATAAAGAGACCAACCAATCAGCGATTAGTTAGAAGCTATGCTACTAAAATGCTACTAAAATAACAAGGTCCTGATTGGCTGTTAACATACTGTTACTATGGGATCTCAAGGTCTTTTAGCTACTATAAAACCCCTGTTTCTCCGTACATAATTGAACCTTGTAGTAAAGTGCTTCTCTGATACTCGTGTCTTCTCTCTGGTCTTCCAAGTCGCTGAGTAGTGCTAGCCTGGGGTTATCCGAATAGCTAGGATCCGAATAAAACGTTCAACTTACGAGTCATAACACAAACCCAAGGTCCGAAGGCGAAGTCGTACTGCTGACTGTACAGACGTGTGACAGCAGTAAGATGTTTCCTTCAGACAACCAGCATGACAGCAATGCCGCCTTCCCACAAGGAGGGGTGCTGTTAGAAAAGGTCGACCCTAAAAATACAAACCCCGCCTTATCCCACCGATATTTGTCCTCGATGGTAAGGTCCCAACAAGTACGGAGCTAACACAAAAATTACTCACAAAAAGGTCGTGTGTGACCGACCTCAAACAGTTGTCCCTTGGGCACTGCCGTCACGCTCTCAAGTAACCAAGACCACCTCTAATCCAATTTCCTTTTCAGGTACCTCCAGAAGAACCCGTCCATGGTGTGAGCAACCGGGAAGTGAAAACCGCCCTTATATCTCTAACAGCACTCAAGATCACTGTATTCATAGTCAATCTTCTTCTTCAATTCCTATTATTCCTCCTACCTAGACTTTCACACCAAACTTCCTCTTTCGGCTTCCTCCTCAAGTGTCAACATAGCCAACGATACTAAGTTACTAGTATTTGACCACAGATGCCTTAGAAATATTGCTCGCATCTTCTGGGATCACCGGGTAAGTAATGGTGATGGTAAATCAGTTGATGAGGTTGTGAATCGTCATCAACTGAGATGGTTGAGCCACGTGTTACGTAGGCCTAAACACCGATTACCACGACGCGCAATGCTGACTAGTGTTGGAGACGGTTGGAAGAAAGTTAAGGGCTGGCAAACCCAAAAGTGATATCAGTCCATAAAGTCACTAACTTCTGGTCTGAGCCTTGTCGGTAAACGCAGACTACTTGGTTGGAGTCCAGGTGACTATCGTAATCAATGGTTAGAGACTCTGAGTGATATGGTTCAGAATCGATCGAAATGGAGTAGGTGTATACACTCTTTATCTTCCCTTAAACCATAAGATTAAAATTGCTTCATAATGTTCTTCCTTCCTATACTATATCCTTATATACAACCTATCTTTTATATATTACCACCACTAAATTAACTACTTCTATGAATCCGGTGTTCATTTTGTCGTACACTTGTGGCAACTTGGACCGATGCATATATGTGCCTAGTCCTACGTTGTAGCTGACTGACTGACTGACTCCGTCGAGATACTGACATACTCAACGAACTCGAGATAGCTGTCAACACCGAAATTCAAGTCTCACAAGAACTACTAGAAGAAACCACTATGGAAAATAGTCGGAAAAAAGTTAAAAAAACAGTAAGTTCAACATACTGGGAGGTGGTGGGCCGCAAGAAGCACCAGGATAAAGAGTGGGTCACTATCGATACCCTAGGCAAAATTCAAAATGGGAAAACAAGAATACAGAACACGAAAAAAGCGGATCAAGGCAAGAAACAGGTCGCATATACAGAAGCAAAGAACCGAGTGAAGAGAAGAATTAAAGCTGACAAGAGGAAAGATGTAAAAGACTCGGGTACTATGGCGGAAAAAGCTGAAGGAGAAGGAAATCGAAGGAACTGTGTGATACAAGCAAGAAGTTAGCAGGGAAACACAGTCAAAGAGCATAGGAGGCAAACCAATCACTGAAGTTTGAGAGCAACGGAATAGGTGGGTAAGACACTTTAAAGAGCTCTTAAATAGACCACAGCCACTAAACTCACCGAAAATCGGAGCAACACACACAGATCTCCCTGTAGACAGGACCCCACCAACAATAAAAGAAATTGGCAAGACCATCAAACAAATCAGGAATGGCAACGCGGCTGTACCAGACAATATACCAGCTGAAGCACTGAAGTCATATAGCTAATTAACTGGAAGGGTGTTCTGTGATCTATTCAGGAAGATTTGGGAAGGACCCGTGAAAACAGATCAGAGAGAAAGACATCTCGTCAGGACACCGAAGAAAGGAGATTTGGGCGAGTTTGAAAACTACGGGGAGACTACATAAGTGTCAGTACCAAACAACGTTTACAAAAAGGTTGCTGAATCGAACAAGAGATACAGTAGACGCCTAACTTATAGATCAACAAGCTGGCCTTCGTAAGGATCGATCGTTTACCGATCGAATTGTAGCCCAGTCACACGAATGGGACTCATCCCAATACACTGTTATGTTTGAATAGATTACGAAATCACCTAAAATCGGCGAACGGAACGAAGGATCGGCGACATAACGACAAGACAAGCTAAACTATTCCGATGAGTCCCAGCCCTGCTAACATGAGGGAGAAGATCCAGTTCAAATGAAGGAAAGGTATATTCCACAAGCACCAAGAAGCACGAACAGCAACAAGCACACAACTCAAACGTATATATACAACGTAAAAATATCCTTGGGTAACGTCACAAAATAACATATTAAAAGGGGACGAACCAATGACATTTAGGGCCCTTTCAAGTGGAAAATACAGTCTGAAAATAGAAATGGGCGCTTTCGGCACCAAAACGAATTTCCAAAATAAAATTACAAAAATAAGACGTTTAACAAGTGATTTCTGGGGATCTAGCAGACATTAAAGTATGAATCAACAAAGCAAGGGCAATATTCCTACCGTTGAGAAATACCTGGAACTTAAAGGAACTCTTACTCAAAGCCACATTCAGTATTTTTAACATTAGTGTTAAAACAGTTTTAATGTAAGGTGCTGAAACTTGTAGGATTATCATTACCATCACCAAAAACGTATGTGTTGAAAAATAGCTGTCTATGCAAGATAATCCAGACCAGTTGGTCACAGAGCATCAGCAATAATATAGTGTCGGAAAACAAACCAGCAACCCTCCAAGGAGGAAATTAGAAAAGCGTGGAACAGATAGGAAACACCTTTCAGAAACCCATAAACTGCATCACTAGGCAAACCGTAACTTGTAGTCATCAAGACGAAAATAAAAAGGGCAGACCAAAGAGCACAATGGGGCTGAGAACTGGAGGTAGCACACTAAGAACGAAATATCACGAGACAACAACTGGAAAGGAGGGCCTAAAACAAAGACGTGTGGAGATCCCTTACAGGCGTTCTATCCCTCGAGGGATAGTAGGCTTAATTAACTAAGTACACAGTTTTGCTCAATATGTTATCGATTCATTAGGAATGAAATTAACAGCTTCACTAAACTAATGTTATGTTACACAGTTAGTAAAGATATCCTACATATAACATATTTTAGAAACTTACTTCCGCAAGGCAACCAAGAAATGCAACTGTTTGCACAGTTTTCCCTAGGCCCATTTCATCAGCTAATATCCCATTGATACCTTGATCGAACAAGCCAAGCAGCCAATTCAAACCACGAACCTGGTAAGCTTTTAACTGACCTTTAAATAACTTTGGTGCTTCAATTTGTGTAGTTGTACTAGAATCTGCATTATTGGGAACAGGGGCGTTTAAATTACGATTTGTTGCAGTTCCACTATGAAACTGTGATACCTAAAATTGTTGGAAATAGAAATAATTGTCACTAAAAAAACTAAGATTAGATGAAAAATCATAGAAAACCATAGAAGAACTGGATACTTTTTCACTTCTAAACTGAAACTCACCTCCAGTAGTTTGCATCCTTAACATCAAAAAAAAATCGGATCTGCAACCTTTAAGTATTGTAATGAAGATGATACCGTTGATTTAGTTAAATCTAGCGGATAAGAATTAAGCACGCATCTGGTCTTCATTTTACTAATTACTTGACTTATAAGGACCTTTATCCCACGGACGAATAAATGTTACATATTTTATGCTTAAGTATAATATTTTGCTTTGCTTTACTAAACAATCATTCTGCCCTCTGATATTCATTTGGTGTAGAGAATTAAACTATTAATTTATTCTTCATGAACATTCGTTATTGAGCTGTATTTCACATCGAATAATCATAATCGGGAACTGCTTTCATTTGTTGTAACACCTCAAACTTCAACGAGCAATATAATATCACCAGTGACAGACCCATAGATTTGCAGTTTATCATTAATTAAATTTATTAAATAGTATTATTTTATTACGATTTGAAGTATTTATTCTGTAGAGGAATCTGTCGTCAAATCATGAGCTTATTACTATCAACCCTTAATTTACATGTCTCAATCATTTTTACTTTCTTTTGACAATATTTTCTACATTTATTTAAGAACTATTATCTGGCTAATTATCCCTCGATACTTTGATGTAAAGTATGAGTACATATGTTTTAACCATGTCCTGAGGGTGAGACTAAACTATACTGCCGACCTTTGAACGAATCTTAAATGACCTTGAAAAAATATTAGCCAATCAGAGGACAGTAATTATACAGTGAAATATATAATATAAAACTCAAAAATTAAAGGGGATACTGCTCTTTTACATGACTCAAAAACTTCTCAAGGTCAGATATAGGTTCAGAAGTTCTAAAATCATAGTGCATACGGAACAGGAACACATCCATATGGCTCCATAGTAGTCGACCTCTGAAACCATGATAAGGTTTCAAAAATTCTTTTAGCCTCGACCACATAGCTTCAACGTTGTTGGTATATTGGTATGGTTTACGGTTTAGGGTTAAGGGTGAGACTATAAGTTATGGACGACCTATGAGCGACGCTAGAGTGATCCTGAGAGTGTCAACATAATAACTAAAAGCAAATGAGGGCTATAAACCTGTGTGAAGAATTCAAATTATGATTTACAGTTCATGGTTAAGGCTAGGAATCCACCATCTCAAATTATACTTAGGGTTTTCATCACGAACTGACATCAGCCATAATGCCAAAACTCTATTTATCTAAATGGATAATTGAATTTCGCGCCAAAATCTTATGATCACGTCTCTTGTAGACGCTGAATTATCACGTCTTCCCTAAAATCTGCTGTAAACCGATCGTACGTAAGCATCAGGTACCGAACTTAGCGCCGTGACCTTGAAAACCCGCGAAAGCTTCTGATTGGCTCGGCAGTATAGTTTAGTTTCTCCGTCCTGAGTTGTTCAGCATTGACTGGCTCTCTGAAAATTAAAAATTTGGATTCTCAGTGCTGATGGAAGTTACGATCAACTCTCCTTATATGATTACCAAATTTAATTACAGACGATTATACAACGAATTCATGTGCACATTCAGATTCTACAGAAGAAAATAGTCAGGGCTAAAACAGCATAGTAATAGTGTTTATGGTTGCAGAACCTAATGATGGCATCTTTCTCTCTTCCAGGTTAGAAAACATTATTTTAATTAAAACTGGAGATATGTTTCATTGATAAACCTCAACAGGAATGGAGTTCAGAATAATCACAGATCTTTGTTAATTTTCTCCAGATCTGAACTGGACAGATAACAGACATGTGCTTTTGTTCTGAACTAGTAAGATGTAAGGAAACTAACAACTATAACATATTAACGATTACATTACTGTTACCATAACAATGAATAATAATAATAATAATAACAGTAATGAGAAAAATGTTTATCTAGAGATAATGATTCATACATACACGATTACGTTCAGTTGTAACAGCTGCTTTGACCTTCATTAAAGCCTCGGATTTCGCTTGTTCAATATCTAAAATAAAGAAAGGTAAATGGAAATATCAACAAACTAAAGAGATTCTTCGTAGTTTCTGGAGACAGTGAACAGTTGATACCATCAAGAACTGACTTCAGTAGAACTATCAAAACGGAAGAGCACTGGACAGCTGCTATATGTATTAGTGCCTAATATCAAAATGAGTAACCTGAAATGCTAATCAAAAGCCGTATTGTATAAATTAAACTGTGCCGGAAGCGATGAGGCAACTCATTAGTGTCCCCAGACGATGACTACGTTGTGTCAAAAATCAATGAAGTTGAAGATTTGGACTATTGGATACTAATTTATTGATCTAAGATCTTTTTTTCTGTCGCCAAACCAGAAGTTCCTGGTAGGGTCATGAGTGCACAATACTGTGACATTTAAAATTGAGTAATACTAACTGTCCAGTGCTCTTTGTTTTTCAATAGTTCAGAAACTGAAATTTAGGTTGATAATTTGACTATTTGAAAAGAAGCTAATGAACACACAAAGTGGTGATTGATTTCTTTTGTTTGACTATTTAGAAATCATTTTAATAGGGTTTTCATTCTCTTCGATTACACAAACGACATATAGACAATAAGATTAAAACTTTGAGACTACTACACGGGATGGAAAAAAATACGGTAGTGATTGGTTATAAAATGAACACAACTAACCATATTCTTCTTCAACGTTAATACCCAACCGACAAGCTGCAGCTTTTGCAGCTACAGCTATTGAACTGTATGATTTTCGGTGTGTAGATGCAGTCGATATACCAACAGTATCTTGATCATTCTGAGTGGGATCACATGGAACAGATATGTCAGAACCAGTATCAGTCCCTTCATCGTTAGTTTTTGTTTCTACAGAATCATCATCCATTTCTTCAAGTCGACGTAAGATTCTTTGAGCTTCGATTTCTTGACTGTCTTCCTCTTGAATCACATTACCAGATACTGATTCAGAATTTTCAGGACCACATATATCCTTAGATTCACAATTACCTGAGTTGACATCTGCCATCTTTTTCGCCATAAAATGGGCATATAATTCTGTTTGTGTAATCAGAAAATTCAGTTTTCGTTGTTGCCTTCTGGCCTCCAAAAGTTCCAGGTCGGCTTTACGTTGTTCAGCTGCAGCTTTCTCTGCTCGCCGACGTATAGCTGTACTCGACTCCATCATTGAATTAGACATATTAAACTCCAAACCTCCACTTTCCTGGCGAGCAGAAGTGTAATAATCAGGTAGATCCATAAGTGAAGAGAAATGAGTAATATTAGAACTCGATGGTATAGTTACACCATTGATTGTAAGTGGACCAGAACCATTAGCTGTACTCGAAGTTGAACTACGCCAATTAGATGCAATTTCGCGTGACAGGCGATGTCCACGACCTTAAAAGGAAGCAGAAAAGCACAAATAAAAGAAGTCAACACATCTAAAATGACCAATGTTTAGGATACACATGATATATATGAGTGCGAGCAGTGGCTTTATGATTAAGACAATCAACTTTCAATCACTGGCTCGTAGGTTCGAATCTCACTCCACTGAATTCGGTTTCAGAGTTTGAGTAGTATTGTTAACCCTCCAAGTGAGTCAAAGCTGAATACATAAACCTAAATTTAGTTACTCATTTATTTTATATGTATTAGCGGCTTGTCTAGTCAATGCTCCCACTGATGCATTGCAGATCCGACGTTTTACAGCCAGACTAACATCACGAAGTCGCCAAAGATGGACCAGATTGACATAGAACGCTTCGGCTTTCATCATATATGGATTGACCTCATCACTCACGCTGTAATGAACGAGAACTCAGATAGGAACAAGCAACGTACCTTAATACAAAATTACAGAGTTCTTTTGTCACATGTGAAAATCATACGTTCAATACTTCATTTGCAAATCCTGCATCAATTATCTCAAACTTCATCGTTTCTTCATTGCTACAACAATAACTCTCTGTTCCCATTCTCTTCGATTCGATATTCCTAACTTTTTGAGGTCAGGTATTCCACTTCTGATTAGAGTCATATTCTATTTATGTCGACATAAGTAGCATACACCACAACGCCACCACCAGCACTTACGCAGCTACCCAGATACACGAAATCCTCGACTACTTCTATTTGCTCAATACCCAGGGTGAGTGAGGAATCAGGGACTTGTCAGTCTTGTAAAAGTACTTTACACTTCGAAAGTGCAAACCACAAGCCATACCTACGGACACTAATTCTCAAATGATTAAGTGCGGATTGCATGGCTTGGGCATTATCACACGGTAAGACAATATCATGTGCATACTCAAGGTCGAGAAGTCTTTCCCAAGACAACTGATCCACACCACCATTACTTACACCCATTAGAGCTGTTTCCAGAACGTCATCGATAGAGAAGTTGAAGAGGAATAGTGAGATTGGACATCCCTGCCTAAACCCACTGTTTGAATGGAATAATGGAGAGAGGCGATTGTATGCACTCACTCTGTCTGAGGTGTCAGTACATACGACTTTCAACATGCTAATAAACTTTTCAGACACACCCTTCTTCAACAGACAATCCCGGAGAATAGTCCTGTCCAACGAATCGAAGGCGGCCCTGGTGTCTAGAAACACTATGATTGTTGGCCTGTAATAAATGTGACGGTGTTTTACCATTGAGCGGATCAACAATACATCCTCGACCAAAACGAAAAACCAGCCTGTTCCTAACGAGTCAATCTTTCTCAAAGTACAGCAGAAACCAACAGTTTGGATGCAATCAGAATAAAATTTGTCGTCCGATAGTTGTTGGAGGAACAACGTGAACCCTTTATAAAGATAGGGACAACTATCGACTCATTCCTTGATGTTGAAACACTATCTAGCTCGCAAACCTTTGTAAACAACGCAGTCAATTCCTTAGCCAGAAAGTCACCACCATCTTCAAAAAGAGCCGGAGGTAAGTCATCTGGGCCCGGTGATTTGTAGCGTTTCAACAGTTGGAGTTCGTTGTGGACTTCCGCCTAATTTGGTGGATCAGTTGTCACCGACCATGGAGGATAGGACAATATGATCGATGTTGCCGGAGCAGCAGGCCAGTTGAAATGCCCTTCAGAGAATTCCGCCCATCGTCCAAGACGTCGACAGATGTTAGTGATTGGCATCCCGTCACCCTCACAGATTGTTTCACTCACAACAGACTTCTTGCTGTCAGTGGTTCGGATGAGTTGGAAGAGTTTCCGGCAGTTACCAGATGCAGATGCTGCTTCCAGCTCACTAGCACGCTCCGACCACCAGGTTTCTCGGTCCTTACGCAAGCTCTGCCCAATTTCACTACGTAACAGCCTTCGTTTGTGGTCATACTCACGGTCACCCGGAGTAGACTGATGGGCTTCGATCAATTGTAAGGAGCCAGAAGAAACCCAGTGCTTGTAAGCGGGACGTTTCGCGAAGCCGCAAGCGGCTTTACTCGCCACTTTCATGGTGTCATGCAGTTGCATCCAATGGTCATCTATACTTTTCGGTGGGATGGTAGCTAGCCTAAAAGCTCACTCGATTCGATACTTACTTGCAACAGAAGTTGCAACCAATTTACTAACATCAATCCGTTGATGACGGTCAATTCGTTGGCCAATGAAAAGTAAGGTAAGAATGGCGCAGATTAGGGCATGATCAGACTCCAGATAGGTACTCCAAAAGGAGCGGCAGTCTTGTACACAACTACGCTAGTGGTAGCTGATCGCGATGTGATCAATCTGAGTCCAGGCTTGAGATGCAGAGGGAGGATGCAAGGTGGCACACCGGCGATGACTGTGCCGGAAGTTAGTGCTAGCCAGAAACAGGTAGTAGTCTGTGCACAGTTGCAGTAGACGGCCCCCGTTACTGTCCTGCAACCAACAAGTCCCCATCGACCACCTAAACGAGGCTCTTTTGTGCCTAGACGCCCGACCTGTGCACTCAAGTCTCCGGCTAGTACTACAATATCTGTCGAACGCACTTTCTGGAGAACAGTCAACTGGTGGTAGAATTCGTCCTTGATTGCATCCGGGCTGCAATCTGTCGGGGCATAAGCGGATATGACAAAAAGATGTCGTTTCTCACGCCGATTTCTCCTCACTTTGATGGAGCTTTCTAATCTAACAGCACATAACCGACTGTTAAAATGTGAATCCGATCGATTAGTGCTGCCTCAGCTCTATCGCTTAGTGCGACGCCAAAGCCAGCAAGACCAGACAAAAATGGCACAAGATTCCCGGATAAACGCACGTGAAACAGGCTTTTCGAAGCGACAGATGGGGAGCGAATTTGTAGTACTTCACTAGAGTCTTGAATACGGGTCTCGGATAGACAGCAAACATCAACATTAAGACTTTCTAAAGACATAGCCAGCCCCATCTGTTGTCCGATCTGTATTAGTGTGCGAACATTGAAGGAAGCCAGTTTGAACGTCGTACGTGGTTTCAGAAAGACTGTTTTAGTATTCGTATTCGGTGGTATCATTCAACTTTCGACCAGTCAGTGACTTGAGATCGTTTATATGGGACAGGGTTCCCACCATAGGCGAGTTTCCGTATAAGTTGAAAAATAAAATACGCGAAATGGGAATAAAAGAGTAGATAAGTGACGTAGTACAAAAGAAATAAAAATGAATGTTATCATATGATTATAAATAAGATTTGTCCGAGTGAGCATTGAAGCAACAGTAATTTTTCTAGTAATTACATTGGTAGAGTTAGTCTACAGTAATCCAAAGAAAATCTTAATCATTATTAAGGTTCAGGGTTATTTTAATTATAGATAGATAGCTGAGAATGAGGTAGCTAGTATACCAAGTTATAAAGCGAGTAGGATCTCAAGCCTACGTACTGAATCGGCTGGATTAGGACAGGAACATTGATCTACCAGGGTTTTTGGTACCTGTGTTTGCGCTACAGGGTTGAGCTGTCCTGTTAAGGCCGTGTAAAGGCTTAGATAGTGTCTCTAGAAAAACCAATGTAAAATCACTTTCTTGTAAGGAGATATTTATAGTTGTAAAGAAACAGAAACTAGCTGATAAGGAGCGGCCAAATAACCCAAATTGCAGGTCCATAACTTGTACCCAAATACAACCTCATAATATTTACCATATGATATAAATAGAAAGTTACATATACAAATTCCTTTAGATTTACAAGCCTCTGATAAAAAATAAATTTAGTTAGAAAGCTTTTAGGCAGATCAAAAAGGGTCTATTCAGATGACACCACAAAGGAACCAGAATTTACCAATCGCATGCTAAAAGAAATCAGCAACCAGTAAGGTGTCTGTTCACAGGGAATCAGAAGTAGAAAATATGAACCAATCGTGAGAAATTACGTTTCCTAAAACTAAAATTCAATGGGGATTTAGCGAGCGGTGTTCTATATGGTGGATTAGTGAGAGCCGTTAAAAGGACTTTTTAAGCAGTTAATTTTACGACAGCATTTTCTAGTTGACCAGTAACATCAACTTAAACTAAGGATAATTTACCTGATTTGACCTCTTCTATGTGTATCTACAAAATCAACTGCTCGCTTGGAGATAGCTAGTATTGGGGATACCATATAGCAACTTAAACAACAATTGAGTGAACATTTTCCTGTTTTGGAAAGGGTTGGACGAAAACAAAACGTAGCTTTGTTTTATCACACTTGGTCGACAGTAGTTACGTGATAGATAAAGCTAAATCATTTTAAATGATCTGTCGTGTAGAATAATTGTTTCCCGACGGGGCTCGACCTCGTCTTTTTGATACAACAGAAGTGATAAGGATTCAGATTGACAACTTTGGTATATGTATTCAGAATGAATTTTTGATACCTCTGTTCTTTCCATGCCTGGATATAGCATAAAAGACGGCTTTAGTAATAATAATTATTCTTATTTTCCATATCCTTTATACGCTTTCTCTATCAACGTCTTTCGTATATATTCTTCACCATGTAATTATTTGAAGATTCATTACGTAATTCTAATGATTTTTAATGATTGCTATTTTTGTGTCTATTGTTGCAAGTGTTAACATACCTATGTCGAAACTTTGGTTCAAGCTTTTATGCTCATATCTACCAGCACATCTGTCATCTTGCTATCAATTTGCACATTTTACTTATTACGTTTAACTATGTGATCTATTTCGTTGTTATTGCTGACTCACAAACTACCTTGATTAATTTAATGTTTTTCATATATGTAAATGTTGCTGTCTTATAAACATCTAATAGAAAACAGCATTGTTCACTTATATGTATTGTCCTGATAGGATAACCAGAAATCTAAATTTATTTCAATTTGGTCCACAATTTATGCACTAAAGGTATACCTTAAGTAAGAAAGAAATAAGAAATGGACACTTACTTATTGAATCTCTAGCAGCTTTTTGAGAAATTAATGCCTTTTGACGTAACAAACGTGCGCATTCACGAGCAGCGCGTTTTGCTATGATTATCTTATCTCGACGATTGGTACCACGTTGCCTTGCCACCTTGCAAATTATCTTTTTAGCCAAAGATTTCCACGCGCGTAACACTTTAGCTGAAAGTCTCCTAGCCGCTGGAACACTAGAGACTGTGCTCAAGGCAGCATCACCAGATTTGGCTTGAAGATCTGACTGTATTTTACGTATGCTTGGACGACCAGCAGCAGCACGCGCAGAAAATGCTTGACGTTGACGAGAAACGATAGCAGTCAGCTGGTCTTCTTCCTCATCATCATCTTCATCTAGATATTGGGATTTATTATCAGTATGTGTGGTCCTTTTCAGATTCTCGGCTGGAATCGATGTTTTGTTTATATCACGCCGTTTTAGTAATGGGTTACTGTAACAATTTTTTCGCGACCATGATGAATTCTGGGGATAATTGGATAGACGACCGAACTAGATGTTAACAAGTTAACACAAAAGTATTGGTTTACACATATTATTTGAAGGGTTATAATTGCTTAAAGTACAATAGTAGTGACCCTATATTCTGGATTTCGATTTGCAATCTGTAATCGACAAGTAATAATAATCTTCAAGCCTACCAAAAAGCTACTAAATAAACTTTTTAAATACTTTTCCACCTAAAGTTTTTGCTCGCTATGCATGCCAATTTAAAATTATGTAGTCTAAACTGCTTCATAAAGAGTAGCATCTCACGCTAAAATCCCATACTTAAGGAAAGTTTTAGTGTATTAAGGAAACAGTTTTTATTATTAAAGGGACGATATGAAGTTGTATCTTTTTTTTCTTACGGTTAAAACGTCAATATACTTTAACGGAGTCCCTAAAGTAACAATTACTATTTATCTAGTGAATCAAGAGCAGTGGTTGGTTGGTTACGACACTTGACTCTTCACAGCAGAAGGCACTTTAGTTTTCGGTTTAGAAACCTTGGGTTTGGCTTCAACTTTTTTTCGGCTACTTTGAAGTTACCAGATGCACCCTTTCCCTTATTTCCGACTCGTATAAGAGCACCTTTCTCAACACCACGCACGATGCCATGGCGAATATGTGCTGCCTGCTTTTCGATATCAAACTTTTAATTCGCGACTATGTATTTCTTGATAGTAGCGAGTGAGCTGCCCTTACGATCCTTAACTGCCAAAATTGCCGCTGTAATCATGTTGATTACTGGCGGGTGACTAGCTGGCGTATTAGGTTTCGACGACTTTGCCTTCTTCATCGAGACAGCCACCGTAGCGCTCATGACCAATCCTGCAGTCGAACTTGCCACACGGAGACGAGAATCGCAAGTTCAAACCTTACATTTACTTAGGTAGGATAGTTCAGTATTATCATCGGCCCTTACATACGACTTGCAGACTGATTCCGTATACACGAACCCGTACTTATTAAATATGTAAATTAAATTTAGAAGACTAAGAGAACTAACTTTTGAAGATCGATTGCCACGAATTAATTGAGTTGATTTTCGTTTACGCATACCAGAAACAAAGCTTGAATTCCTCCACGACACAGCAGAAGTACAAGGATTTCTTTGTGACATTTTTTTGGTGTTGAGGTCACCAGATATGTCTTTGTCTTTTTGAGACAGAACATCCTCAGAAAATGTATGAATACCAACTGAAGCTAAAATAGATTGTCTTTCTTTCTCTCTCATACATGCTACAAGTTCACGAGCTTCTGATCTCCATTCAGCTAACAAAATATGAAACTCCCGTAAAATTTGTGGAGAAAAGGAACTTATAGGACGCGATTGTTCACCTTCAGAAGGCTTGAGTAGCTAGAATTTAGAAACAATGTAATTATCTTTATAAAAACGAACAGAAATGAAATGAAAGACAGGTGGTAACGGAAGATCAATGAAAAAATCGATTTTCAACTTGTTTGGAGTTGAGATAATCTGATAAGTAATTAATTTGGTCAGTCAGTCAACAACAACGTAGAACTTCGTATGTGCGTACGTACATCAGTTCGAGTTGTCATACCACATTAGCACAAAGATGCAGTTATCGATTCGAATCCCATTGTGGTAGAAGTAGTAAGAGTATAGGCAGTAATCCGAAAGATTAAGGTTTGAAGATGTTATTCAAGAAGTACAATCCAGTGAAATACATTTGAAAAGAGAAAAAAAGAAAAGGATATGAAGAATTCAGAAGGTTAGAATTTGGCAGAACACAAAGAGTGGATGCAACTGCGCCATTGCAAACGATTTTGAGCCATGTCATTCAAGGTCTCTAACCATCGATTGCTATCATCTCGCGAATCCCAACCAGGTAGTCTACACCTATCCGCATGGCTCAGTCCAATTGTCAGTGACTTCATGGATTTGTGGCACGTTTTGGTCTGGCCGCCACTAGCTTTCTTCCAACCTACTCCTACACCATATAACATTGCACGTCGGGACAATCGGTGCTTGGGAATACGTAACACGTGTCCCAGCCATCTCAACTAATGAGGTTTCACTACTTCATCAATCGACTTGCCATCCTTACCTAGTACCCGTTTCCTAACAACTGCATTACTTACTCGGTGGTCCCAGGATATACGAGAAATGCTTCGAAGGTACCTATATCCGAATACTAGTAGCCTATGAATAGCCTCTACTCTTACCTGCCATGTTTCACCGCCACAAAGTAGAATGGAACGAACTGCTGCACAGTAAACCCGTCCTTTGATTGCTAGACGGATATCTCGCCTACGCCATAAATGACGCAAGTTGGCGAAAGCTAGACGAGAATTTTGTATCCGTGCTGAGATTTCGTCACACACTAGATCACAATGACTGATGAGACTCCTAAGATAAGTGAAGCGGTCAACACGCTCAACTACTTCACTCTCTATCATTAGTTCAGGTGTCGATGTAACCCAATCCTGAAGTAACATTTTGCATTTCGAAGGGGAGAATCGCATCCCGAACATGCTTGCATTGTTGCTTACGGTATGTTATCTCTAAAAGCACTTCAACGACAAAGTTAAACAAGAGTGGAGAGAGTGGACAGTCCTGACGAACATCACTTCAGGTAATCGATTCTGACGACAGTTCGTCATAAGCTCTAACTCGACCAGTTGTGTTCGAGTAGATAGCCTTTATAAGGTTAATTTACTTCTTTGGTACTCCTTTCACTAATGACATCATGCTGACAAATCTATTGTATTACAAGTAACAATAAAACGCATCATCTATGCCGAAGTAGGTGAGATGGTTTCGAACAAATAACCAAAAGCTTCAAACAATAGTAACTTAAAATAAAGTTATTTATTTCGCCATTTATTAGCAGTATGCCTAGTTTTTAATGTACTAAATATTATTTTATTTTTGATTTAGAGATCTAACAGTGGCATGATTTGAATAGTTCTACATCTTATTTGGTGATTCGTATTCATCGATTCAGTGATACTGGTACATCCAGAGATTGCTGGTTCACATGATGTAAAGATTACAGTAGCTGAAGAATCATTATGACACTGGAATGGATATAGTTATCAAACTGATAGATTTTGTTTGGGAATAATCCCGAATGAAGGATTTTTACAAAACACACTTGATGATTAACTACGAGAACATACAATAAGGACTTAAATGATGTTAGTTGTATACAAAATATCCAAAAGAAATAGCATTACTGAGCTATTTATCAGTTAGCAAATGAACAATCGATGATGTAAGTAAATGCTACACAACAGTCAATAATTTACCACTTTTATTTGTCACAGTGAAGACAGTTAAGTATCTCTTGGTTTATCTGATAATGACTGGCAATGAAATTCACAAACCGTCTTCTGATCTTGTCTTACTAAAAACTTCGCTAAATTTGACAGTAAAATAGTGGGGTAATTAGTTTACGATGGTGAACCTTCGTTATGCAAAGAATACAAATAGGCTTGAACCAAAATAAATCAGCAAAATGTTGGGAGATTAAAATTGAACCTTAATATTTATTCTTGAAAGTCTTCAGGTGTACAAAATCCAAGAGCGTAGTAATGTTAATCAACAATTGTAATGTGTAATTGTTTTACTTTTAATTTCATGTAACAGTAATTAAGCTTACTTTGTATTCAGGGTGTGAAGAGCATTTTTTAAGCCAATATTCATTTTCTAAATTGTGGACTGAAATAACAAAATAAATATGGATAACTCAGTCTTTAAAACAAAATTACTTTGAAAATTGTGATTATTTTATAAGTACAGTTTGAAAAAAGTTGGACAACTTCCCTGTTTATATAAACAAACGATTCCCCCATGCATACATTCGTCCAGACTGAATATGCATTTGGTGTAGAAAACAGAAGGAACTCAAAATGCTGGGAAGCAGCTATTTGCGTTAGTAACCAACAGCATCAGTTACCTTAAAAGTGATGGCCGGGTTTAAATAAAAATGCGAGAAATATCTGTAAAATTTTCGTAACCCATAAATGGTGATAGAGATGCGTAATCAGCCTACGACATTGAGATCAATTAGGGGAAGAAGATTCCTAGTTGAGGATAACCACTGATTGTAGCAACAAAAATTAAATAACAATACTAAGAGAACTGAAGCCTCATTTTTATACTCATGTTCAGCATGAATAAAAATGTGCTAACGGATTTAATTTAAAAGGCTGCTATACGGTGGGAATAAGTATGTAGCAAACAAGTGAGAACGGCTAAAAAAATTTGATTTATGAAGTTTTAGCACAACATCCACTGTAGATTAATATCTCATACAGTTGCATAAAAAGACTGCTAGTACAGACATTAGATGGTCGAATATAAAGTCCACTTCACCCAGACACAGTAATCATATCTTGAGAGCTAATACCAAATATATTGTTTGTGGCATCAAGTAGTTTACTTATGAGTACAGAAACAGAACTGTGGCAGGAAAAAAAATGTGTACTTAGAGTTTAATCACTAGACCCGAAATCTAAATATTCATGTGTTTGTTTCAGAAGCATATTTCGAACGTTTATGAGATATGGATGGCTCTCTTAAGTTTGACGTCCTAATTTCAGTTATCGTACCGTATAATACGGAGTGTTCTAACATTGGCTTATCTTATACTGAAAGATGACGTTGGTATTAACATGTCTTATTTTTAACTTTCGTCTAAGACTGATCATTTGAGAGGACATTTGAGGAAAGTTCAAAAACCGAGATCAAACCGTTTATGTCTGAAGTTTTGTTTCTCGCATGGAGTAATTAATTACTGGAATTCTCTACCAGACTTAATATCAACACATTCTGTTGATATATTCGAAACGAGACTGGACCTCCAGTGTTACAAACTGCAAGGATTATTATAGGTCGACAGACCTATCCTTATTACTGAATACTGAAGACAGTACGATTGGAAGTCCTCTCCATGAGGGTTGACAAAATGTAAACAAAATCATGATCCTGAGTTGCAACACATATATATTTCACTGAATAAGGCAACCATTGGTGTATGAGGAGGGAGATCCCGTTATCTAAGGTTTTAAAACCGTAAATAAATCATTACAACACTAGAGTAAAATTAACGGGAAAGTGAACGACTAAAATATGTCTACACAGTAAATGATCTTTCTAACACTAAGAATTTAAGTAGTATTACTACCTGATTCTATTGTGTATGACTTGAAATCACAATATACGACACTTTATTCTTAAACATTCCAACAATGAATATTCAGTTTCAAATGAAATTAAAACTGACGCGAAATTCGTTAACTTACACATCATAGGATTCAGAAAAACCGACTTGGGGAAACTTTGGAGTTTTGATGTCCTGTCCATTTCGCCCTCCATTTACTTTCTGATGCCTTTTAACTACATATTCGAACAGCCTCGAGTGCAGAACAACTCGAATTCCCTCCAACATCCAGTGTCCGATAAACAATACCTTTGTGTTAAGTTTATTGTTTTCTTTGCACTCACTTTTTTTTTTGCTTCGATACTGTCTCAGATGTTTGCTAATGATCAACAGACGATAGTCCAATCACTCGATTGAACGAATTTCAGTCACTTTGAAAGTTGCTCGTGAATTTATGATCCATGCAAAGTGTTTGTCCACACAAAACAGGGTATCCTGAGTCAGTACTCATCACATAACCTGACAGAAGGTTGTTTGATTACAGTGTGAGAATTCATAAAGATAAAATATTGCGAGAGAATCATCTCTTATATATTTCTTGAACAGTTTCTGAGCCATTGATCTTAAAAGCTTCTGTATTAGAAAAGTAAACAATGGTCTTCTAAACGAGCCGCCATGTTAATCCCTGAAATCGCAGATTCAACAGGGAAGGGACAAGTAAGGAAATTTTACTACTTTAACTCACTGGTAAGTATGGTCTTATCGCGCCGAAACATTATTATTTCGAATTTCTCAGTACTCTGCACAACTTTCCCCTTTCGGGTATTCGATTGGCTACCAAGCTCATTATGGGATGCCCTTGCTAAACTTGCATGAATAAAGGCGTGAGGAAGCGTGCACGCTCCTATATTGGCTGTCAGGATTCTAAGGTGGTTGGACATAGTGATTGTCCACCATGCTCTTTCTCAGCTCCCGAAACTCGTTTTGAAAATTCTCATCTTGACTTAGTGGGACGCTTATCAGCTTCAAATGAATACTCTTATCTCGCAAATTGTATGGACTTTCAGGAGCGGTACCTACCGAAAACATTACTGCTGGCACAGTGTAACGCGCCTTCGTCGAACGATGGGTGGAAACTTCGGTCCTTCAATTGTTACTACAGACCATGGAGGCCAGTTTCAATTCGTAATTTTCCTCCTTTTCACTACACTATTAGGAATAACACGATTCTGAATGACAGCCTACCACCAAAGGTTCGGTAGAACGTTTTCATCGAAAGTTGAGAGACTTAATTGCAGCTACAAAATTATCACAGTAGACTGACGATCTTCCACTCACGTTGTTAAAAATCCACAACGCAGTGAGAGCTGACTTTGAACGTATTGCAGACGACACGATTATGGTCTTTTCCGGGGGATTTCATGGATCATTCATCTTCTTCACCGAATGTGGATCTAATTTCCTACTCCAAAAGGCATACAAACGCGATCTGTTCAGCCAAAACTTCTTCCGCCCAACCGCAAACAACTGGTGTGGTCGGTCAACATGCCTTGCGACTTGATGCATACGTTTATCGCAAATTGGTACGTAACTGAGGTCCGTATTAAGTTCTTCATCGTAAACCTAAATACTGTACCAACGAGAGAACATCAACATCGACTGGCTGAAGACCTTAAAGGAAATTTTTTGTCAACTTTATATAATCGAACGACACATACAACGTGACTAGGATGGACTCTACAATACTCAACGACCGCTAAGAAACTTTGTGAGCATCTGATAATTGGCCAAAACTTTCATATCCCTTAGAATCGCGAGGTCACAGGGCTCCTGAATGTCTACCACACTTAAGAAGTTTGCTGAGTTTTCTTCTGTTTACCTCACTTTTCGAGTTCTGCAGTGAACTGGTTACGCTTTCAATTTTTTATATGTCAAAAACAAAAAACAACGTAGAGCCTCATTTATTACTATGCATATGAACATTTCTGTATAGTTCTCACCCGACAAGAATATCTAAAAAAAGAGTACCTTCTTCTTTTTATATGTACATGGAACGTCCGGACCATTTAGGACAATGGGAGACCTGAACGCCAAGGTTGAAATAGACAACACCCAGTATGAAGATATCATGGGACAACATGGACTGAGTGGAAGGAACAAAAATGGTGAGAGAATTGCATACCTATGTGCCATCAATAAACTGCTCATAGGTGGCAATATATTCCAACACAAACGCATTCACAAAAGCACATGAACTTCACCGAATCACACTACTCATCAACAAAACGTTCAGGAGGACGATGGAAGATGCGAGAACCAAGAGGGGAGCTGATATAACCTCAGGTCATCACTTACTGGTCGCCAAGATGAAACTAAAACTTAAGAAGCACTGGATAACGGCGCGGACAACATCACAAAAGTTTAATACGGTTTTTCTTCAGGATAATGACAAACTCAGCAAATTCAACATAGCCCTCAACAACAAGTTCCAGGCCTTTCATGAGCTACTCAATGGAGAGGGAACTACTATGAAGAGCAACTTTAACATGTCATGAGGTTCTGGGCCACGAGAATCACCACCACAAGGAATTGATCACTGTCGGTACACTGGATAAGATTGAAGAAAGGAGGAACAAGAAGGCAGCAATCAATATCAGCCGAACAAGAGCAGGAAAAGCCAAGGCACAAGCTGAATACGCAAAAGTAAACACGCGACTGAAGAGGAGCATCAGAACCGACAAACATAAATATGTGAAAAATTTAGCAATGACAGCGAAAAAGGCTTCAAGAGGAGGAAAAAATGAAACAAGTGTATGATACAACAAAGAAACTTGCTGGAAATTACCGTAAACCAGAACGACTATTGAGAAGCAAGGAATGCAAGGTAATCACCAACATTGCTGAACAGAGAAACAGGTGGGTAAAACACTTCAAAGAACTCTTGAATCGACCAGTTCCGCTGAATCCACCAAACATCGAAGCACCACCCACGGACTTCCTAATCGATGTTGGCCCACCAACAATTGAAGAGATCAGCATGGCCATCAGACAAATCAAGAGCGGCAACGCTGCAGGACCGGAAAACATTCCAACAGAGGTACTGAAGGCAGATGTAGCAGCAATCGTAAAGATACTCCACATTCTCTTTAGTAAGATTTGGGATGAAGAGCAAATACCAACAGACTGGAAAGAAGGACTTCTGATCAAGATACCAAAGAAAGGCAATCTCAGCAAGTGTGATAACTACAGAGAAATCACTTTTCACTCGATGCCAGGAAAAGTTTCTAAAAGGGTATTGTTAAACAGAATGAAGGACTCCGTAGACGCCCAACTTCGAGACCAATAGGCTGAATCCCGTAAGGACCGATCGTGTACAGACCAAATCGTAACCCTACATATCATTGTGAAACAATCAATCGAATGGAATTCATCACTCTACATCAACTTCACTGACTACGAGAAAGCGTTTGATAGCGTGGATAGGACAACAATATGGGGGCTTCTTCGAGACTATGGCATGCCTGAGAAGATAGTCAGTATCATACGGAATTCTTATGTTGAATTAAACTGCAAAATCATGCATGGGGGACAGTTGACAGACTCGTTCAAGGCAAAAACCGGTGTCAGGCAAGGTTGCTTGCTCCCGGCCTCTATCTTTCTCCTGGTCATCGACTGGATTAGGAAGGCGCCAACATCTGGAGAGAAGCACGGGATACAATTGACAGCTAGGATGCAGCTGGAGGATTTAGGCTTCGCAGATGATCTGGCTCTTCTATCACACACACAACAGGAGAAGACGGCCAGTGTAACAGCGGCCTCAGTAGCAGTAGGTCTCAATATGCACAAAAGGGAAAATCGAGATTCTCCGATACAATACAGCGTGCACCAATCAAATCACACTTGACGAAGAAGCTTTGAGGGATGTGAAAACCTTCACATATCTAAGGAGCATCATTGATGCACACGATGGATCTGATGCAGATATGAAAACGCGGTTCGGCAAAGCAAGAGCAGCATATTTACAACTGAAGAACATCTGGAACTGAAAACAGTTGTTAACCAACACCAAGATCAGAATTTTCAATACAAATGTCAAGACAGTCCTACTGTATGGTGCGGGGACTTGGAGAACTACGAAAGCCATCATCCAGAAGATACAGGTGTTTATTAACAGTTGTCTACGCAAGATACTTCGAATCCGTTGACCAGACACTATCAGCAACAAGTTACTGTGGGAGACAACAAACCAGATTTTAGCATAGGAAGAAATCAGGAAGAAGCGCTGGAAGTGGATAGGACACACATTGCGGAAAGCACCGAACTGCGTCACAAGACAAGCCCTCACATGGAATCCTGAAGGCCAAAGGGAAAGAGGAAGACCAAAGAACACGTTGTGCCGAGAAATGGAGACAGACATGAAAAGAGTGAACAAAAATTGGATAGAATTAGAAAGGAAGGCTCAGGACAGAGTGAGTTGGAGAATGCCGGTCGGCACCCTATGATCCATTGGGAGTAATGGGCGTAAGGAAGTAAGTAGGTAAGATATGCGACGGTATACACAACTGTTTATCATCCATAAACTCCTTTCCACCCCAACAGCATTGTTTCAGGAAGGGTCACTCCTGTATAACCAAACTATTGACTTCACTGGACAGATGGAAAACCATCATTCATCTCAAGGAGAAGGTTGTAATCATTTACTTTAATTTCTCAAAAGCTTTTGATATGGCTAACCATATATGTCTTATCAATAAGCTCAAACAATTAAGTATCAAATCACCTTTAATTGGTTGACTCACTTCATAACTAAATAATCGACATTTTAAGATCAGGCTTGACTTCACTTTCTCTCGGGTTATGGAATGTCCTAGTGAGGTCCCTCAAGGTTCAGTACTAGGACCTCTTCTCTTCTTGATTTATATAGACGATCCTCCACAGCAGGTGTCGTCAGGTTTATTACTTTTCACTGATGTGAAACATTCTAGAGAGAAGTATGCAAGCGAGAGAATAAACTGGTACTTCAGAGGAATCCCACTCGACTTGAAAGTTGGGCAGATGACAACCGGTTGTAGCTGTAAATAATTCCCCAAAATCAATAGCTCATTAAGTGTTCGACATTGGATGCTAACCACGTTGTTTAAGTGGACTTGTTTAGCTGAAGGCTTTCGGTCATGCATCCATACCAGATCATGTTGCAACACGGCGTGGGACACAGCTCCTACGTTCATTAGCCAGCTTATAGTAAAGGTTCATCGATATATTGGTAACGTATCAAATATATCTTTCCTACCTCTCCTCGTCTGACTTCTGATATCTATTTGACCGGGAACGATCGATTATAGAAGATACTACTGGTTGCTAGTTGTAAACCTAGAATATCCGTTGTATCCTCAGTGGTGAGCCTAACGTGATCTGGTACACCAAGCCAATATACTGTAAGTCTGTTTCTTTTTGGAATATTATTACCGATTAAAGACATTACTGCTGAAACAGTGGCTCGCGCTTTCGTCGAACGATGGGTAGCAAATTTCGGCTGCCCTTCCACGATCACTACAGACCGCGGACGCCAGTTCGAATCTGGACTTTTCCGTTGTCTGACCTCAC